CGCCATTCATTCACTCCCGATTGGCCGCACCATCCGGAGGGAACCGGAGAGTTCGAACCTCAGCAGCCCAAACGAGTCAGTCGAGCGTAAAGAGCCATGGTGTGTCACACGTCGGATCCAGCACAGTGTGCACATGGACCACTTCACTAATCGCCCAGCTGACCATCGGATAAGAGCAATCCTTAATTGATAACCACACCCCTCGGTGATCTGGAAAACTCCGAGCTGGACCGGGTTGACCCCTGATCTGGAAATCTCCGAGCCGGCCACGTTGGCGCGACGTCCGGGCTTCAGCCTATCACAGCGCTCGGGGGACGAGCACTTGCGCGGCTTGTCTCCACACTGTCCAGGCGCTGGCCGGCATGCAGTCTGACTGTTTAGGCACTCACGAGGCCACAGATCTCTCCTCACCACGAGAGGACTGGCGGTGTCCAGTCATTGGCCACCGGGGCACTGGACTCAGCTCTGAACTCCCGTTGTCTCATGGTAGCTGGTTGGTCTGCGGGGCTGACTCTGATGTTGGTGTGCTGAGTCTGAGCTCTGTCGACACTCGGAGCACGAGAGGCAGCAGCAGCTTGCATGAGAGCACACAGTGTGCAACTTGCGGCCTGAAGCCAGAAATGGAGTAATTTGGACCGATGTGCTCTTGGGCTCTATCATCGGCGACGCGTTGAGCTGTTCTGTTCCGGGTCCTTAGCGAGGAGTTATGCAGATCTGCTTCTCGCTTGACCTTCTCTGGTGATTGGGAGACCGAGCCAGTGCAGAACAACCAGCCCCCATCTCTGCCTATGATGCAGATCGAGGATGGTCACGGGCTCTATCCAGATCGGCCAAGTGCCGAGCACTTAGCCCGTTCTTCTTCGAGCCGTCTAAACCAAGCAAGCGTGAGATGTCACCCTAGATCTGAAGACCATCCTGTCTTAGAGACCGATTTCCACCTTGCCTAGCTGCAGGTCCGATCCTCCAGTGTGATTGAACTGAATCAAGCGCAGTCATTTGAGGTTTAACCCACCGATGTCTCAAGGCAGGTCACCAGCTTCGACCCACTGATCTCGCTGCCCATCAGACAGACAGGATTGGATAGGATGGGCTGGCCATTGGACAGATTTTGATGAGTACCTGCACTGAGACCGTGAGTATACATCGGTCTCTTCTTGGAGGCTCCTACTGTCCCAAGGACCCTTCGGATAAGATTGTCACTCCACCTGAGCATGACACGATCTTCCTTCCGTTGTTCATGCAGAAATTACCTTTTAGCTCGCACTAATGTTGGCCTTTCGACCTCGGCCGGGCCGAATGCGGCAAGATCAGCTCGAGAGTCCCGAGGATTTCCTTTCCATGTAGAGACATGGAAGGGAAATTTCCCTATCCACTGTCCGAAGGCTCGTATAGCAAGCAACTAGAGCTGGAATGTGCCGTTATTCTACGTGCATAAGCTTTAGCACTGGGCATCTACCTTTACGCCATAAATGGATAAAGCGCTCATCTCAACAGATGTCGAATGGGAAATTGGATCGGGAGGTATGAATTAGAGGCCCAGAACCTTCCATAACGAGATTTGCTAGACGGCCTAAGGACTGGAAAGTTCAGAAGTGGAACTCTGCAAGAGCACGGTTGAAGCCAAATCCTGACAGCAAACCGGCAACTGTAAGAACGAAAAGCGATCGAATCCCTGCTTATGTGAAATAACTTACTGCTCTGTGATCTAGAACTGGTACTGTAAAAGCTTCCGCAGGGCACTCAGGTAGTGGCGCACCACTGAAGAAGAGTGTCAAGCTGCAGTCTACAGGGTCCACGTTTTCCGATAGCGTCGCCGAATCCAGTGCACAATTTTAAACCTCTCCCCTTTTGAGTGTCGTGAATCTCACCTGAGGTTAGCTTCACCTTCCATCACCCTTATAATAACCACACTCCAGACCAAAAATAAATTCCAGATGGTAGTGTTCGTGGTTACAGTCTGGTATGGTGGGGTCATGTTGTTCCTGCTGCTGCTTACATTCTCTACGAGTTCTCGTTCGTGGAGGGAATTAGTTGACCAAAAGAAGGCCCAGCTGAAAGCATCACACAAGGAGAACAAAGTAATATAAGTAACAGAAGCAAGAAATTCGATTCGCTTTGTAGAATGGTACCATCTCAGATACAGCAGAGCTGCTGTATATGTGGAGTGCAAAACTGGATTCAAAATGGGTTAGATTCACACGGTAGAGTATGTGCACAACATGATTAACAACAACTCGTGTACTGTACTTGTCTCTCGAGAGAAATACCGTTGGAATCTGGTTCCATCTTGTTGGCAGAATCCTCAACCTTCTCTGCATGGCATGAAAAGCTCGCCATTGGGTTGAAGGGCTGTTGGACTGCGGAGCTTTCGTTTCCTTAAATTAAGTTTCTTTAGCAACTCCACAGTCGATTCCGATCTGCGCAGGCCACTTGGCGAGTCCTCGATCCGCCACGTGTCCGGGGTCTCCAACCGTGTGAGATACGATTAGAGTGTTCCATGAACAACGTCGAGGACCGAGGCGACGGTAGAGAACGAGCACGGCAGATAGACCGAGTTTAGGGAGGATGGGATCAAACTTGTGCGTGAAGTCTTGAGTCACTTGAGCAGTCCCGACGATCCTGTCGGAAGATGGGGCTATCTCATGTACGTCACCCCCGAAATCTGATCAGTTGCAGAAGAAAATGTGACTTTGGACTTGAGGCATATTCGTCAGGAGCGACGGTCTTTTTAGCTCCCTACGAAGACCGATGAATAACATTCCCAGACACTGTCAAAGCCCGCGCGGACTCATGTTACACGAGCTGTTGACTCCGAATCACTACTTTTCTGAGGTGCCAGTGAATTCCTAGATGAAAATGGACAGGTCCCATTCTGCCGGTCACGGTTACCCACTTCTGTGCAGTATGCACCCTACCTTGGTGTCACCGAGATTCGTGCGTTGAAATATTGGTAAGCTCGGTGAGATTTTTGGAAGAAACTTCGCGTTCACTCGGGCTCAATAGTTTAAATCATCCTGTTATAGAGCAGACCCATTTTCTTGATAAAGAGATAATATCTCCAAAAGCCGCATAAATTATTGGGAAAAACAGTAATCGACCAGACTTCGATGAAAAATTACGTGACTCAGATATATATATGCTGAATGACATGACTGAGTGGTTACTCGCTTTGGAGTATCCGGTGACACAACTTAATGTTCGATCGGACCTTTTTAGAATATAATGAATATCGGAAAGGAGAAAGTTCTTGGAGCATGGGAGTCGTCAAGAATTTTGTGTCTTTATTCATGAAATATATCTTATCTGATGTTATCTTATCTTATATCAAGAGAGCAGCATTACATAGATTTATTACTCTCCTCCTACAACATAAAGCAGAAAGTTGGGTCTATAACATCATGGAGCGCACGGAGGCCAAAGTATGTCGGTCTGACGAAAGGGTGTAGTCCCTTTTTTGAAATGGATCAAAGTTCGATGTCCTTTAACCGCAATGGGAAAACGACAAGTACAAGGCTTCATACTTACCGTTTCGAAAGGATATCAGCATGAATAGAAGGTTTTTTTATTGCAGATGTATTGATCATTTTTATTATTCTTATTTGATGAGGGCACCATCGTAATCTGAAAAAAAATAATTAAGGTGTAAATGTAATATTCGCCCAAACATTCTATATGACGTAAACAACTTGAGCGAGGCTCTAAAGTGCTGAAAATTGCTTTAGCTTTCACATTGGAGGCTGCGTAGTTGGAAGGTTGACTGTTAATATTACATCCTTCTCTGCAAGCAGGTCTTTGGACAACTCCATAAACATCACTATTTGACAACTACTCCCGAGTTGGTATCCACACGCTTTCACTAAAAAAATGATTGCATTTTTTGGAGTAAGATTTTCACATGTTTCAATTGTAGGGATTGTGTGCGTGAGTGTACATATTAAATAAAGCTCCCGTTCAGATTCTTTGAATTCACTTTACAGAGGTCTATCTTCCACTGATAATCTCTCCAGACAACATTTCAACTACTACTCTTGACTTCAACTGTAGTTGTTGAATATTCATGAGATATCATGGAGAAAAATATCATGTTCATTACGTTTTGAAAGTAAAACTTGAAATGGCCTTCTTCAATGCTTATATTTATGCAGAGAGCACATTCTCATCTACATTTCACCCCTTCACTCCGTCGTGCATCTTTGTCAATGTACCTTTTGGATTTGTGTAAGCGTAATGCTTTCCATGTGGATTGTAGATTTCTGTTAAACCCAACAAACTAGGGCAAGTGGATGATTTTTATTCATTACTTGAAAATAAAATTTTAATTTTTCATATCTTTAAGTCTTCAAGCTATACTTCAAGCTTGTATGGAATAATAGACTATAATGGCATAGATAGTGGTCTTGATTTTTCAGGTTACAAACTGGAAAAAAAAAGTTAAGAGTGTTTAAATTGTATTGTTATAATACTTTGGCGTGCAGCAATACATGTCTTCCAATGTTAAGTTATTGAGACGTGTTTCAAGTTACCTATTTGATTTCATCCATGTAAGAATATATAAGGGCAAGGTTAGTAGCAAAAAGATGGATAAAATACACCAACCTGTAAGAGTATGAAAGCACATGAATAATTGAAGGCTAGGCGTGAATAATTTACGATTTTGAAGGTTATTCAATACAACTCCAATCAAATCTAAGATATTTACCTAGAACCATCTACAAACATTTCTTAATGTACAAAGAACCCTCGTATGTATATAACTAGTGCTATATGTCGAAAAATGAAAACACATGACCACAGTAACCAAGGTGTACGAGTTTCCTAAACCCTTCCCCAAGCTCTAACATTCTTTCTTGACGTGTTAAGTTCTTGTATATTATCGTATGTCTAAAGCTATAATAACAGAGAGTTATTTAAAGATTTTAGTGTAATTGAAGGTATTTTCTAAGGTATTGTATTTGTCACCAAGTAATATAAAGCATTGCAAACCTATTCACGTTGTGTTTGAGAATTTTAAATAAATATGTATAAATAACCTGAAACTCTTGAATCAATCACAAGTAATCCTATACCTCTTTTCGCTATCTACTACCTGACTCTTATATCATGATTTGCATTCACTGTCCATCAAATGTCATCATTTTGCTGGACACTGATCGACTGCAAAGCTGCGCACCCCTCTTTCCATCAGTGTTTCTCTTTGAGCCAGCAACGGATTCTACGTTATTGCAAACACGCGAGGAAGACATCTTTTTGACCGCACCTCTACCTCGGCCCTCGCACAACGCACATGCTTGATATGTCTCGAATATGCACTTGTAGCTCTCGCCTCGCCAGTCTTCATTCCACTGTGCACCTGCTGTAGTTGACATTTCTCTCCTTTCCTTTTTCTGCATTCGTGTTCCGTGTTTTCTTTTACCCTCAATCAGCGTCATACTTCGACGCCAAGGAAGGGCTCACCTGCAGAAGAAAATCTGATCCTTGCTTGCCGTAATTACCGAACTTAACTAATTTTTGCTGGCCTCTGTACGCACCAGTGTGACGAAATGCAGACCAAAGTACGTAAGGATGAGGACTACGGTACCCATGATTCCAGAGGAGAAATATGCGGAACTACCCAGCACTGAGCACAACGGAACGCACAAGGATGGAGGGAAGGATGGCAGAAGAAGACCTGAGGAGGGGAATATCATTGCAAGACCATTTCTCGACGCACATGTAGTGCCTTTGTATTCTTCCAATGGACAGCGCTCACTTACTATTCTACGCACATGCACGATACGGCAGCCGTCAAAATCGACCCCGAGACCTAATTCCATAAGCCAGTCACAAAAGGAGCCGGTGACACGATAACGCCGTGAAAAACGTCGAGGCCGAGTCGGGCCCGGCCACCGTCAGTGGTCGTCGTGTGGTTGGCTATCTTGTGACATGACTCGCCAGCTTTCCACATCAGTTCCGCGTCTCGCTAACCAACCTTCCCGCTAACTCACTTCCTTTGGCCACCCTTGTGATTGCCACCAGCTTTCCACATCATGTCCACTTAATCTCATCGAGCCCGAATTCCAAATCTCCAGTCATTTTTAGAGTTATTTGAATTTCGATGTTTTAACGCTCGTCGTGACGATCTTTCTTTCACCATCTCGTTTTCGCCACCATCTCCTCCTCCTCCTCCTCCTCCTCCAGTCCTCATGTTACTGCCGTCGTATGTTTATGTCCGATGAAGGAGCCGATTCTCTCCTTAGTTGGCGAACATGCACCGACCTGTGGTGAAAATAGCACACCCGTCAATGTGGCAAAGTGTTCCTCCAAGAAGCATGGAGAATCAGCGAAGTCCCAACATGGTGCGAGTTCAAGGGGTTACCTGTTGAGCATCTAAATATGCTGCCGCCCTAGAGGACCTTCCTAAGTTTAAGCCAGGCAAGCGAACCGGAGAGTTTCAGGTGCTCGTGATTCTGAGTCAGCCGAAGGGATTCATCACTACCTTTGCTCAATCGATGGGTTTATGAAACATGACACACCATCACCAGCTAATTATACCTCGTTTCATGTTACTCCCGTTCGCGCGCAAACTCTCTCTCTCTCTGACTGCCGTCACGACTGTCCCGATAAGAACACCACCTAATTAACTACATCCTTCCATCGTGTGCCTCGACACTCCACCCCTTATCATCCGGCATTTGGAAATACGTCAATCCAATGCCAATCGGAACGGACGAAACAATTCACGTCCAACAATCTCCCGAATTTCTTAAGAAGTTTGCCGTCCTAATTTCACCATGCCAGCATTTTCCGTAATTTATGGCGATCGTTTACCCAACTTTTGGGCTTTGGTCGATAAATTCACAGCTCTCCGTCTGACCACGTTCCTTGACATGGACATCAAAGTGACACTCCTCCAGGAATGGGATGTGGACAAGTAAGATGCAACGGTAAGAAGTTCGAATGGGCTTCGTGATCAGGAGCTTACGCATAATTATCCGTCATTGCCGCTTGTGGTGACACGTCGGATTGAACAGCAGACTGATTGACTTGCTACGTCGTATACGCATCCAAGCACGTCGGTGGAAGCCCACTTTGGACGGAGAAGTGTACAGGCAGTTTGCGGTCCCCATTTGCGGATCATTCCGCGGCATGACGTGCCGTCATTTGTTCATTGTTCATCTGAACGAGTGGACGTTTTCGGACGAAGAGCCTCGAACCCAGAGAGCACTAAAAAGCGCCACTTGCAATCACAGACGAAGCCATCAAACAAGACCGCAAGTAGATAATGTTTCTTTCTTTCGTAGATTTAACCAAAATAATCAAATATTTTGATTCTTTGAGATCTCAAGAATGTTGTCGAGCGTAATATTTCTCTTCGTGGATATGACAAAGATGGACTGACCTTATGATACTTTAAGATCTCAAGAATGTTCTTGGTCAGAATAGTTCTTTTTCGTGTACATAACAAGAGTGGACGAATATTCCTCATGCTTGAAGATCTCGAAAATGTTGTCAATCAGAATAGTTCTTCCTCGTGGATATGACAAGAATGTACTGCTATTATTATATCTTTAGTGCTCAAGAATGGTATCAATCACAGAAGTTCTTCCAGGATATATGTATGCAAATGGAGTACTAACATGAGAGTTTAAGATCTTAGTGAAGTTATCAGTCTGAATGGATATTCGTCGTGGATATAACGAAAATGGACTACAAATATGAAATTATTAAATCTCAAGTTTGCTCTCCTCCGTCAGAATTGGCGTGTTCCAAAAGTCGTATTGAATTTTTTTCTAAAATCTGTTGAATAAGATTTTTACTGTGTTCAAAAATTCTGATGTCCATCGATTATGCATTTAGTTTTGGGAAAAATCAGCATGATCGGTTTGTTCAGTAATCAACAACTTCATCATATATTTTATGTTATATATATACAAGACTAATTCTCATTTTTTGTCATTGATAAATGAGATATTTTCAACCATCCACACAAGTTGTTGAAGTTGTCTTTATGTGTAGAGATGTTTGTATGGATATTTTATTTCTAGCTTTACAATTACATGTTAACAATTTCTACATATATATGAAGCAGTTCGAAAAAATGTATGATGATACGTGATAGTGATATCACTCTCTTTATCTTACTTTGACGTTATGGTTTTTACAACCAAGTTTTATTACTCTTCAAAGCTCACAAGCTGATGTTATTCATAGTAATGTAATTTCCATTATATGTAGAGATTTTCATCTAAATAGTTGAGAAATCTAAGGTGCATTCTCGTATAATTTAGAAGATAATAGCATTAGGCGCTGGACCCAAATATAATCATAATAAATATAAATTTTCAGTAATTGGTGCTAACATGCCATGTTAACCGTTTGAGTTCATTGAGGACTGTCCACTGGGTTCCAACTTTATTTTATATATATTGTTCCCTATGGAATGGTAACAAAATTTTCAATTATGTATAGTTGTATAGAGTGTCTTGGGCTTACGGACATACTTGTACTGATATCTTGAGAATTTAAAAAAACTTCAAAAGCAATGAAGTATCGAGATGTTAAGTGTCACATCAATAAATATAACATTGATAATAAATTCGATATATTTTTTCCATAGAATGATATGGTAAATAAATATCAATCAAGGATGATATACTTCTTTTTCACATTGAAAGCAAATTCGATACCTGTCACCTTACGCAATATTTTCAAAATATTCCATGAAAAGGATGCTGAATAGCTCGGAAATTCCTAATCAGACATCATATGTAGAACACACCACTCCATACATTCTCTAGGGACATTGTTAATTCAATACACTCTTCATCCAGAGAAGAGAAACCTTTTAGCAGAGGTAAAAAGGGTTATCATTGTTGGGTCTGTTACAAAAACAATGAAATTTGTTGGAAAGTCCAGAATGAGGAAAGATTCAGACAGAAAATTAAACTCCTGCGAAATATCAGTCGTTTTAATCCATGCTCCGAATAAGATGTTTCTCTTGGGTGAAGAATTTGATCATGAACGTCATCCATGCTTTTGGTCTCCAGTCTACGACATGACGGCCCATCCCGCGAGACAGTTTCGAAAGAAAGAAGCCTTAAGTCTTGACTCGAACAAAACTGTAGGATATCCCCCGTACAGAACCGTACTACCGCAAATTCCAAATCAGCTCATTATTGGCCTACTAATTGTGCAGTCTTCTTGGCATTAATAGTCCAGATGAGACAAGAGCTCCTACATTTCGCGGCTGTGCAGGGTGCATTATTTTACGCTGCTTCTCTCCTTTTCTTTCCTGCTCGACGTGTTGATCCTGCGGTACCTGTTACCTCTGATTCCGCTAGAATGTAGAAACTTGATTTCGACCACCATCTTCTCGTGATGATTCTGAACCACACAGTGACGGTACTTCACTCGCTAGATTTGGGCTTCTTGCTCAGGAAGTTTGACCTTGACGGATCGTTCTATCGTCTCTGAGAGGATCTCGCCCCGATTTTTAGCTGAAGCAAACAATTATGAGAGTGTTAAGAGTATGTGTGTGACGATCCTTACGTCTAGTTGCCTGGACTGAACCTTGTATGTAGAGATTCTGATCTCCAACGGAAGATTGGTTATTATCTATTCGATCTCAACTCAAGGTGAATCTTCCATCTTGCCATAAGATCGTTACAGGTGGACATGATCTGGACTTCACGTAAGTACATCTAAGGCAGATATCCAGTTGGTAAGCTGTGATTGGTGAGAGGTGAATTCTGTATCGTTTATTGGAGAGATTTGTTAAGTTTCGTGTCGTATTTTCTGTTACTGCCAACAATCTGAGGAGGACGTGTACTGTAGGGAAACCTGAGCTGTGCCAAATATGGGATTGCAGATGTGGCATCTGACTGGACTTTTAGTCATAGCTAGAGGTAGTCCACTTTGTTCGGGACAAGTCCCGAGAACCGAAGTTTGGACAGAGTGTACATGACTGACACACACTTTTATGAAGGAAAGGAGTTTTACTTGGCGCAAACATACTATATCGTGTGACAAACTGAGAGTCCTGAGCATCTGTTGCCACATGGAATTCTCTTTACCTCATACCTTCATAATTGATTTTTACGGGAGTCTCCGAATTTAGCATGAAGAGCCACTTTAGCGATTAGGTCGGTCCACTCCATCCACCTTGTCAAAAAGATGGGAAGACCTGATCCAGTTAAACGCGGAGGAAACCAAGAGGCTAAATGTCGAATGACATCACACTCTAACTATGTCATATTGTACCTTATGCATCCGAATTACCCATAATCTAAGATATTCAATTTATCTATATCAAACGGTTTACATACTTCTGGACCACCATCAAATGCTCTGGTAGAACATGACACTCATTCCATTTCAGTTAGGGGATTAGATTATATGAGAGTGTTCACTCTTGTACCTTCATTCTTAGAACTCTGTCACTTCATATATCTTTTTTGCCCCTGGCATGTTATTCATCTACATGGTAGCTTATTTGAAGACTAATTTGGTAGAAAATTTCTTGAAGTAAATAAAACACATATTAGCAAGATATATGCTACAGAATCTAACTATTACACCTGATGGGGTGCCGTGGATATGAACATGTGAGCCATGAATGTACTGTATCCACCGCCCTAGCCTTCCCACATGTCGCACTCTAGCAGTGGAATAGGATGACAAGCATGCAGAAAGCGAACATTGCACTACACTGATCACAAGGAATGTATCAAAGAAAAGGTTTATTTTTAAGTTTTGTGGATGAAGAGGCATCTCTGTAAATGGATGGGGTTCTTCTGAGTGTGGATCTCATTTGCGTGTTTCTCTTTGGAGGGATTCTGGATTTAAGGGGTACTGTTTGTTCCTTGATTTGTGATCCTGGACTTGTGCTGACGCCATGAATATTGACACTGCTTGTAGACTTCAGCGAGTGTTGTGGCCGGCTAAGCACAAAAACAAAATCCACAGAAGAACTCGGAGCGGAACAGCTAGCCAGAAACTCATGCTTAGAATGCATCATACGTGTACTCTGGTGCCAGTGGAGTTAAGGATGGTCAATTATCATGTAAGGTTCAGGCTGATTCCTGCACTATATCATACAAAGACGAAAAAGTGAACCTAACGTAAAGGCCAGGTGACCTACACTTCCCTAGGCATGCCTAATGGGTTTATACCAAAACATATGCTTCTCATCATGAGGAAGTGTACCTATGCTAAAGTATTTCACATTCTTTCTCATGGCTTGCTTTCATGAGATTTGGGAGTTCCTTAGATTGGTGCTTCGATCAAGGACGGTGCACTTGTGCCTCCCTCATTGTAGCCACGAATTTAGTTGATATCTGTGAACCTTGTTCCCCATATTCTCATTCCTTTTGTGGTCCTCATCTTGTAAGAAAGTTTGTCCAAAGTTGTCTGTCATTCTCCTCCAAATGCCGACAATATGTACCGTTGTGGATTTAAAAGTTAGTTACTTTCAGTTCTTGTGTGTTTCAATCGCACTTGGCAAAAAGAAAAGTGAAAGAAGGTCCAGATCACAACTCTTGAGTAAATATGCCGTCAGCGAAAGTTTTAGTTCATAGAGCTTTTTTGTGTTTTGTTGTTGCTTTACACCCCAACAACTTGTCCAAATCTATGTCTTTTCTTGGTCTTCATTGAATTCAAAGAAAATTTCTGAAGTAAACGTAATAAAATCAGCAAAAAATTTTACGCCCTGCATACTTGACCTTGCTGGCAACGCATAAAACCAGCGAATGAAGTCAGTGTAGAAAGAATGACTCACATATCATTGAGATTATATGTCTAAACTTCATCTATAGTCTTATCCTCCAACAAGGATGTTGAACTGGATTGAAGAACTGGATTCTTCTCATGGATTTTGACAGAACACGGCAGGGCCAGACTCTAGACTTACTTAGAGTGGTGGCTTTTTTGCTGCCACCGCTCCTTTTGACAATCCTGAAGCAACTTCGAGCTGTTTAGCACGAGGATCACACGCTAGAGTGTAAAATAAAATGAAACTCCTGAATTTCGAAGGAAGTCGGGGTTGTATAGTTTCTAGGTTCGTGTATCTTTGCGAATGACTTGCTCTACACTCATAATCTGCTGTATCTCGATTCACTTCCCTCGCTGGCTGCTCAGGCTCACCTGAGACTACAGCCTCTCGGGGCAGCGTTCAGCCTTCGACATGTTTGTTTCACTAGAACAATGTGTCAGTCAGCTTTTCTCAGTTGTAGCTACTCTTCAATATTTGAAGAGTCAACCTCATATGAAAGAGTCAACCTCATGAAAGCCCTGGAATAGGCTACTGAATTTCTCTTTGAATTCTCAATACAAGATGATAAAGCCTGTGCCGATCGCACAGGCTTTAGCAAAGAATCAATAATGCATGATGATCCTGGGTCTAAGCCACGCATGCTTCAACTTGATAGAATTAGAGTAAAATCTTGAAGGCATTGTAGCTGTGTTTAGCAAACCAGGGTTAAGGTTTGGAGCACGGCAGGTTCGCTCATCGGACCTCAGAAGATCCTTTCATCGTGACGTTCGTGTTTGACCCGCAGGAGTCCAGATCTGAAGACGGCGAGTTATGAGCAGCCTAGAGGTAGTCCTAATACAGAGAACCTGACCGGTGACCGCCACGTGGCAGCTGGTTTGGTCAGTTGCGTCGGTCACAATCTGTTCACTCGGTAGCATAGTAAGTCAACCTTCTAAGACGTCAGTTTCACCGCTTAAGAGAGAAACTGCAAAGTGAAATAACAAAAGGATGGGAACATGCGAACTCAACTGGTAAGATACCTTCGCCTTCCCACAGGGCAACGTCCTAAAAAATCTGAGTTCTGTTTGCGCACGTTGGGGACAGATCTTTCATATGTTTGTACTCTGCATTCGCAAACATTCATATAAATATAAAATATCGTACCTAGCCTCTATACTACAAGGTGAAGTTGACTTGTTAGGTGATTTTATATGGTTGGCAGTGCACCTTTGCAGATTTAGCGCCAAAAGTAGGTCACTACGGTATTGGCTTGTGTGGTTTCATAAAATACTGATTTGTGCCAAAAGTAAAATGTATACTCTATGTTTGAACATCATGAAATGCATGTAGCTATTTTCTTGTACCAAGTGTACCAAGATTCAATAATTCAGTTTTTGTGTCGTCCCTAATGATGAGCAATGGCAAAATAATCTAAACTGGCTAAAGTAACTTTGCTCACGTTCTGTTAGGCTAGAGGAGAGAAAGAAGTTTATATAAAGAAAGTTTTTGCTCACGTCTTTTGACCTTTTTCATCAGCTTTCATGCTTGTAATGTTGTGTAACTTATTTGAACTTGAATTCATTGTATTGCATCTTTTGTGAAATTTCGGAACTTTATGTAAATTTCTTGTATGTCAAAAAATTATTCTTCGCCAGACAATGTTCTATACGCAAAACATGCTCTTGTGTTGTAAATTTTCTTAAATATTAAAAAATCAAACTATTATGTATAACTTACAACGATGTGCATAAACATAATTAAGTGGAACTTGGCTTTTGAACCTTCCATTTAACTGAAATTTACCAACAATATGTATAAAGTCATGCTTCTGATTAATGTATACAGTCCAACTTGGAAAATTTCAAGTTATTGCTTATAAAAAATCATACTTATTGTTTACACCTATATGCTTCGCTAATTCCCAGAGGACGAAGCTTAATTACATAAATGACCTTTTCAATTGCTAATAGATCGCCTTGCCAGGTTATACGAGTATGCCAGGTGCCATTAACCTACCTCCAAGCTGTAAATGCAAGAACACCGGGCAAACCTGTTGTCTGGTTCTACTTGGATGATTCTATACATTCTCATGAATAAATTAGCCTCACACGCTTACTACCAAAGCCCAGTTGTAAGGGTGTCAGGCTAAAAGGGAAAAACCACGGACTCGAAAATTATTGTACAAGTTGCCCTTCGTCTTCACTACGATAAGATTCCACCCGATATACTGCATTCACTCGATGGAAGGCTACATGATAAATACAAGATCGAGGTCTCATGCGCTACGAGGACGATCGGTCACATGCTTTAAAAGCAGACCATTGACTAAAAGTCAGCTGATAAATTCCACGATGGGCGAAGAACATACCCAGAGCCATACCCGAGGACATGAGAAAGTCTTGCAGCGACGGCTGAAGCCCCGAGCACATTTGCAGAGCATGGGGAAAGGGGGAGGCGAGAGGGCAGCTTGTGCACAAATGTCCGCCATTAACACGTGTCCCCAGTGGAGGCAGACGCAGCCTGCCCTACGATAATAAGTTACAGTGGTCGCGAAGGGAGAGGGGACTTTCCGTTGGTCTCGTGACGGAGCTCGATGGCACCGTTCGTGGTCTGCGGTGAGAAATGAGAGAGTCCAGCGAGAGGAACGAAATCAACGAAATCCAGTCTGCGTTCGGTCGCGGCCTCGGCCTCGCAGCTGTGCATGCAACCCACCCACAGCCCGTGCCAAGTGTAAAAGATGTGCATGGGCACCGAATAGAACGAGGCAGACCGGGGCAAGGGCAAAATCCCATGCAGAGGAAAGACGCATCTCTCTCACTCACTCACTCACTCACTGCTCACGCGGTCGATGTTCAGCGCTTCATGAAGCGAATCAGCATCCTAGATCTGCATTGCCTCGCGTTGCATCCGAGCCTCGCCCGGGCCCACCGAACCACACATTCTCACCACGCCGGGGCTCGGATGCAACTACGACCGCGGAACTTACCCCCTGCCTCCCGCCCCCCGCCCCTCCCCGCCCCTCCTCGCCCTGCAACCAACCTTTGTAAACTCCCCGCGTCAACGTCCCTCCGCGACCCTGGCCCGGCCCTGCCCTCGCTCGAGCCCACCGTTAAATGCGCCCCCGGTAGGCCCAGAGCCTCTCATGTTCTCCCCGTCGTCACCAGCAGCAGCCCTGCCGAGAGAGAGAGAGAGATGAAAAGGGAAGGCAGGAGCGCGATCAGCTCGTAGGTTTTAGCAGAAGGCCCAAGTAGAGTGCGTCGGACTTCCGGCATTTTCTGTATACCGTAGTATGGAATTGCATATGTATAAACGAGTGGCGAGTGTAGGACCTGTAGCTGTGTGCGAGTGTGAGTGTGAGTGTGCGAGTGCGAGAGTCCCAGCGAGGAACGCAGAGTGATTGATGAGTGAGTGAGTGAGGGACTGAGGGAGGGAGGGAGTCGCATTCCCAGCGGTAGCATCGCCAGGCACGGACGCAGAAGAAGAAGACGAAGAAGAAGACGAGGGAGCGCAAACGACGACGTAGAAGAGTTGATGTGATGGGATTATAGAAAGTGCGAGAAGAGAGAGAGAGAGAGAGCGCGGAAGTCGAATTGTTCTGCTCTGCAACTGCTGCTGCTGCTGCTGGTTCACAGTGGCGTGCGATGCGCGCGTCGGTTCTGGTGCACGCAGTCGGTTCTATTCAGGCAGGCAGACAGGCAAGACAGTCATTCGTCGAATCAAGATAGTGACGGCGGACGAGGGCGGCGGTGGTGTTTTCATGGTGGCTCTCCCCGGGGGTTGACGATTTCGAGATTGGAAGAGGGTGCCAAAACGAGTGCGGGGAATTGGATTGTCGGACAAATGTGTGGAGATTTGGACCGAGGGGGAGACTCACACGACGAGGCCACTGGGCGCGATTTTCCTTTCGCTTTTGCTTCCAGCTTTTCCCTTCCTCCCTGGGAACGGATGGATTGATCGATTGATTGATATATTTATTCATTGAGTGAGAGTGATTGATTTTGTGGGCCGGTTCTATTCGTCGTGCTCATCGTGCGGCAATCGGCAGTAGGTTTAGTTTTAGCAGCGACATAAATTTTCGAGAGGGAGGGATGGCCTTCCGAAGAAGAGCAGGCACGGCCGCAATGGCGGCGCTGGCGCTGGCGCGAGGCGCCGGAGCCGTTAGGCCGCGGCGGAGCTCGGACCTGCTGCTGTGCGCCTTCGCGTCGTCGTCGAACGGGCGGGCGGCGCAGTCGGACTACGTGCAGCCGGGCGCGCTGGCGTCGGTGGCGCCGTGGACGTACCACCACCGGAAGCAGGAGCAGCACGCGTTCCCGTGGGCGGTGTCGGGCAACAAGAGCGGCGCGCCCCCGCAGCTGTGCTCGACCGTGAACCCCAAGGACCGCGACTGCGACGGCCTGGACGACTACGTCATGGACGTTGCCGAGGCGCGCAAGATCGTCATGCACGTTAACAGCGTGGCGCTGAAGAAGGCCCTCAAGACCGACTCGCGCGACAGCGTCAGCTACAAGGAGCTCCTCGACATGTGCAAGGAGTATGGCGTCGCCTCCACCGACGATCAGCTCCGCCGCTACGCCCGCTCGCTCGACGAGACTGGCGTCGTGCTCATCTTCCGCGAGAATGTCTATCTGCACCCCGAGAGGGTAAGAATAATTTCGCCCTCCCCTGTCAGTTTGATTGCGCATTTTGTGATTTATGTATTTTTTTTGGGTTTTATGTCGAGTCGGGCGATGGAGGCGATGCAATGCGGGTTGGCTGATTTCGAAGGGATGCAATTCAGGTGGCGAAGCTCGTGGCGCACGCGCTGCCCTTTGCGGTGGTGTCGCCGAACGATCCCCGGCGACTCGAGCTGATGAAGCTCGAGCAGGAGAAGGCGGTGATCGACGCGCTGGCGCACAAGCAAGTGCGCAGGTTTTTGTGGACAGGGCTTGTGGTGCTGACGATCCAGACGGCGCTCTTCTTCCGGCTGACGTTCTGGGAGCTGTCGTGGGACGTGATGGAGCCCGTGGCCTTCTTCCTGACGACGGCCGGGCTGATTGCCGGCTACACCTACTTCCTCATCACGGCCCGAGATCCGTCGTATCAAGATTTCATGAAGCGCCTCTTCCTCTCCAAGCAGAGGAAGCTGTTCAAGAAGAAGAATTTTGATGCGGAGAGATATCGACTTCTGCGGAGACAATGCCAATGCGTCGAGCCCGACGACACCCACTGGTGAAATCACGTCCTCTTCCATGGTGTCCATCCATGGCGGTGGGAATTTGCAGGATTATGCGTACCCGAATTCGCGAGCAGTGTTCTTGGTCCTGGCTGTTTAATCGGCTCTCCCTTTTATTAGAGATCCCTTTTATCGGATGTGGAGGCAGCGACCACGCCATCTACCAAATCAAAATTCGCCTTCAATCTGTCGAGCGACCGAGGTCTCCGATCGAGTGAGCGAGATCTCCCCAACCGCGAGGCTCGAACGGTGTAGGTTGTAGTAAATATTTCAGGGCTGATTGCCCCTTGTCACTCGAGCGGTCCTTTTTTTCTTCGGCGACCAGAAGCCGAACTGGTCGCCTGAATTGTATTTTTACGGAATAGCCATCTGCAGTCCCCAACGGGACCGAGGAATGATATGGTTCACAGAGGTCGTAGAATCGAGCTCTGCATTTTTGGAAACGTACTTGATTTCCTGGACTCTTTACATCCTCTTATTACTCAGCCGGGAACATAGAGCACCAAGGGAGCCTCGGGCATGCCGTCTAAGGAATATGAAAGTTGCACTAGCCCGCAGCGACGACGACGACGGCCCTGGAGCTGTCAGTCAGTCGGTCTCGCTGCTAGGATTTCTGGTCCGTTGTCGAGAGAGCACATATCTGTACATATTCTTTTACTGTAGTGGTGAATTTATAGCGACACTGTCAGGACCTTGGAAAACCGTGAGAGGGTCTTGTAATTCCGAATATGTGTGAAGAAGATGATGATGCCCGAGGCGATCGCATTCTCCTCAGTTCTACCTCAGCCGACTGTGTCTCGACCGCTCGCTCGCTCGTGCGGTCGGTCCTGTGGAATGCTTTGTGATTTTATTGTATGCATTTTGCTCGTTGCTCGATCACACCTACGTCACTTCCGCGCAGTAGTCTTCGATCGGTTTTCAGTGGACGAACGAAATTCGTGTCTCGGAGCGAGTCCGCTGTCGGCTCCGTGCTTTCTCTCAGGGTAAACCCCCGCCTGCATCCTCAGGCCCAGGCAAGACAGAAAGCGAATCGCAGCAAGTCGTGTACACCGAGCTCGCAGTCCTGTCGTTTTGTCGTTGACGAGTTAGGCATTCGATCGGGCCCTTGTCCCGCGAATCCGAAGGAATGAGAGCTCCGTTCGGATGCGGACAGGCGGAGTACGGGAAGAAGTGAGAGTGTGATTGGGTCGGTCTACCTGAAAGCTCCAGTCACAGCACGGATCGCTCTCTGATTACGTGCTGCAAGCTGCTGCAATTGGACCGGTAACATTCGGCTGAGAACTGACATGTGCAGAAGATTCGTTCGTTAGTTTCGGTTGCACTTTTCCCTGATCTGTCGATGATGGATCTCTCAGTGCTTCGTCGCTCGAGTCGCCCTCCTGTCAAACTCCGAGCTTGAAACATCTGTCACGGTTTGATTCCCTTACGAGATTCATTACGGATATTTTCCATCTATGTGTCCCATTCAATCTCACAACACGTTCACTGAAGCCAACCGCAGATTTCGTCCCTGTCGAAATGAGCACACGCAGTCTGCATACGACAGACTGAGAATAATCGTACTCTTCAGCCAATGCGTAAAAGAAAGAACCATCGTCGTGAAGGGGAAAGTTGACAGCTTTCGAAAGATGGGTGAAGCTGTCTGATGGATGTTAGGCGACGCACAATGGCGCCAACCTTCGATGCTCGGGGCAAGCAAATGGGCTGATCTCGACGGATGGATTACGAGTCGTAGTTCGTACTGTCTGTAGCAGCTGACGGTGGTCAAAGTCTGTTAGTCGAGGTGAGCAACTCGAGGTGGTAGAGTATCGGAGAGGGAGCGACTGCGGTGGCGGCACTGCGGAGCGAGATCGGCCGTCGGGAGCCGCGAATTGTGGGGCGTCTCACGATCAAGCGGGTTCGAGAGAATCGGCGATTTTTTTGACTCGATCGAAGCGAGACCGCACGTCATGTGGTTGCGATTAGGTCGTGACTCGTGAGGTGAGTGAGATGCGATGCAACTCACGTCGCACTCCTCACACTCCAACCAATTTCGCATACGAGTCATGCGGCCAGAGTGAAGCAAGAAACTCCCCAAGTGGCGAGCGAGCGAGCGAGCCCGAAGCAGATCGATCGATCGATCGTCTCGCCTCTCGCCTCTCCTCTCCGCCCACTTCCGTGCCCGCCTCTGCTCTGCCCACGGCTCGGCAGGTGAGGGCGGTTAGCGTAGCGGTTCCCGCTTGCCGCGTCCGCCCTCTCTTTCTTCACGACAGCCCAATTCCGGATGAATCATCGCAGACTTTTCTAAAGAGAGAGAGTGCGTTTCATAAGATTCACTCCCTTCTCCGTCGGCCTTGCTGCTCGAGAAGCCAAGACTGTCGATGGGCAATTTCTCTCGTCGTCTCGCTCTCTCTCTCTCTCTCTCTCTCTCTCTCTCTCTCTATCCGTCTGTCGTCCAGTACGCTCTACTCGCTTTTGATTTAACGCTGCTTGTCCGGAGGCTGAATATTCAGCGTACGAATTCTGGCTATGGCTCTGGCTCTGGCTTGGGCTCGGGCTCTAGGAAGAGAGAACGAGGTACTAGTGTACACATCCGAGCGATGGCGATCGCAGGCGCAAGAAATGCCCGGCGGATTCACGGGGTAAGCCTCATCATCAACCGAAAGATTCGTGCGCTCTCGGCCGCTCCCTCGCAGCGAGTCGTTACAATGGTCAAATCATTATTCGCTCCCACCACAAGCAAGGCCCAGAGCCGACTCCATCTCCGACTCCCGGCTTCCTGCCGATTCCTCGACCGAGCGAGGCTTCTCGGCACTCCCTCCTCCTCACGCACTTTCGACCCCACTAACTGCATCCCGCTGCTCGCCGGCGCCATTTGCCTCGCAGGCCCTCCTCTCTCCCGGCTCCGCTAGGCTCGCCTGCGAGGGATGCAGGGCGATGGCGATGGGTAGTTCCAGTGCTGGCTGGCTGGCTGGCTGGCCAGTAGGTGGATGCGGCGATCCACAAGCGAATTTGTTCGATTTGCCAGGCTGACATGCTCTGACCGATCGATCGATCGTTCGCTCGTTCGCGGCTGTCCGCCTTTCCTCGCTGCTTTTCCCGTGCGACCCTCGCTGCTCGCTTCCGTGCGCTCAATCAGAGCGGCCCGTTGCTGCGAGCCTTTCCGAGGGACTCTCGGTGGAGTAGGAACGGTGGTTGACGGTACAGGTGCGTGCACTCTTCGCTTCTAATCTCTCCCTTCCCACCCTCGATCTTCCTTCCTTATAATATTTCCATTCCCTCGATTCTTAAACCTTCTTCCTTGGTATGACGTAACTTCGAAGCTCAGCAAGGTCCGCGCCTTTGCATTCCTCCACTCGAAAGACAAGGACGGCCGGACAGAGAGACGGGGAGGAGGGACAGGCTAGAGAGTATCAGGGGGAGGCTCTGAAGTGCGAACTTTGCTGTCGACGGTTGAGGAAATGATTACTGCATGCCGGTCTTAGGACATACTACGTTAGGCCCTAAGACCGCGACGTCGACCGCGACCGCAGTAGGCACCTGTCGCGAGCTGTGATCCCAACCGCGTAGAATGTGCCGGCACAAGAGAAGAAACGAGGCCCGGGCCGACCTTCGTCATCGATTGGATCGGACAGCGGTGTGGAATCCGATCCAAAGCACGAATCGGATCGGTCGAATCCGAACGCGCATTCTGTCCACTGACTTCGATACGATTCCATGCCGCATCACATGCCCTCGCATCTCTCTCTCGATCGAGTCTTCGGCCAAAATCGATCGCGTTGAATTTCTCCGAAACCTGCGCCGTCAAAGTTGAAGAAAAGTTGCATCGGTGTTACACCAGGGCTCAGGCTTCTGGCATGATTCATTGTCCTGACGACTGGAATGGCAGTACTTCATTGAATACAGATCTGTATGTTGTGCTTTCGAGTCCTACAGTTGACCAAGAATCGAAAATTATCAAAATCTGTAAGTCACTATTTAGTGATCTTTTGCACACGGATTTCCTCCCATATTTGGAAGTTTATCAAATGGCACGGCTTATTTTATTCATGCTCCTAGGACGTACTCCATATCTCACTTTGGTATCAACAACTCACTCTTTCATTTCTCAACTTGTTGACTTTGGTAGAATGGATAGGTTGTGGTGATATCATGAATATTCACATGGAATCCATGAGGGATAATCAAACGAGGATCCACTAATCCAGTCCCTGCTCAATTTCTGATTCTTTTGGAATCATGTGTCAACTTGACATGAAAGATTATGAACCAAGATTGCTTTTTATTAGATAGATCTTAGTCTTAATATAATACTTTGCGAGAGGTTAGGTTTTGACTACATGATTATATTTCATGAGTCAGGTGCGAGTGATAGTTTGTCATCTTGAGTATTGATCAACATTCCACTTTTAAGAGTTTAGCTAAGATTCATTCATACATATACAATCATGCTATTAGAAAATTCATCTTCATGCATTATGAATTTGCGTGATATTTATGAAACATGTATGTCCTCATGCTTGTAAAGAGTGGAGGTTTTGACCATAATTGATAATTGACCATGTTGTTCATGTTTTTTTACTACAAAAGAAGATAATAGATGATAAAGTATGATATAATTTGAGTAGATTTCAATATTAAGAATTTTGAGAAAAAAATTTATCTAAAAATATATTTCACTCTGTCTTTGTGGTTGCAATTATACTTGGCACTTTAATGTCGTGACTTTTATACTCTATTAAACCCAATTTATAAAAATCATGTCATGGATGCATAGTGTAACTTATTTGAATTAAAAACTCTAAAAGAAATTCGATTTTGATTTGACTTGAGATCAAAGTTCATTCCTTACCTTCATGAATGAACACTTTCGTACTAATGAAGCTATCTCACGACTTTTCAACATTTTAATGGAGTTTTATAATCTGATTTAAACATTTAAAGAGATAGTAATAAAGTCAAGTATCAGAAGATTAAGCTACATCTAAATTTCAAATCAGGATTCTGAGAATAGAAACTATTTTATGAGAGGTTAAAGTTCGAGTATAAATTAGAATCTAGATAAGTGTTTTTGAGGCTTCTAAAAAATAAAAAATTGTCATCTAAAAACTTACAATATTAGCTTTTCTTTAAATTTATAATTTAGTTAAATAAAGAACATTCTACTTGCATGATGACACAAGATTCAAGATTCTATTTATTTTCAAGAGTTTAATTAATGTCTATAATCTTTGCTACAGAAACTTTATCAAAATAAAATTTCTCCAATCTAAGATTTGGATTTCTTTTTATGGCACAATGAAGTTTATGAATCTAATTATTGTGAAGTTTCACAATGATTAGAGTCATAAGAAGATTAATAAGATTGATATTATTCCTTGAAAATATATGACCAATTAAAAATTCCTAGATAAAAAAAAATTTCAATTATTCATGAAGTTTGAATAACATTAGAAGTATCAAATCTTATGACTTAAAAGGTTTTAAAAATACTGCTTTAATATTTCAAATGAGAAATTATGAATGAAATATCAAAGTATAATGATTCATTGAATAATCATGTGAATCATTATATAGTCATGTACTAAAACTACAATGATTAAAAAATGATCAATGATACAACATTGTGTGTCTTAACACATATCACTATCACATGTTGAGCTATACAAATGTTGATTATTGTAGTTTTTTATAAATAGCAAAAAACTCAAGTTTATGAAAAAATCAATTGTTGTGATTGATGTTGTGGTTATTTATGTAGTTAACTTTACATAATCATCATGTAAATCATCAAATTTAAGTTCAAGATAAACAACATTATCATACTATTGTCATCATCAAGCATAATAATTGTCTAAAATGAAAAATGACATACTGTACCACAAATGATGAATCTAAACTCAAGTATTCTACACAGTTTCTAGTTAAATTAGTAACATCAATACTAAAGCCAGATATAATTGTTAAAACTTGAACTGCAAAGTAGGAAAATATAATCAAAATAACAACATTCAAAAAGTTTATTACTTACAACATAAAACTATAATAAAAGCTATATATCTATCAAACCAAATGTGAATTCTATGTAAATATCAAATAACGATCACAAAAAGATTAGGCATTTGAAGCTACATATTTTTCACTACCATAATTCCACATCAACTCCTCTCAAATTTCATATATCACCTTCTATGAATCATGTTTGAAGTGTGAAGAAATCTCCAAAGTCAATCTCATTAATACCCAAAACTAATTCATATTTGGTAGAGGTGAGATCACCCTTTCTAATTCCCTAAGATTTGTTGATATTTGATACAACATACATATTTTATATCAATAGATAAAGAAATCAAGCTAATAATCAATTGTTGTAGCCGTGTCATAATACCATCCCGATCTTTCTTTGTTTCTGTTTGCAACTCTTGAATTATTTTTTATTGAACAATAACATCATCAACTATTATTTAAAATGTTTGTATGTCAAAATTTTGATTTGATAAACTAGTGTTTTAGAGTGATGTGGATTATGAAAGAAATAATACTGTAAAACTATATCCAACTACTATTGAATCTTCTAATCAACTGAATTTTCACTTAGCTACTACTATCAATTTAAAATTTTTAATTATTAGTTACTTTGATGTAGTTGAATGTGATTTGCTAGCAAATGTCTATAAGAATTTTGGCTTTCAAATTTTTTGATGATAAATTCTTCCCAATCAGTGTTGTTGATGATAAAAATCAAAATTTTGAATTTTTTCAATTTGTCTTGTCACTCTATTTCTTAATCTACAATTAAATTTGACTTCAAACTATTTTATGATATTCACGTAATTGTGAATAGACTGAAAATCAAATAGATCTGACATAAAAGTTCACATGAATTAATTCTATGTTACATCTAAGATAATATCTCACGATTTTATTGAAGATATTGAGTGATGCGAGTCTGTTTATCACACTAAATACTACAACCAACAAACTAGAGACTAAATCACAGCCAATAAATTCTAAATCTAACAACAGTCGATAACATTATTAACAGAATTAATGCTAACATTCTAAAATTTATTTTGGTGGTGGAGTTCTTGCTCTAGCATAGAACTTAGATATATATTATTTCATTGACTCCGTTGATTACAACTTGCAATTTAATGCAAATTGTACACAAGTGTAGCATTTCATCTCTATATTTGAGATGTAGTATGTGTTGTTTGTATTTTTTCCATCTTTGAACAGATCATTAAGGACAAACGGTACATGTAATTTATCTTCAAATCTATGCAATCTTCTTAATATAAACCAGAATCAATTTTGAATGTACATCAATTTTTTTTTAAATATCTCCAATATGATACTTGTGTATAAATCTTCAATATTATTATTTTATGTGAATTTTATGCTCATCTTGGCAAAGAATCAATTCGATGTTGATAGATGCAAGAACAAACTAAAATTTAAATTGAAGATGAAGTATTTGAGTAAGTCCAAAATGATATTAGGAATGAATGTTCACAATTATTTGATGAATAAGAGATTATGTTTGAAGCAAGTCAAGTAAGTTCAATAACTATTTGACACATTTAACATGACATAGTCTAAAGAAGTACCATACATCAAAATTTCTGCACCTCAATGTCCAAATGATGTCATTGAGAAGAATAAGATGTCAATAAATCTCTATGACAAAGTTATAAGCAAACTGCTATTGATAATGTGTACAAGGTCTAGTATTGCTTTATTCATGAGCAAGGTGAGCAACTACATGTTCAATCCAAGATAGATGTACCGAGAAGTAGTGAAATGAATTTTCAATAATTCAAAATGTATCAAGTATTGTGATTATTGTTTGATGTTCTATCACACAATGTCAAATCCTTGCTATGCTACGTTGATGACTATGAACAAGATATATACTAGAAACTCTACAATTCAATATATGTTTACACTTAGTGATGAATGCATTAATAAGAAATTTTCCTTGCAAAAATGTGTACATCGGTCTGCCCCAAAAGTTAAATATCTAGATGAAGCACAAGTAGCAAAGAAAGCTATGTGAGTGATTTAGACGTATGACTAAGATGGGATTGAAGTATGATGTTGTCAATATTTAGTGTGATAGCCAAACTGCATAATATCTTGCTGCAAATCAAATGATGAACAATAAAATGAAACACATCGATATCAAATATTAATTTTATCAAACATATAGTTTATTATAAAAAAAATTGAACTTGTTCAGATTGACGATATATTTAATCTAGATGATTTGTTGATCAAAGTTATTATATTGAAAAGTTTAAGTACATTTTGTGCTAATATGCAGTATTTCAAAACCTCTTTATACAAAAATACTTAAGTAGATTTTACTAACAATTTTAACGAACTTTGCATATTTTTAGTCTATCATGTTTTGGCTAAATTTGTAGTTCTAATTAGCACTAGATGAAAAGAGTGTTGTGTGGTAGATTTCATATTGGTATTTTCATTTTAATTATGTAGTTTATGAAGTTTATTTACCCTTACATGAGTTAAGTAATAGATTGTTAGAGTTAACTACTGTCATGAGTGTTTACGGCTAGTGATGTATGAAGGTGACATCAAGTTAAGATTCATCAATCTAAGATGTGTCGAATACTTGAGGCAGCTAGCTAGAACTCTTGTCACGTCAAAAATTACACGATCTTGTTGGAGGTGATATTCTAGACTAAACCATGATATAGTTTCAACTTTTGTATCTATTCGCATTTTCTGTTCTTGTGATGTTCTTCAAATATGTATCATTAATTAGATAATTTATGATAATATCATCAAAATTACATATACAATCTATGTTAATCAAGATTTATAATATAAAAAAGAGTTGCATGAATTTAAGTACACAAAGAATAAATATGTAAAGATCTTGAGAAGCATTAACTATCTTTTAAATATAAGATGAATTTCTTCTATATTTTTTTGTTTCTTTCTTCCAATCATTGGATGTTATTTTGCACACTGAACAATGGAGAATTGTTTAGTATAAGATGATTTTTTATTTTATTTTATTTTATTTCTTTCTAATTATTGAATTCTATTTGCACATCGAACAATGGATATCAAAGTAACATTGTAAAATTTTTCAACTCAAAGGAATTATCCAATGATTTTATGCTTTACTCATGTGTTTTATGGACATTTTTCTCTTTACACTTTGTTTAGTTTGATGTAAGCTAAAGATTGAGGTAAATACCAAAATCAATGAATGTTAATTTTCTCGAGAAAAGTGTAATCTTTGATTTTATATGACATAAGCATAATTAACGTGAACAATACTGCTCATTATATTCCTCATTAAAATATCTCTTAGATCTAGAAGTATATGTGTCTAAGTTTAGTAGTTTGCAAAGATGTTATTTCTTTCTTCCACGAACCTTAGAGGCGAATGAAAGTATATGAGAGCGTGGCAAAGTTTGTCATGAAGTTTGTATGCTTCATAATTTCGTGTGGCCTATCTTGTTTTGTTTCCTTTGCTAAGAGACCACTAGCTAATGCTGTACTTACATGAGCAATAACATTGGGTGATGCTTGTACAACGGGAATATTCTACTGTTTGCCTTCTAAATACTATTGGGTGATTCCAAACTTTCTTTCAAGACCGATGACTCCGTATTTCCTCCCATTGTTATCGTATTTCGAGAATTCGGTTGTACGAACGAAATGTGCCGGACGAATGGTATTTGCTTGCAAAGACAGCCTCAAGCCAGGAAAGAAGAATGAGGTGGACAACAAATTCCGCCATACATAATAAATAGCAACATCAATGGTCTCATATAAATTGGAAAAATCGGTTTGTTAAGTCCCTCTTTATTACTCTATTTGCTTCTTGCTTTGGGGCACTGGGAATCTTATGAAAACGCTCAGTAAATCTACCTACAGACCCGTGTAGCATCCTGTACACATACGCACAGAAGATGACGCCTTCTTCCCTTCTCACGAGAGTGTACTACGGATACTCAGAAGATCTCATAAATATGACACGTAACATCTAAAACCCCCTAAGATCACAAAATTGCTCAACTTCACCTGAGTTGCTACTTGTACATATCACAGGAGCAAGAATGGTACAAAAGCTCTTACTCAGGCCAAAGATAGTTAACGGACCTCTCAAGCTATCTATGCGTTCTGTTACACCGCCAATCAACCCTGGGGTGCATCTCCTTCGCTGTCGTCACTCGCGTCGCTGCAATGAACAGAAAGTTAGCCGGGAGCCCATTTCAGCCCACAAGGCTAGAAGGTATCCTCTGTGTTGCTAGTAATTTAGTAAAAACAACTTTAGCCAACTTCGCAGGGAAATCCTACTTAGAAGTGGTAGCACAAGTGGATAAAGCATAAGAGCCCTTTCGGTATCAAATCTGCAGTCTGCAAGTACTATCCCGGTCGAATAATGAAGGTAAAAATGCAGACACTAACCTCATTTCTGGTTGCTTTGAAATCCTTCGCGCATCCAGACCAGTAATATACTTTTGCGATGCTTGGACGTTATCACCTCCTGCACGAGCACACATTATTATGAGAAAATGCACTTTCAAGAAACTTCACAACTTCAGACCCGAAATTAACCGAACAAAACAAAACAGAAAGAAAACGTATAAAAGAAACCAAGGTTAAAATGTCCATTACCTTTGGCAAGTTGGAAGAGGTGAGCTGCACATCGTTCTGCTGCTAGGCGAACTGGCGTGCTAGTATCCTTCAAACAATCACCGACGGCTGGTCCCAATGTATTCAAGAAAGGACTTAACACATCTGCATTTGCCTGAGGAAATACAAACCATGTTATTGAAAAATGGTTGGAAAACAGCTTCCTTTCTATTTGACCTCCGTCCCTCGATACACAATTGGATCCAGGTTATTCGTCGAGCATATACAAACACTACAATATTGTTATTTGTTCACAAGAACCAAGGGAGAGACTACACGAGTAGGATGTACGTTTTGTAAAATGTATGGCCATAATTCAGGCCAGCAGTTCTTCTCAGATCAATTGCAGGCGAGAGTAAATCCTTTTGAAACATATCAACCAGAGCAAAGCGAGCTTTTCGTCCCAACGTGACTCGATGACTCGATGATGTCTACTAGACATCATCTATCTCCACTTGTAAGATTAAGAAGAAGAAAGCATCAGAAAAACCTTGTCATAAGACCCTGTGACTATGTCCACTGTTCCCAGAAATAGTAGAGACGAATGCTCGAAACATCAGATTTGAAGTCGCCAAATCAGAAAAGAAACATAGAATCAAAGTCCAAAGATTTAAAAAAAACATACTCTACAGCAATGGCCAGAAAAGCGGACCTGAAACACAAATGAATACGGAGAGAGAGCAATCAGAGGCCTTGACAATTGACACATGTATGCTTTAAGGTGTTCTGTTGTTGCTCAGAAGTCACCAAGGCGTACACCTAAGTAACTAATTTTCTACAGAGCTTCGAATATGAATACATGTTGCATACCTCATAATTGGCAAGAAGAGAGGAGACAACAACAGAATATTGAGATTTACCATGACAGGAGGTTCAAAGAGACTGTGAAGACTGCAGCGAACTGACGCAAAATGACTTCAGACAGAGTTTAGATTGGAAAAGTAGCAAGAGAGGGGAAAATCAGCACCAAGGGGTCAATAAAAATGGAAGGGGACTTGGTGGGCTAAACCATATCGGAATATGGGATTCAGGACCTACTAAGCATCAAAATTATGAAGAGGTAATGTGGAGAAAAAAAACACCTTAGAAATTAATTTCAGAGCGCTCAAAGCCTTTCTCCGCACGTCGCTCGAGTCATCTCGTAGAAGGGCGACTAAGACTGGCAGCAGCTCAGCTCGGGATGCTACATCTCTCACACGGTATACAAGGAACCGACCAAGGGCTTTCGCTGCAGCTTCTCGCACGGGTACCTGATACAAACCACCAGTATCTGAGATTCAATCTTCCGAGATCAATCGCGTTCGGCATTCAGCAGCTTCGGCTTGGCGCATATGTACAAAAGATGTAGCATTTTCCGGAATTGACGTGAGTATCACTAACCTTGTCGTCTTTTGCTCGAGTTTTGATGGCTCCGACCACCATTGACATGGAGGTAGAAGACTCATATACTCTACTAACACCATGTCTCAGCACTGATGCCAAAACAAGAGTTGTGCCATGTCGCAGAGCCCACGTAGCAGACGATCCAGTGGAGGCCGTAGCCTCTACCAGCCTCCCAAACTCAGCGTCTCCAATGTACTGAAAAGCAGTTCACAGTTTAGTTCATAACCGTCAGAGAAAATAGCGGGACATCGTCTAAAATGGGCAAGGAAAACCACAACCTCAGTGCGAGCCTAGAAAGCTAGGGAACAGACGACGGAGTAGCTGCGATTTCCATCCAGGAAAACCAGGTGAACAATCAGATACCGAACTAAACAGAAAGAAGTATCACAAATCGAACAAGGTGTAGTTACCTGAGACACGATACCGATTGCCCTTGCTGCTAACCCCCTAACCTCATCTTCATCGGAAGGTAGGAGTTCTTGTAAAGCTGCAACAACACGTTCCAGTACAGGCTGGCTTATACTCTTCCCAGCATGTTTCATCACACCTTTCAGAGCAGTTAGCATGGCCTCCCTGACTCCTCCTTCCGATGCCTGAGCCAATACAATCCAATAATCATCAGTCATGTTTCACACGAGCAAGAAATTTGAGAGAATTTCCTAGTTGTGACACTATTCTTACCCCGCTCCAGTTTAGCACCAGCATCTATTATCGCTGATGCGCGCTTCGATTTAAATATGACAAAAAAAAGGTTTCGTGACCCACCTGTAGACCAGAGAGGAGATCACCAACAAGAGGATCAACTCGGGCACTCAATCCAGTGAGCTTTCCTAATGCCCATGCGGCTCGTGCTCGTACAGCCCTGTAACAGAAAATTTTGACGTTTTCCTTTTCTTTAATCCTAATACCAATTCGGGATCTAACTCATCCGACCCAACGAACATAAAAATCAACAGAAATTCGGGACAATTCTGATTTCCGGTCTATATCACAATCTCAGATGAGTGAGGCGAGTAGAGATCAAGTCCATCTAAGTTCCCAGAATCTACGAAAAACAGTGCTTCAATCCTTTCCACTGAGGTGTGTGCGAGAGGAATAAGTTCGCCGTCAAATTCACTACATAACAACCTACAAGCAGCAAATGGTAAAATACCTCGTGTTGTCTTGAAGACATTTTATGAATGTAGTTTGCAGCTGCGGCAAGAAAGGTTTCAAAGCAATGCCTCCTTTGCTGATGATAATGCCAAGAGTTGCTAAAATTGCACTCTTTACTTGCCATGGGAACCTATCTCCAATAATTCTGATAAGAGGCCTGTTGAGATCAACATGAACAAACGCGTTCAAAAACTGGATATTGTACCACATTAAAGGCTTGCACGTCCAACACGACATAAGTGGTGATATACCACTCGATCTACGGGAAACTAAGGTGACGTTGGAACTTCTAGCTGACTTCTGTCTTGATGAACATACCCAGTAATAGGAACAACAAATGGCTTCAGAGCTGCTTCACTGGTGACATCGATCAGTTCTCCAAGACCTTCTGCAGCCTGCTCCCTTATTTCGGCAGATCCACTCATTAAACCCTGCAGATTTCAAAAGATTCAATGTTCAGTTGCATCAACTAGACTGCACAATCAAATGTCTTTGACAAACACACCTGATTAATGATAGTTGTTCTCATGATGACAAGAACGTAATCGACGACAATTGCAAAAGACATGAATATCCGATTGACTCACTTGAAGAAAGATTTGCAGCACCGGTTGCAAAGCTTTGGGGAGACAAAATCCAGGAATAGTCAATGAACCTCCCTGCATTTGCAATGTTTTCAGGTCCAAATCACGACTCCTCAAAGCAGCCATATCTAAGACGACAATGTTCTCATCGTCTTACTATCAAAATCAACGGTTGAGTCTGAAGAATTCGACATGAGTACCAAGAAATTCGTCTAGAAGATTCATACACAAATCACAATCCGGATGTTCGGCATGACAGAGAATATCACACTAACAATATTCTGCTGACTCGACTGCCTCACCTTTCGTTTACGACGTTCTTTGTCTCTCGCTGTGGAGACAGCATCACGCACGATCTTGATGTAAGAAGGAAGACTTTCTTTTGGGATAGTTCCCGACACGCATGCCAAAGCCTCCCAGGCAGCCTGCACAAAAAACCTTCATCAGTTAGAGAGTAAAGGGAAAAAGATACAATAGACCTTAACCTTCTACTTTTGGGGCATTTGACACATAATCCAGGACGTCTCGACCGACATCAGACACTTAGGGATATTGAGAGTCAAATGAAGGAGATAGCCCACTCGAAGTTTGCTGTGTCTTGACAACTCATAATTCAAAACTCACCTTCACTGTGGATTCATCATTATCAGTAAGCATGACTATAAGCATAGTCAAGAGATTCGGCACTTCATCCTCCAAGGACAATTTCGTATTTTTGAAAAAGAATCCGGTCAAGTAGGCTGAACTTCTACGGACTGGGGCCTGAAGCACCAACCAAAGCACCAAGCACCAACTTTTAGTCTTTTGGTTCAAAGAAATTTAAAAACAACTCTGATCGCATAATATTGTCAACAGGCAGATGGACCATGGACACCTTCAAACTGGGAAAAAGTGAAACCTTATGAAAAATGTCCCTGAAAGATTCACGAATTAGATTTGACAGGGCATTATGTCAAGATAATCTATGTTAAGAGTTGGAGTCATTCATCATTACCACAGTTCACGTAGCATGGAAAGATATAATTCACCTGAGAATCTCCTAGACCCTTCACAAGCTCTCCAATAACGGCATCAAGGCCTTCAACATCTACAGCCATGACCACGGTTTCGGCCGCGCGTTTTGCTAACGGGGCAATAGCCTACAAGCAAACAAATATCAGAACATAGCCACGTCGCAAAGATCTTATTCCAGTCTCAAATTTGAGCAGAAACTTGAGTACGAACATATAGTCGACGCTCAGAGCCAAAAGTTCATCAAATACCTCGTGATCATCCATAGTCGAGATAAGGGGAGGTAAAACTGTGGATAGATGAGTATTAAGCCCAGAACCGGCAACCTCTGCTAGAGCTGCCAAAGCATGTGCATTGAATGCCCTGTACCACAAAACGACGTCAATGATCTAGCAAAATTTGGAATCCGGAAACTAGCAGGCGCAATATCACATACTAGGAATATCGCAAGCAGTCACCCAACAAGTTTTTTCGGAAACAACTCACGTGAGAGGTGGATGAACCAGCTTCGGAAGTATGTGCGGTAGCACCACTCCTGTTCTGACACTGCAAGAAATAAGGAAAAAATGTATTAGATGCAGCGTAACAAGATGCAGGAAAATATCATTTCAACGACAATAGAAACAAGCAATTGTCGATCTGTGTCTCACCTAAGAATCTGTTTCAGTCCATCGAGAGCGGTGGCAGAGGTGTTCTCATCTTCTAGAGCATGAAGAAGCGCTGGTACAATCTCATCAACAGCAGTCATTCCAGCACTCTGCAAGTCCGAGATATAGCTTAGACTTCAAGAATGATGAAGAGAAGCATTCTTTACATTTACAGGAAGGATTTTAGAAAGTGGTTCATCATAAGACTTGGGTTTCTGTCAAGTCCACAGTATGAGAAAAGGTCTACTCAACCAAAAATTATGGTGACGAAACTTGACCTTAAATAGAGTGCTGAAAGCCAGGCCTGCTGCCTCCCGTACTTCAGGCACGCTGAAACATGAGTAAACAAGATATTAATCCCATGTCCGCTAGATAAATATAAACGGAGGCAAAACAGGAACCTTAACGAAGCTAAGAGAAAACATCCACCAAGTTCGAACAATCAGTTGATAGGAGCTATTACTGAACTCACCTATCGCACAGCGCGGTTCGTATAGTTGGGATGAGGTCTGTCATGTAGGCCAGCAGCTGGTGCTTCCCTGCGCTTGCCAAGACTTCACTTAACCCTATGCAGACACCCTGCACAAGCCACACAGTGTCCAAACACATACATCTCAGCCCATGTGTGTGATACTCGGGACTTCGCATTTGAGATAGAAAGACTTAGACCGAGCATAATGAAAGGCCATAATTTAGGAACATAACATGTTTCATCCGAAGTACCCTACCTGTCTTGTACTTCCAACGGGGTCCTCGAGGCCACGAGACAAGATTGGGATAATTGAGGGCAGGACTCTGTCACCCAACTTACGAACGAGTTCACCTAACGACCGACCAGCAACCTGCGGAACCAAGATCCCAGTCAGAAATAATTTGTGAACTGCATATGGACTGGTACAAAAGGATAGAAAAGGATCTTGTTGAATTCTCCTTAAAATGTAGAACGCAGAGTACGAAACAACACCTGTCGTCGTTCAGAGGATGTTGACGCCAATGAAGATATTAGAGTACTCATCAACACTGGCATTATCTCCTTCAAAGTTTTCGGTGTGTTCGCCACGATCGTCTTCCACACGTGTAGAGCGGCCTGGAACAACACGGCTCAGATTTACTCAGATTTATACATACATTCTTTTGTTCTTTCTTCCCTCTACGCTATACAGATATTCAGATAAGCTACTTGCAAATGGAGCCAGAGTTGAAAATCGCACTATTCCTTACAAGTCACATTGACACCAATCCAATAAGAGTAAAAAGGGTCTCTGCCGGTGTCCTACCTGACGGACGGTGAGACTGACATCAGATCGGACCATGTAAACAGCAGCCAGCACCTCATTACGACGCTCTTTACCCAATATCTCAACAATAGCTCGACCATGCGCTTCGGTACTAGCACCTTCATCGTCACTTCCACCCTCCAGCACCACCTTTCCAGACGTACCAGCAACCTGGAGGAAGAGATAACATACATTTGAGGTTAACAAATAAGCACATCCATTATAAATATGCTACAAGAAAGAGGCAACGACTGTCTATATCCTAACCAAGTATGAGGACGACCAGTCCAGATGACCAACAGATTCATACACAATGCACAAAGCCGGTGAATCCACCTCACCTTGAAAAGAAGATCACCCAGCAGCTCAACTGAGCTCTGACGAATTCTCCAATTATCGTTGAATATACCCTCTTCGACGGCGGGCAATAATAGGGGTAGTGACCTGATTAATGCAAATTTCGAGTCATCAATTTTACCGTACTTTTCACAAAAACTACTGCGACAACTAACATACACTCAGTAATTTATATACTCGATCCTCAGTCGTCCCAGAAAGAGAGCTGTCATAAATGCTGTCGTAGTATTAGGATCGACTTGTCCTTAATATTATTCAGAAAATCAGAAGCTTGCAAACAGAAACCTTCACAACTAGTTTGTATGTATCTAAGGTTCTCTATCGTGACATCTGCTATCCAGTCGGTAGAAGGTACGGCATGCGGTTTCGAGACCACGTTCCACGCCAAAGCTTATTTTGTAGCTCAGCATACGTCATTGCAACATAATACGGTGAATCTTTCGTAGAGGAAGAGCAATAAACAAACATACAAAAACTAACAAAAAAAAAGATGGCGAACCAGACACGTACGTTGTGGCATAGTGCTCTACAAGCACGTGTCCAGAACTCAATGCTGCGTCGCGTACAGACTCGTTCTCATCGGCAAGCCCTGCGTTTATTCAACGAATAGTAAGAGCACAGAAATATAATTTCGTGAAAAAACTGTTCTTCATTGTCTAGGATGGTATAATTCTCCATATAATGCATCTTACCGTCAAGAATAGCAGGCAGAACCCGCTGAAGATATTGTTGGAAAGTGGGACCTAGAGCAGTCGGAAGGTACTGATCACATTGAAAAGAAACACGCCAATTAGTACCAACTTAACACCAAGACTAGATTCTAAGACACACAGAGGTGGAATAAGATAAAATATGTTCAACACTCAGAGGTGAAAAAAAATAAAGATATACCTTGAAAAGTGTAAGATAACCATCGCGCACTGCGGCACGTTGATGTGAGCAGTTTTGAATAATATCTGGCAACAGCGACTCAAAGTACTCTGTACCCAAGGCAGCGAGGACCTACAGAGTACACGAGGTGAATTAAGACGCAGCAGTAAATACGCTGCTGAATCACGATGGCAGGTAGGCACATCCAGATTAAGACAAATTTAAAGAAATCAAGGCAATAAGAATCCAAAAAAACATACCTCACTGAGTCCTTGAGCGGCTCCAGATCTTTCAACGCTGCTGTTCTCTGATTTGAGAGTCTCCAGCAACCAGGGAACCAAGTCTTTGAAATTCTCTTCACCCATTCCTCTGATCAATGAACCCAAGGCCCTAGCTGCAACGGTTCGGACCTCAGGAATAGGATCGACAAGTACCTGTAGGTCAGAACGCAGTAGATACGTTAGATTGACTAAATTGGACGAGAACAAGATCTCTTGAAGTCCGGAATTCCCCATAACTTGGGAAAAAACACCAGAGAAAGAAGCATTTTTGGGTTTCCTTCTAAGCAGCTTAGGTTTGTGGAAAGAGAAGGTGCACAGGTACATTCCCTGTAACCCAATGGAGATATCTTACTAACGACCACCTCGTACCTTCTTCACTTCAGGTAGAAGCAAACTAAGATAAGGAAGCATATCCTTGTGTTCTGTCACTAACGAACTCATGTTGCCAACGATTTGTGCTGCTTTCTTCTTGGTCTCAGCACTCCTTTCTCGCAGACCACGGTGCACGATAGGGACAAGCAGTGCCAGAGATGGGGCGTCCACTGAGTTGACAAATGTTGTCTGCATTCATGAAGTAAGAATACATCGGTCAAGCACATACCCTTCATCAGCCAGCTTGTTGCAGACGATGAGAAATCCGGCTACACGGGTCTAATGGCAACATCAAAGGGACCATCTGCTGTTAATTTATTCTACATCAATACGACAGGACAATTAAATCAGAAGCTGGACAGTGTATTATTATACACGTCAGAGAGTGATAATCACCTGGAGAAGAAGTTCCAAGCATGATTTGGTATGCTCATTTGGATCAGCAATACCGACCAGAAGAGTAGGTACAAGAGCAGCAATCTCAGGATTTCGAATGACGCTGCCAACCTGAGCAAGTTACCACAAGAACCACTGGTGAACAACTCACTCTTATATAAATGAGAAGCAAAAGACAAAAACGCAAAATGACGGAACTGACATACCTGTTGTAAAGAAGTCTGTGCCGCTGACTGCACCTTGGGGTGGGTGTCTGTCAATACCTGCACGACTCCGTAAGAAATAGTATAAGCTTCACATATCAATTGTCTGAAAAGTTATGCAATCATACAAGTTTCTGCTTTCACCTTTAAATACCTTGAATGACAGCTGATATCATAAATTCGATACACTTAAGTGGCTGACATAAAATTATTGCCACTTTTATCGTAAACGAGTCACCAAATTTGCATTTTGCATTTAGTGAAGTCATGCAAAAAAGAGTTCTCACAAACCTCACTCAGCTTCGGTACAATGGTTGGAAGACACTGAGATAACTGCCGTGGAGCACAAAATGCCATGGCGCCAAGAAGCTGTACACTTCCTTGCTTCGTTCGCCATGCCTTGTCTTCCAGGCCCTACACCATTGAAACATGTTCGGACAATACTAACTCAGAGATCTCAACGGAGTGCGAACAACGTGTAACTTGTTAATACAAATGAGGCATTCCTTTATCATAGACGAATCATCAGGCTTCATGTCATGCATATAGCAGGAAAAAGATGCTAAAGACCACAGCATACCATAGTGCCATTCTTATATTACTTCTCATGTCATGACGTTTTCCAATAATACCTTCATAAGAGCTGGTAATACAAGCTTGACTCCCTGGCCACTTAACTGCGCCATGATGGCACGGGCTGCACCTTCTGCTGCCTCACGGACAGCAACGACTTGATCTGAGAAGCAGACCAATAACACAGGCAAAATCTGTATGACATACCTGCAAGTCAAATCAACGACTCAGGCTATAGGCCATCGGTTCATTCCCTTTGAGTACAACATAAGGAACCAGAAACTTAAAACAAATAGCTGATGAACGAGCTCTTGCAAAAGATCCTATACTCACGGTTCGAAAACACGTCCAAGCTTCTCGCACAGACACTCGAACCCACAAAGTGCTCCTTCACGTGCCTTCGCTGAGTTCCTGTTGATAAAACCACTTAGCTGACATGTAGCGTTCATTCATTGAATCTATCCGCAAAGTTTTGAAAAAGCGATGTATACTTCATCTATGAATCTTCCAAGCTTGAACGAGAAAGAAAGGCTCTTAACAGATATTGTAGTGGTATGGACAGCTATGATATCCTTTCAGGTGATTCACGGAAAATAATAGCTCAGGACAGGCGACATGACATCGTAGCTATTACCTATCTTCAACGCCGGCCTTCAAGGCATCCATGATGGCATATTTCTTAAGACTCGAGAGCCCCAGACCCTTCACGACTCCAGCCAACCCAAAAGCAGCACCTCGTCTTTCACCATATTTGTCACTCTTCATAAGTCGATCCAACAGCTTGGTCAACAGCGACTGCGCATTGTCCTGGGTAAACATTTGATGTGGGTCATAGTTATACGCATATCCTACTGTCCAAAAAATAAGAAATTTCTTTATAGAAAAAAATCTCTTATTGCCCGACAGAATATTAGCTGCACCAAAGACTGATATCTGAATATCCGTTAGACTGATATCTGGCGTCTGATAGACTGAGTATATCACAATGTTGGCCTTCAGTACTGGTCAGATATCAGTAACGTAATCCCGTCACTCACAATAATGAAATGATGAATCTGAAGAAGTTTACCTGCTGAGAAGCCATTAGAGGGGGCAGACAATTGGAAACAGCTCGCTGCACGGATTCTGAGGGCGTATTTAGCACCTCCAGGAGCCTTTCCAGTATAGTTGAAATTTTAGGATCATCCTATGTGTGCACAGATTCAGAGTGTCAGGCATCTCAAAACTTGGGTCCACGGTACGTCATGACCATATTCTGAAACTTTCATTGTGAACAGATGACCAAGAATTTGATTAGCATCTAAATGAACTTCAGAACAAAAGTCAGTACTCACCTTCGAAAGATGTTTGGCAAGAGCTCCCATGAAAATCACAACTCCTTCTCGAACCAAGTCATATCTTTCTTCATCGGCAGACTGCTCACATCAACACCACATCAGATTGAACTATTAATCAGGACACTCGAGTGAAAAAGCGGCGTACCGTCCTCAAAAGATCATGAATGGGTGAAGTTTAAAGAGAAAGGAATCCGAGCCGAGCTCCAAGGCAAGAACCATACGATACTGATTGACAGGTTTCCAAGGTAGGACCTAAAACTACGTACCTTCTTGTCCAGATAATTTTCAAATATTGGCAAAAGAAGGCCAACATTGTCCTTCCCTTGCTTATCTATGATTGCCACCCCTGCCTCTACCATTCTGAAACGCACGTCTGGATTGGAGTCTGCCTGCAAATATAATTATCTCCACAATGTGAGAAGTGGATAGTTGTCAAAATGATACGAATTTACAACTGAAAAAGACATGATCTTGCATCTAATTCCAAAACATTGCTATGTCGAAGGAGTTTATAGAAATAAATCAGCAGTTTTCTAGACATCTGAAATCAAGTCATGAAAGAAGCACAACATGCTGAAAACATCAACCAGTATTCTGGGGAAAAAAGGCTTTTGAAGGTGATATAATTTACCAAAGCGCGGGAGATAAGAAAGGTAGCAACGACTGGAGGGTCCCTCACGGTAAGCACATCTGCGGCGGCCAGCAAAGACAAAGCTACACCCTGTCTTCCTGGCCATGTAGGGTCCACTTCTCCGTGACCAATCGGGAGATCCCGGATATACAAAGAGAAGAGAGATGAAAGCGTTTCCTGGAAATGTTTTAACTCGACAAATCAATACTAGCAACGAACGTGAAGGGCTCGCGCACGCGTGCCTCAATAAACAATTTGCTGAATTTGTAGATAAATAGCCATCCTATTCTTAAATGATTCCACTTACTATGAGAAAAGGTAAAGATCAGAAAAATCCCCAAGATTTCCCTCCCTTACATCAGTCACGTCTGACTGACTTGAGGGAGAGACATGTTGCGGAATTTTCTGTCAGACGTGAAAAAAAAAAATCAGTTCTATTCAGATCGAACGCATCCAGAGTAATAAGCTTGACACCAGGTCTGCACATACCTGGACAGTACTGGGATACTCATCCATCGCCGCAGCTAAACCCTCAGAAGCTGCTTGTCTCACATTGAAATTGACGTGGACTAGAGCTTGAATGAGTCCGGCAGCGTAATCAGTTGGTAACTCATGGCCATAAAGATCCCAAACTTCTTCGGCTGCTTCTGCGATCGACTGTTAAAATAAACACGTTCAGTACCCTAAATCCGCGTGTCTCGTTGAGCTATATATATAGGTCTTTTGAACCAACAAATGAAGGTCAGAACTAGAACCATCAAATGACTTGCTCATGTGAAAGATAGACTCAGATGTAATTCTTCGATAGTTTTAAAATATACGCTTTTTTTAACTAAAGGTTACACCTCGACGCAACAAGCTTGCAAGATGGACCTATGCTACTCATGTACTGGAGAAATGAGTCATCGAGCAAAGCTTGTGGGCAGTTTTGACTAGGCTTAGAACATGGATACTACGTAATAAAATAAAGTCAAAAGTCTATTGCAGCACCTTTTCTGGATCGTGCAGAGCCATCCAAATGGCTGTAGTTGTTCTTTCACTGTAGACGGCCTTTCTCTTGGCAAGAGCTGGAACATGTTGAACGGCACGTAGGCAAACAGCTCGCACAAGGATGTGTTCCGAGTAGAGACCAGACAAAGCCTGCTCAGTTCAGCCAAACAAGAACAAAATCAGAATGCAAAGAACGAAACGAGAAAGTGAGACAAAACTTGATATTGTAATGGTCTTGGCAGGAATATCCACGTGGGAATGACACCCTCTAGGTGGATCAATCTGAACACATTCCTGCTACTGGAACTGAAAGTTTTCATCTAGCTAACAGACTTCAGTAGTCAAAGCTGTGTCTGAGGTCTAACCTCCGCAAGATCAGACGCCTCCAGTCCTCGACAGAGTTCATTGAGCATCGTAACAATGCGGGGTTGATATGTTGGGACGCAACCCAATACATGATATAGAACCTGTCCACAAGGTTAAAACGTCAAAGAGTCTCCATATATGGAACATTGACTGAAGGTAAAATCAGCCAATTTGGTTGGATTTCGTCTCGCGATCCATCGAAAAGAAGAAACCAATGAATATTTATGAAAAAAACCGATACGTTAGTATGAACACCAATGCACATACTTCACATTTCAGGTAGGCTTGAGGACATGCAACGGAAAACTACGTCACGCAGACCTCCCAAAGAAGACACAGCAAACTCACAGATATCATCTTCAGACGAGGTAGTGGCATATTAGGGGAGCAGTGTAGAGAAAGAACGTGGAGGAGATCGTCATGAAGTCTTGTTTTTGTTGGCGACATCAACGTTTGTTCCACGATCTGAAGAACGCAATGCATATTAGGTGATGAAGAACAGCAAATTGCTTCTCTTAGGAATTCCACTCCAATAAAAATTGAGTGAGTAAAGCGAACTGTTACGTACAAGACCAAAGTCTGGAAAAGGAACTATATGGGGAACATGCAGAATATTTGAAACTTAAAACATCTAGCAACGATCTGTAAAAAGAAGCGAGTCTAAGAGAACTTTTACATGAACGAAAGAACAATCTCAGAGTTAACTTACAGGAAAAACTAAAGCAAATGATGGGGCAGGCAAAGGTCCATCTTTGCAAGCAGTTGTGAGCCCAGCCACCACTCGTTCTACTACACCAGGTTTGCTCTTCCTATCCGGCTTAATCGAAGCATCGAGATCCTTCAAAACTGATGGGGCCGAGGTGGCAATCAATCTTAGCGCCGCAGCAAGATCGGATCCTAGAGGCCTCAAAGAAGGTGTCACACAACTTGTGAATTTCTCTATAGTTTCATAAGCTTCAAACTGGACTATTCGGGAGTCCAAGAGGGGAAGAGTCCGCTCCACCTGTAAAATAAAATACCATCTTTTAACATCACATGTCCAAACAAGTTGAGCTGGCTGAGTATTCAAAATAATCTAGGACCTTGCATTCCATGGCAGCAGCTTTACTCTCCACGTCGACCGGTTTATACATGAAAGGTCTAAAGAATATTCAATTCTGCAACTAGGTATGCCCTCCATTATTGAGAAAGAGTCACACCTCGAGTTCTGCGAAGAGAGGTTTTAGGCTTCGTCTTCCAAGAAGGAGAATGAGATATGGAACGTTTGATCATTGCTACTACGTGCGCAACTACTTGTAAGACCTGCATAATCCCGTTCGCTGAACAAACATGAAAAAGTGCTCAATATCAATAGAATGGAAGATACTTGCCAGATGCGGCAACTGGTCGTGACTGTATGAGGGGTTCGCAGCTGCTGCACTACCAAGTGCCTTCAGTACCATTGAGACGCTTTCCTGTATTGACTGAACTTTCGATCTAACTACAATTTCTTCTTTGAGCTGAAGTTCTCGTGCTTCTTCCTTGGCCGACTTGGATTTGTCGACTTCGCCTGAAAATAGGATGGACGGCGTAACGTAAGCATATAATGTTGATACTCGAGTACATCAATACCAGAATGGAAAGATAAAGCATACTGAGGCTAAGACATCCCACCAGGCTTCTTCGTTGATCTCGATACATCTTTTCTTCCAGCACTGACATCTTTCTTTATTCCAACTTGACGGACAGCAGCAACAGGCTTCAACGGTTCTTTCATTGGAGGTTCATCCTGGACATTGAGTAGAGGCTGCACCCTCAAGTCAAAGTGACAACAAAAATCTCGAGAATTTTAAAAATAGGAATGCAACTACCTTCTATATCTGTAAAGTACAATTGCGTTACACAGGCCAGTAGAGGTTCCTTTGTGGCTCTTACTTCTGGGTCGTCGTACATTTTAAACCGTCCGCGTGAGCCACGTATATTCTTGTCCATGACCATTTCAGCAACATAAACGCCTTGTTCTGTTGATAGCATGCCTTCGGGAGTGCGAAAAATCTAGAAAGAGCAACAGCATGGTCTCAGAACAAAACTCTCTGTTTAACTCTTCCATCATGGGATTCGTTTCAACTTATAGTTCTACAGACTATACAAATAGTGAGGTACTGTGTACCACAATCCTCCGAAGTACATCAACAACCAAAGAAACCTCCAAGCTGGACTTCTCAAATTGCTCCAATTAACTCATAAAATGCGTCCTGGCTCACATATGAGTTGAACACATAAATAGTCGACAAACTGCTGTCAGCAAAACACTAGTTGCTTTAGGCCGTTCTATTTCAGAAAGAAGTTTCAGATTAGCAGTGATGAAAGCACTAAACAAACCCCTCTGGTACGTACAACGCAATACACTTCAGTAGGACAGAATGAAGCTTACCATGATATCCTTCTCCGTAAGAGCATCATGGGCAGACTTGTCTCCAAGCCTTTCTGTTTCCTGCTCATTCATGAAGGGGCAACAGGTATTTGATATAAATGTTCATCGTAAGGTGTTCTCCAGTGGCATCTACACATCAATTAACCTGTATTTTCTAACTGAAAATCAAAGACGCACAGTAGTCAGATCTCCTAAAAGACGCTTTTACCTACCAATACAAACTGAGGAAAAAACTCATTTGGAAACGCTTGCATGGCAGTTGCAAGAGCAAAGATAGCTGCTTGAGATTCAGATTGCCGCTTGCTCATCAAACCATTCGATCCCATCAGCACCTAGACAAGCAACCAAGCAGTCGTTAATGCATCGGCATAAAGAAGCGTACCCTTCAGACATAATAACCATCAGTTTCTTCTAATTAATGATAGCAAGGCTCTAGATTCTCACTTTGGAATAACACATGAACCAGGGACACTAAATACGCCCGTAGGGATCACAACAGAGAACGCGGAAAATGAAATACCCAGCATGTACTCATACCAGATATGTTCGTCTCTTTCTGAATTTCGGCCGTGTGAGAAATAAACATCAACTACGGACTTTATAGTGATGTCATCCCAAGGCCCAGAGTGATATTGGTGGATTGCTGACAAGCTGTACTTTTGCTACAATACGACTTGGAAAAAAAAACCACCATGGCATGGCGTGAAAGCTGTGCATTTTGACTTGCAAAGCTATGTCGAAACTAAGGGAAGGATAGGCGATGAGAAGAAATAGAGGTTTACACACCTTACATACGACATCAGGTGCCGATGCCAGAGTACTGCAGATATTGATCTTCTGCTTCCCAAACATCTTCAGAAGAGCCTGCCCAGGTGCATTGAATGAAGCTATTCACGTCAGCAGGAAGAGAAACAAAAGACAAGTAGTTTGACTTTTACTCACTGATAGATTCTCGAACCTTTAATAATAATATGAAACTCTGCGACAAGTTGGTGCAAGCTGGGTAAATTTGAGATTTTATCTTAAACACATCTTCAATAAAGAGGATTTGCAAATAAGCGTTCGAACAAAGTACTTGAAAAACGTATACTGACTGAATATTCAGGAGATACCAATAACTTCATTTAGTATTGAATACGTGTACCACAATCCATAAAAGCATATTACAAGACAGAAATACAAACAAGATCTCACCTTCCAAGTAATGCTCTTGCGGGCCCCTCTCACGATGCATGGATTGTGTGAGACGAGAAGAATCTGAGCACAAAGATCTGCTGAAGAGCCAAACGTTGGTGAAGAAACTGCAAGTAATGCCTTACTAAGAAACTCTCCAGCTGGTACATACAACACGTTGCTCTCCGCTGTACCCTCTGCTCCGTCACTGCAGATCAAATTCAATCAAAAAATTTACTCGGCAAAATACGGAATATTTGGACTATATAGTTAGCAGCGTTTAGAGCTCCACGTTAGAAAAAATTGTAAATTGTTTAAGAAGTAAGGGCAGAATGTTTATCGTTACAATTCACCTACCTGGCTTTTTGTGCCGCGAGACGATCATCCAACGATGGAAGCCAGGTAAGAAAAGCTTTAAATAGAGCTTCTGACCAAGAACTGCTTGCTCGGTGGATACGTGAAACGACTGCAGAAGCTGATTCTCTCACGCCCCGTTGTGGATGCCAAAGTAGATAAACAATTAGCTGCACAAGACGACCTGGAGCTTAGAGATGAAGATGATGTAAAGCCCGACAGGAATCCACTTTTCAATAATGGCATGATATTATAATAAAGAGAGGACACTCATCAACTAGTGACAGGTTTGAGATACCTGGAAAATTTCGGCGGCACCTTCTGCATACTCCGTTAACCTGCAGCATATCAGCAAATCCACATGTCAGCAGAATGTTCGTCATATTAACACCACATTCGCCAACTACTCACCCCTTGTGCTTTATATTCACCAAATGAACTGATTGACAAAATTTAACCAGTAGTCTCGGAAGCGATCTGATCTGGAAAAGTAGAGTACTGTGCTTCCATGCTTCAGAATGAACAACCAATGTAGCCTGGAGATATAACACAAGGAACAAAAACCTGGAAGGATGTTGAAGGACAACACTTTCGATCAGCTCTGTATATGCAACGCAGTCTTCGGCGGAAAACTTTGCTACCTGAAAAAGACCATCAGGTCAAGTCTTAGCGATGAAAGTTATACAGTTCGTGAAGGATTATTATTTTTTACTTGAATGTACTCAGAGTCATTGTGAGACACAAATGTACAGATAATGCAATCAATACAGGACGGGGATACTCCAACCGAAATAAATGATAAAATTTCTCCGCGGAAGAGCAATATTTACTGCACTCAAGATTACCTCAGTGTCCATATAATTCTGATGTTCAAGACAGATTCAGACAAGAGCTTACCAATGACGGCGCCAGCAGGACTGAGTTATTTTGGAGAACCAATGGCCAGAATTTCTCCTTTACAAGTCGGTCATCTGGTTCAAGGACGGTTTAGGAAGTCATAAGCACAATAATTTTTCTGTTAGACGCAAGATTGAATCCTTCCATGATAGGCCGACCACTCTCTGCATCAACTGCTCAACTGAAGCTTTCTACTGAAGCACAATTGACCTAAGAAGTCAAATAAAACCTTAAACAGCTGAGATTCGATTATTATCCAGACTTCACTTACCAGCTCTTACATCCACAGCAGACATACTCGAGAGCAGTAACCAAGCATAGATTCCTTCTACACGTTGAGCAGGTTTGGAAACACTGCTTTTAACCAGTTGTATGAGAGGATCCACCAGATTTTGCAACTTCACAAAAACCATTCTCAACCAATTAGAATGTTGTTTTGATGACCTTTAAAGGCCGAGAGATCCACCCCACAACTTTCAAATATGTAAAAAGTCAGTGAATACTTTACAAACAAATAAATAAGTTTTCTGAAGGCATCAGCAGTTTTGAAAAAGCAGGTGTGAAATGCCGCTCGAAATTTACATTGGAAAGGAGTTCAGGATTTGTGAGAGAGGTGTTAAATAGTGGTATCCTGAACTTGATAATCGCATGACAGGGGATGTACAAAGCGTAGTTGTAATACCTAGATTATGAGGAAATATAATGTGGCCAGCTGAGACGTGAACAAAAGGAGATGGTAAGATTAGGTAAGCAAAAACTGGTGAAAGTTGTACAGCACCATGCATGATGTCACCACAGATATAAAAAAAAAATTAACTGAACAAGGAAGACAAAAAACTAAAGAAAGCAAACGAACCACAAAGAGTCTACGTGATGAAGTCAAAAGGGTGAAGGCTGGTCACTTTTAATCTGTGGAATGCGTCAAAAACGTTATGACACTTGGCGGTAAAAAAAGCTAGGAGCCAGGTATTTGATAAAGTTATACAGAAATACAGCCTAAAGCTAGAGATCTGAGGGTAAATTCTTCACTCTGCATTCAGGATGCGGCTGAGCAAGATCGACTGATCCTAATCGTATGAGGCGTTTTCGGCAACTGAAACTTCAAAGAAGGGGGCTACGACGAACAGGTCTATAACTATGAATTAGGTCTCTGATTTTGAATTAAGTTTGACGAAGATCTCTAGCGCAGTATATTTATCAAGACCACAAATCAGCAATCTACCTGGACAGGTACGGCACCATTGTGGCAGGAAACTCGAAGGCAACGAAGATGTGCCCTTCTTAGAACTTCCTTCTCCTTCAGACCAGCAGGAAAAAAGGATACCGCCTCTGCTGGAAGGGCCTCTCCCGCCTTCGAAAGCCACACACCCAGGGCCACCAGGACTGCAACCCGGACCTCTTCATTGCCTGCGAGAAGCATAGAAGAAACGTTTACCTACGAAGGAACGAAAGGCTGCCAACGGCTTTCCGGCCGGGTTTTTCGTCATCTCACCACCTTCTGGAAAACAATAACAAGCACACGGAATACACTCCAAACTTGATCATTTCAAGGGAAGCAAAAAGGGAAAAAAAAGAAAAACGTCTCTGAAAATTCGTACCGTCGTCCTTGTAAAGTGACATCAAGTAGGAACTTATTGTTCCCGCGAGAGCAGCTAAACCATGACCAGTTTTTGCAACAGACAGAACTTGGACAGCATTGATCAACCCAACTCTCTGGTATGGGAACGTCAGCTTCCCTTCAGATCCTAAGAAGCAAAAAGGACCATAAGATCAGATATTCCGGAAGGTATCCACCTGCAGGGTATGCAACGCTCAAAGCAACTTAAAACTCATCAACAGTGTGACTGCTTCAGCCACATGGATCACCGTAAAATGCCTTCAAGACGGTAAGGAAGTAAAAGAAGCCTCAACGAGCAGGTATGAAGCCTTGCACGATATCCTCCCACATCTAGATATATGAGTAACCTATTTCTGGTTCAAATTTCTAGAAGGAGGAATCTTTTACCTCCCAGTACAGCTTTGATTGAATGAAACATCGCCGCAATGGTGTCTAAGTCACTCGATTGCTCAGCGAGGGCTCTGACGGCTTCTATTGCTTCTTTTCTCCTGCCTTCATCACTGTGACGGGCCTGTGGTAGAATGATTGGCATAAACTCGTTTGCGTACTTGCTAAGATCCAAAGTTGTGGCGTTCAAAAGCAGGCTAACTGACTCCATTATGAGTTCCGGGTTACGTTTCAGCATCTTCACTGCAGTGGGAACCACGGCTGTCCCAAACTCATCGTGACTCAGCTTTTGCAAAAGTGGCCGGAAGGCGTCACTCAAAGCCTTAGAAGGCTTTTCCCGTGAGTTCAGAACGAGTCGCATGTATAACTCCACGAAGAAGGCCTACAAAACCCGATTGAACTCCACGGTGATGAAAGAAATGATATTGGTGTTAGCCAGCTCAATCTTATCACAATAATGAATCCAGCCATGTCTTATGATGTCCAGCCAAGTCAATGGATCCTTCGAGATAAGAAAAGACACAACCCTCGCCGTATGTAAGACTTGTGACATTTAAAATACGTAGCGTGTACAAGATATCCCACGGGTATATTTCTCTCAGAATTAGAACTGAAGAGATTAAGAGATAGGAGAAATGAACTGCATAGACAAGACTTTCGTAAGCACGAACATTCCTGCAGAGACGGTAAGGATTTGACAAAACGGACACAGCAGGAGACGTAAAATCATTGCAGGAAGCGTAAAAATGGCATATTCTAACACAAGAAACATGCAGTGTCTAATATCCTTCATTCATTTAAGTGTTCATGTACGATTACGATGACAGATTGAGCATATTTTAAAAAATATGTGTGACTTATACTGCGTAATGGAAGGAAGGTGTCCCCTGAGTGTCCATACTCGGTGTTTTTCGAGACGTTCGGAAGCCTTTGACATGAACTCCAGCAGAATGCGTATGAGTCCATTGCTATTATCGGAAGATTGCATTGATCCCTGCAGCTCCGCCACATAGCAATCAAAAATGTCGACCACCTGCACAAAGAAAACCCAGAAAAAACATTTAGTCAAACTTTGACAATTTTTTGACGCTGAGGTCAGAAATAACGGATAAAATGTATTTCCTCAGCTTGAATGGATCTAACCAAACTTGATGGATGTAGGTATGAGCATTCTCACTTCAGAAATAAGCTGAAAGACGACATGCCTACTCGCCCGTTGTACAGGGAAAGAAGCACTGAGTAAGACACTGAGCAATGAAGACTGCACGGCGGCAAGTCTGGCGAATGCCGTTTTCGCGGAAAGAAGAGAGGGATTCTGTCTGATAAGAAGGCAAGACCATCTGAGGAGCTTGTATAACACTGAATGAGCAGAGTTTTTGAACGATCTCTCTGCTGTTTGCACAAGTGCACCAGTAAACGCTTTCACAAAAGCTCCTTCCTTCAAAGCTCGAGATATGGCATGCTCGACAGCTAGCTGTGACTTTCGATCCTCATATACCGGCAAAGTTCGGAAAATAATGTGAACAATCTCTGGTACAAGCTCAGCGATATTGCACCCTGCAGTTTGAACGAAAGTGAGTTGTGAATCCAGAGGCAATAAATAACAGAAACAAGGCACTACTTTTACAGCGTCATAAGGCCATCGGACTCGACAAATAAACTGTGATATTGAGAGACAGGAAACCACAAAGTCCCGTACAGCTTCTGCGAACTTCAACATCAAAATCTCCAATTTCTCAGTTTTGGCACTAAAGTGCGAAGACACAAGTAACTGGGCAGTTTTGGAATGTCAGGAAATATGACCAGAATACGAGAGAACTAAAATTCTAGAGTTAAATCAAAAACAGATTATAAACAGATTGACTGTGTTTCCACATTTTATGCTAGCTTATCTCCTCCAGCAAAAACAGCCATGTAGCCTTTAATGGTTTTCATCCCCTTGAACTGTACAGCATTGAATTTTCAAGTAGACCACATAGATGATGAATTCTTCCTACTCCACAGCGTTTCTGTCCCAGAAGTTTTGTAATCGCACTCCAATTTAATCGGCGCTTCAGTCTGCTAGAAGAAAATCCTCCACAGATAACATCCTGACGGAGATCGGCTGACAGATGATTGTTTACAGGTAGAGCAAAATTCGTACGTGTTTAACAAAATCCCAAAATAGACAATGTTGATCCACGGGCCCCACCCCTTGCAGTGAACAACAAAGCTCAATGTCATCTGCTACCCGACGATCGAAGAGCAACAGAGTCAAACCTGGAGTATTGAGGGCAGACGGAATGCTGCCTTCAAATATCGCCACTCGCTCCTTGGTGGACGAGGTAGTAACATTTTGAGCTGCACTTTCAAGGGGAGATGTAATTTGTGCCATGATGGCTGTACTCTTGCGCTCCTTAAAGAAGGAGCTATATTAAACAGACCATTACTGCAATGTCATACGCTGGGCCGAATTCTCCACGCGGTACACCTACGTATAGGCAATTTCAAATCAGATCTTTGCTCGGATTGTCCAAGCGGAAGGCAGCTGGAGAGATCAGTCACAGAGAACGAGAGACAGACTGCTCTCTCCACGCTTTAGACTGGAACCGAGAATTTTTCGGCAAACCATGACAGCAGCTTAAAATCCGATATGAATGCGACAAACATGCCCTGCCATAATTTACGACATGATCGTCCACGGACACAAATGCACCATCCTCGTCCCTCGCGAGATTTCTTACCAGATTTCAGTGTTCAGATTCAAATCTACCACTCGAATGCCTGATACATCCGCAGGGACGGCACGCACTATGCCTCACAATTCCAAATCCCCGCTTCTTCTTCGTGATTTCAGCTTTAAGTCCAGCGTATAAAATTTTAATCTTCTGTAGCGCTCTCCCCCGGAGAACACTGTAAAGAACCTGCACAGTGTACCGTGTGAATATATATAAACCCTAATTGCTCTGCTCCGTCCCAACGCTCTCCAGGAAGGAAGGACGAGAGCTGAGCTTGGCTGGTTCTTCCTTATCTTCGACTGCTCCTAAACCCTACATATTCTCCTGTCTTGCCTTCGCCAAAGTCAAGGACCTTCGGTCTCTCCCAAGTGGCGGACTTGTCCGCCGTTTGCGGGCTCTTCTGATTCTTCCACTGCTACACTTTGTATTGGACGTCACAATGTGGCGCTTATAGGAGTTGGCGTTGCCGGTCCTTCTTTCATCCGGTCAACTTCAGGTGAGGCTGGTCTCGTTTTGTCTCTCGTGGAGTGCCGAGTCCTCGTGAGAGAGAGAGGCTGCCTTGGGGAGTCCAGAGCACAGTTAGTGATTAGTGTTTACGCATAACAAGGGTGTATATATCTCACATTGCTTTGGTATTGGTATAGTGTGGATTGTTGTTTAAATTTCATGTGTCTTATCTATAACCCAATCAACACTACAATCTTTGCCTAAATTATGATATCTGGGATAACTGATGAGTGTCTCATTTGTAACAACCAATTTCATTGATTATGGAAACATAACTGTATTCACAATAAAATAATAATAAAATATTATTATATTAGATCTACATTCACATTTCCATATATTAAACAGTAGCTATATGCTACATCTATTCAAAACTGTCTTTGGTATCCCAAAAAGCTTCTCTTTTTTAGCGATAGTTAACATCAACACACTAACTACATAGAGTTAGAACAATTTAAATAATTAAGTTTGAGGTTTAACGACATAGATCCAATTTTTTACTTTTGTTTATTGCAATTTACTATAAGTCAAGACCTATATACAAAATGTTAATGTTGTATGTAAGAAACTAAATATTAGAACCTGAAAATCCATCAATTTTTTTCTTTATTTCTTGCATATCTACAAAAGTTGACAACAAGTTAGTATTAAATCTATACATTTAGAATTTACAAGAAATTATGTGTTGAAAAAAATGTCATTAAAATATATTTTTGCATCATGAAATATGGGTTTCAGCTTTAAATTTAATTTTTTTGGTTTCATTTTTTATAATATTTCTGAAATAAATGAATTATTAATTTATACTCAAAATTTCCTTGCATTTTTTTCAGTATTCAAATAAATTTATTATACTTTGCATCCATCCAGTATATAGATTTCAAGTTCAAGGAATGAAAGTAAACTTCAATATAATTTGATATCACATGATACACTTCACAATATAGATTTTGTTTTCTAAGTGTGTTATTTTTGCACGGAGAGTGATATGTATTAATAGTAATAATAATCTTTTAAGCTGTGTCATTGTATTCGAGATTTACTCCTTGCAATCGTAACATGCTTAGAAGGATTAAATAACGTTTGCAGAATACATTTAAATCCGTGTTTTGTTTCAATGAGAGTGAAAGTAGTCTCACAGTTAAGCCATCAAATGTATGTGAAATTCATGTGTTTAGAAAGTAATTTCTGACCACACACAGAGATAGTTATCAATTCCCACTTATCGCTCAGAAAGGATTATGCTGCAAACTAGTAGATCCGAGACTCTAGACTCTGATGGACTGGCTATAGTAGAAAGGCTCTTGCTCCACGGATCAAAGGTACGCTGGGGATAACAGGCTGGGGAGTCCCAAGAGCTCTCGCTCTCAAAAATCTCTACACAGATCTAAAGGTGAATCATCTTCACAACACAACAAGAGTACATTTCGTTGACAATGTGGCAAATTAAGGCAGACGTGGATTAAAGAAGACAATAGTGTCGGTGTATGATAAAAGTAGAGATTACCAACGTGACATATGAAGAAAATTTTCAAAGAGTGAATGTGGGACAGTATTCCGAAAGGAAGAGAATATTATATCACTAGGTTTTCAAGGAGTAAAATTGGTCGTTTGGTGATGATCAATGCTAATAATAGTTAAATTTTTTGACTTATGATTGAGATGGGTGGATGATACAAAAACAATCAAAACTTCATTTGGATCTTTGAAATCCTTGTATGGCCTGTCATGAAAAGAACGCTAAGTCCCCGTGCAATATTTAACGAAGATGTCAAAAGTCACTTAGCGAATGATGGAAATACGTCTGTTTTGAGGTTGATGACAGTAGCTACCACCCTCTGCACCAAACATGATTGGATTCTACCATGTCCATGGACTCTAAAGGAATCCTATTCAACGGAACGTCAAGGTCTTGTTGGGTGTATTGAGCCACTCGAAGCCTGTCTCATCGATAAGGAGATGAATAAGTAGTAAGAAGAAATTGATCTCCCTTTCAATACGAGATCAATTGGCTCGCTCCAATGTGACGGCGCTCCCCCGCATGTGAGTGAGATCAGCTGCCATCAAGAAGGATTCAATATCTCGACTCCTCTCCGACCGTCTGCTCATGGAAGCTCTCTCTCTCTGCTCAGGCATCAAGTATCGGGATGGCGTCTATTCCCCCTGGGACAGTGGTGGAAATGAGATGCATAGTGGGTGGAGGTGGGGGCGGCGGAGTAGCTCTATGCTTGCGCTTGGAGTCGGGAGATGGGACCGATGTATGGAGACTGTGAAGAGTCTGGTTGTGGACTGTGTGTTGGGTTGGGGTGTTTCGTATTCGGTTCATCTCGAGGGTGTAGCAATCTTGTCTATTGATGTCAGTGGCCAAATCTTGGGGATGACTGGTCAATTTGTAACTGAACACTCTCTCTGGGTGATCTCCTAGACGACCGACCAATTTTTGCTGATTGTCTTTCGAAGTGGGATCAAGAAACTTGGGGATACAAGACATGCACATTGAGTGACGGCTAACCTACAATATTCGTCTTTCGTTGGGTTTGAGATTTGGACATAGATGGTAAAAGTCTTCCCATTTCCCACGATGGATCTTCTGGTTCTCAATTCGGTTTTTTTTGTTCCTCGTTCGATAGTTTACAATTTTTGTGATTATACGTTGTTGGCTTTTGGTACGTCAGTCAGTCTAGGTGCTACAAGTGATGAGATTTGATATGGAACAGCGTTTGGTGTGAAGGTTTAGCTTGTTGTATGATAAGATACGCGATCGCAACACGCTTCCGCGAGTGTTTCGTTGAATTTTTTGTTCTTGATGATCGATATATCAATTCAGTGTAGACTTTAGATTTCCGACTCAGTCAACTTCAATCTTGCTAAAAACAATCTTTTAATGTCCAAAGAGGTGCATTTGTTTCAAAAGTGGGCATTTTGCTATGCGCTTGTTTTGGGCAGACGATTTGAGGAGAAGAGTGAAACGAGGGATTGCGGTAGGCTTTGAAGGCTAAGTATGATATCACATTTCTGTTTTGATCTTTCATTTCGATGAGCCAGACTTCTAAGTCGATCGTATTTGTGCCTTGTTTAGGGTTTAGGACATGCCTTAAGGACATGACAAGACATGAATTTTGTTGGAACAAACCCATAGGTATTCCAACTTAATGATATTCGGTAAAGTTTGATTATCGACTGTTCACTAATGTACCATACAAACAGGTCTACGACATTTTTCTCTCGGCAAGCAATTAAGAGAATAAAAAAACTAATGATCCTTAGCATAAAATCAAATAAATTCATACTTGTATAGATCATCTTAGATTATTCTTAAAGATAACATGTTTAGAGGACAAAGTGGAATTTCAACCGAATTTCAAAGACAAAGTATAACATTTCATATTTATATATTGTGATAATTTAGTATTCTGGGCAATAGAGTGTTGTATGAGCTAGATAAGGAAGCATATTGATTGTAGATAATTTTTATAACATGATAATCATAAATTATATTTGTACTAGGATAATAATCGGGATTTTCAAATTTTTTTAACAACAATCGCGATTCTTTTGCTGGCTGATTAAGGCGCTCGTATTAAAGCTCTACTTTCTCGACGGTAGAGGACTTGGAAAGGGCTCTATCGATTTACAATCATCAAGGATTATCGCATGAAGCAATTTTTTTAAATTTTTATATGGTGTTATTACGTAATGGGAAAATTTTGAATTTTCCAATTTTCAAAATTTATAAATAATTACTTTGAATTAAATTTTATATTTAAGTAAGATTCAATGTAAAATCCAAAATCTTTATTCCCAATCTAACACCGCAAATTGTTACAGTGATGTTGCAGTACATCAAAATGAAGTGCAAACTCTTGTAATGAGAACAATGCAGTTTAAATTTTCACAATGTGGAATAAAATAGAGCAGCAAAGCCCCTCTCCGGATAAAACATGAGAAGAGAAGTCCAAAGGTCACATAAAACAGAGAGTTAGAACACGATGCATGTCCTCCCACCAAAGATGCTCGTGTACCCTTCGCATCTTGGATTTAAAAGACCTCCGAGCCAGGAAGAGCAAATGGAGAAAAAAATCGAAAGATCTCACGAGTAAGGTGAGAATAATTGAGAAGACCAGTTGACAATGATGTGTGCAGTGTCAGGATGAGAGAAGAAGTCCGAGCACTGGAGTGGGTACCTCGCACATGCAGATGACAGTGTCCATAAAGAGTGAGGAGTTGGGGTTGGGGTTGGCCATAAGCTGCACACACTATCCATCAGCAACCGAGAAATTCAGCCCCTTGTTGAAAGAAAGAGACCAGGAGACTGAGAGAATGAGCTCCGACCATCGATCGTCAGCACGTATCGGACGGAGTCCGGATCCGCACGCACATTCTCGAGACAGAATGAAAACCTCGTGCCTTACTGCGTGACAGAAGTGTCACCTCGAGAACTTGCACTCGTGTATTGTAGCCTTCTGCATCCGGTCGGGGAAAAGAAGGAGGAGCACCACTGACACAAAAGATCAGATCCGCGGCTCCCTCCAGGGACTAACTAACTAGCACACACGAACGCATGGGGGGCGGGCGGGGGGTGGGATCGAGGTACCGTGCTGGGCGTTATCGGGAGCTCGCTTTCTTGTTCCGTAGCTGGAGCAGGAGGGGGGAGGGGGAGGAGCGAGTGTTGGGGGCAATTATGTCCCGGCGGGGCCCACCACCCGCCCCCTCTTCTTGCCTGGGAAGGCAGCAGTCCTAGAAGACGGGAGGGGAGGGGAGGGGAGGGGAGAAGGGGGCGCTCGATGGAATGTCGACGGTGTTGTTTTTTGCGCGGTGGTGGTGTGGAGTTGGCGGTGGGAGAGGAGGAGGCGGGTTTTATCCACCTGATCGGATCTCGTCGCGCGAGGCTGCAGGTGGTTTGGGGCTCGGACGCACGACGGAGTGGAGCGGAGCGAGGCGGGCCAAGAAAAACAAATGTTTATTCGAGGGATTTGGTTGCGCCGACGAGCGATTCCAGCCTGGCTCGGGTAGCCTGGAAGTTGGTCGGGCCGATAGTCTGCTGCGGTCGTTTCGTCCGGTGGTGTGAATTTTCTTCGGACACTTCGACGTGTTCGAAGTTTGCTTTGTAGGCTTTTTTCCGAGTAGGGGTTGTCAGCTTCTTGTGTTTCCGATTTGTTTTCTTTTTATTCGACTCTTCGATTGGTGGCAAACTTGCACTCGTCAGACGATGCGCGGGAGGAGATGGAGTAGCCGAGGCAAAACCTAGAATTTTTCTGGCTGGGTCGTTCGGGAAGGATTTCTTTGCGTGGAGAACGAGCTGATTGTAAGATGCAGATGGATGTAGATCACAGAACTGGTGGCCGGAGTAGGGAAAAATGGATTGGGAAAATGAATGTGGATATCAAGTATGAAGTGGGTGGCGAGAGTGTGGAGAATTCGACAGAGAAAATGGATGAAGATGTCAGGGTTGGGAATTGCGCCGAATGTGGGGGAAATTCTGGTGCGGAGGTGGAGTGCGAACACACGGACGGGAGGAAGACGAACGTGAAGGACTTGGACATGGACACTCTGGTCATGTGTGCTGGTAGATTACAGGTGCGGGACTTGGCTAACATGGCTGCCGTCTGTCACCAATTTCGGACAGCAGCTTACGCTGATGTCGTGTGGGAAGCTCAGTGCAGAACGCAGTGGCCCCCGCAGAAGGCTAGCTGGGGAGGAACATTTCAGTTTTGCGGGGGACGAGATGCTTTCGTGGGTCGGTATCATGCAAGTCGACAGTTTCGCTACTCTGACCCAGTGGACTGGCCATACCATCTCTCGAATTCTCCCATAACTCATATTCTGCTCGAGAACAAAAGTATTGCGGTCTCTCAGGGCTCAAACATTCTGGTTCTGAACATCGGAGGTCCATCCGAGCAACCTGAGGTGGTCCGAATGCTCCGAGATCATAATGCTAGAATTACGTGCATGAGGTTGTTCCCACAAGAATTGGTGACCAGTGCGTTCCGGAACGGCGTGATGGGACCTGAGAACAGTGTGCTGGTCACCTCGAGCAGCGATCACACCATTCGACTTTGGGGCAATGGCCGACCTCGGACTTTCAGGGGACACAATGTGGGGGTGAACACTCTCGCAGATCGATTGGTGGGCGGTGGGCGTGGCAGCTCAGCTGTTTTAGCCAGTGGTGGAGAGGATGGCAGAATCAGGCTGTGGTCGCTCAGCTCAACGGGAGGAAACCGAGGAAAATCTCCTCTTGTGGCAACCTTTCATGCGCACAGCGAGTCTGTCAAAGAACTGATCGTCGTCGGGCGCAACGACTCCTTACTAGCAAGCACTTCGAAGGCTTCAAGCTCGAAAATCCGAGTTTGGGATACGCATGCCAACACCACCCAGGGAGCATGCGTGGGCTCAGTGAGCGGACCCGAGGGAGTTCCAGTCAAATTGCTCTCCGACGGTGGCACTTGTTTCGTTGCGGGAGCTACGAAAGCCGTGGCAGTCGATTTGCGCACGATGTCCACTGTGGCCACAGTCGCTGTGGACGAGTGTGGAATCTGCTCATTTGCTCGTTCATCAACTGGCTTCGTTTTTGGGACGGGAAGCTACGATGGTACCGCAAAGATGTGGGACATGCGAATGGGCTCGGACGACCAGCCTGAGCCTTGGGTCACTTTGGGTGACCATGACGGACCTGTTCATTGTCTCCACATCGACCGGTACAAAGTAGTTTCGGGAGGCCAGCATGATCGACTGGTCCGAGTGTGGGATGCGAACACTGGCGAAGAAATTTCAGTTCTTGATACAATTGAATTGGATCGGGACTCGTTCCGGTGTGGGGTCACTGCCATGGCAGTGCAGGGTTCTAGACTTGTCACCGGAACGTGTGGAGATGTTTCTGGGGTACTCAGGTACCGCGACTTTTCGAACTGCACCAACCCTCTCGATGCCCCCGGAGTCGTGACTGAGCCTCGGTCTGAAGGGGGGACCTCAAAGTTCTGGGAGGCCGACTTTGAACCGGGTGTGAAATGATGATGGTCTCAATCTGGGTCTGCTGGTGAGACAAGCCTTGGACCGTCCGTGTGTTACTCCTGTCTCGTGACCGCGTGAGAACCACTTCACTGGTTTGTGTACATTTGTAGTTAAGTTGCAGTTCTACACTCGAATAGAGGCTTCAAGGAGCTGGTAGATTTGTTGTATGTTCAGTAGAAAACGAGTCGACACTCTCGGGGTCTTTGATCTTGGAGTTCCCCTGTATCTCCACGATTTGGTATCTCCACGTATGGCTTTAGTGAGGAATCGCAATCCGAATGATTTCGACAGACGTGAGATGTGTTTGCCATGTTGTTATTTCCATACTTTTGAGTACGTACAAGATGATTTTACGGAACTGAGACATCAACAAAGGATTTATATTGTACTCTCGAAGTGTACAGCGCTCGACAGTCTTTGATCCTTTGCACGATTTGATGTACCGTCAAGCAAAGTGATGCAAAAATTGCGAAGAGAAATAAAAAGAAGTTTTGGACAGTTTAGTGTGAGTCCTGGTCGTGACGCAGACATGTTAACGTTAGAAGGTTCTGTCCAATGTGTTATCTGACCCGCTCTATCTTAGAACTGATAATCAATAAGGGGCTAGGACTGATTAGGGTGGCTTGTGGTCTGCATGTTAGACCTACTCCTACCATCTGCATTGCCAACATGTCCGTGAGGGCGTGATAACACGTGATTATACGTGAACTGGGCAGATAACAAAGCTGTTAAGACTCGTGAAAAAATTCACAATATTCAAGATGAGCAAATGAAGCATTCAAAGTATTGGTTTCGCTTTTGTGCTGTGCATGAGTTAGATCAAACTTCACACAAAAGGCAGGATATCTATGATACACATAACATCCACTCATAAGAATGTTATAGAATATTCCTATAGTTATCGGTAAAAGGAGTAGGTCACATCATTGGCATTCTCACATCCTCAACCATGTGTGAGGAAGGTTGCTTGGCGTTGCTCGATGACATGTTGGTATATCTCATTTATGAGATCCGAGAGCGTTAAATTTTCTACAGCATAGTACAGTAGATTATCCTTCGTTGTTTGAGGAAGTTGTCCTCATTCTACTGAATCGGCTCCCCGTCACTAGTGCCTGGATTAAGTAGGGTGACAGCACCTCGCCATTCTCTATTTTCATACAGCCTCACAGATTGACAGCTTTGAGTCGGTCCTACACATACGAACTTGTTCCAATCTCGCAACTGAGAATCGGGTCCAGGATTGGAAAGGCAAAACTCGGTGAAACCATGTCGTTCAACGACAAGCGAGCGTCTCTTACCCTGCATTACCAAGGATATCCAGTCTTCAGTACAGAATAACGGAGAAAATTCTTGTTGACAATGCCTAAAGCTCATCTCGTCCAAACATGTGATAGTTGTATTCACTCTGACTAACTTGTTATGGTACAACTGATACATCAGACATATGAGCATGAAATTGTACTGAAGAGAAACGAGAATGGCGAGGAACAATTAAATCTGTTACCCTGTCCATTATGGAAAAAGATTCTGGTGGTGTGGTGTAGAGCCTGTCCATCCCAGCCTGCAGTTGAGAATAGTCCTCGGATTCCACTGTCCACTTTCCGTCTTCCAACTCCTGTCGAGCGTCTCTGCCAGACTTTTCTTCGACCAGTGTCCCACGGTTTCCATCTGGTGCCCCCCACGGCTTCCAGATTTGTGAGAGAATCTTACTGGCGTCAAACCCACTCTGCTTCTGCTTGCCCAGAGAACGATATCTGTATCCTTTCAGACCAACAGCAAATGCTCCACCAGCAGAGCTCACTCCAAGATGACTGATTATTGAGCCAGTGAAGTCCACTGGCACCGACCCAGTGTTGGAGACCACAAGGGCTACTGAGAGTGAATCATCAAACAGAGTGACCACATACTTGAACTGAAGTGAACCCCTGGGGCTCAGGCCCACCCCGACTTCGGGATAAGAATAATTCGTCAGCGTCATCTGCACCCACAATGCAGACTTTCGGTGTCAGATTCGGCTCTGCATGTGCAGCTTCTAATGTAGAATATCACTGAACCAAAGCTCATCTCCTTGTCTTAAAAGTTTGGAGAAATTAATGACCTGTGCGTATTCTGAGGGTTGACACTCCACAGCCTCCACTCTCCAGGGACTGGAGCTGGAAGGTAAGATAGAGCTCAAGGGGTCTTTCAACTGACTGAAGCTTAAAACGATGCCACCGCGAATCGATGTGGAAGTGGAGTTTCCGCTGTCAGAGCGCACGGAGTGCAGGAGTTCCTCTTGGGCACCGTGCCACATGTTCGCCTTGTAAGATGTAATCTGAGCTCCGGATATCAACATTCGAGCGCTGCTCCCATTTCTGAGCTTGAGCTCAGTCGCAGGCGTGCCAGCAACATCCACAAATCTCACACCTTGACGTCCGAATTTCTCTTGCAATTTCTCGGCCGTCAGAGGATCCGACGATGTGGTGGCCTTCACCCCACTGCACACAACGCTTGCACTCGAGACTGCACACGTTGACCATTTTCGCCCAGAGCATGCGAATCGAGTTACACTTCCTCCGAAAAACTCTGCGCTAGAGCTGGCCCCGAGAGGTGGATGGGCAATTCGAGAGCAGATTGCGTTGACGGGCAGAATGGCGCAAGCCATGACTACCCACTCGCTGGAACCGCTGAAAGCTCTGGAGGTCCAAGCGCAAGCTCTCCTTCCCCGGCTCCCCTTCCTGTCCTGAATTACAGCTGCTGAGGAATGTCAAACATAAATGGGATAGATCTGTATATGCAGAACACATGATGAGTGTGGAGGAGACGAGGTAAGAAGGCTGCAAAAGTGCTATAAAGAACATATACTCAAAATTCAAGTGATTCAAGTTAAGCTTTGAGGTACACCATCTGCAATCATCTGCATCCCAATCAGACTGATCGACATTTTTGCATACTCTTGAAAGGGACGATCTCCACCCACCTTCGACACCCGGAAATGGACCTCTGGAGTCAAGGATGGACTGCGGAAGAATCCCTGGCTAGAAGCCACAACTATCCTGGTGAACTGCGAAACAGCAGCTATGAGAAATCCACGTCCTGGTGTCCATCACCGACACTGGCTCAAGCATTTTGGCAACGAGCGACATTTTCATGGGGCCGGCGCGTTGCCACTCTGTGGAAAACATGGCGATGTGGAACAAGCTGGCAGCATTGGACTCAGCAGCCGGTGATTCGCTGCACGATGGGGATGGGGCAGAGTGGCTCGGGTTCGTAGAAAGATCGTTGTCGAGGATTGTAGCTTTCTGCAAGAAGAAGAGCTCCCAGTGTCCATAGCCAAGCGTGGGTCCTGGCTGGCTATATCTGGTGAGAGGAACTTCAGTCTACCCTGCGATGGATACTCTCCACTGAATGTCCACCACTTTTGTCTGATGAAACACGAAAGCCTTCAAAAGCATGATGATGACAGCAGCCTGATGAAATGCATTCCCCCCGCCCCCCCAACATTCTGTCTACCTCCAACCGGGGAACACTTCTAGAAGTTGTTGTCTACGTGAAGTCAAAGAGATACAAGTTTGTTGAATTTCAGCTGATCCAGTGAAGTGCACATGTAGATAGTTCTCAGCATGTTCTCAGCATGCCAAGTTGCTACTTAGTAGGCTGCAAACCGCGTGTTTGACGGGAATAATAGTCTTATGACAATGGCGTGGTTTCTTCTTCTTTTTTCAACACTCTGAAACTTTTGTCAATTGTCATGTTTCTTCCTACATTTTCTTATTTTTCCTCTTTTCCTTCCTGAGGATCAAACCTGAAGCGATGAAAATATCTTCTCTTGGTCGTTCTTTTCAGAAAAATCATTAGTGAATAATCGTAGAGAACTGGATAAGATAGGCTGTACGCATTACTTACTTATAGTACACTAGAATCTCTATCCATGTTACATCCTTACATCTAGGACCGTATAATATGTACATGCCTTCGGACTAAGAAGTTAATGTGAGTCTCGGACTCGTCAGGATCTTGCTGTCGCGTCATTACGCTTCGAGCTGGAGTTGGAGCGCTGCTACTGAGGTCCACAAGTGCTAAGTTTGTAGGAATAAATGATTTAATGGCCTTGGTATGCAAGGAGAAGCCTTAAATTGAGTACTTCGGGAATTAGTGTGAGCTTTTTATGAGTTGCATGCAGTTGCCATTAGAACGAGTAATCTTGCAATGAGTGTGTCCGTTTCAGTCTGCTAGGTGGCGGGCAATATGCATTTCTCTGTATTTCCCCAAGTACATTAGACAATATTCACATACACTACTCTCATGCGTTACACGATCGCCAGCATGAACACATGAGAAGGAACAGGCAAACTTACTTCTTTTGGTTTGTCCCACGATATTTGTTGGCCTCTGCCTCGAATTGGTGCAACGGGAGCTCTACGGTTTTCCTTCCATAGAGATAAGAGATCCTTTCATCCTTGCCTTGAAAACCAGAAATCAGCTTCGTTAAGGATTTGGCTATGAGTAAGATGATTTGCTTGTAGTCAGTGATTTGCACTCGAGTATATGTTCGGCGATTTGGGCTAGTATTTTCAGAAATTTGCCAGAGTTGAGTGTATCTCAAGTATGACAGTTCGGAGTTGGTGCTCAAAAATTTCGTGTCTTCACATCATGAGATGAGATAATAACCAAGCCAGCGACGCGAAATCTACCTGCGAGAGTTTCACAGTAGACGTTCCATCCAAGCAACAAGAGTCACCTACAATTTTTTCAGGCCGATATTCACGAAGATGGAGTTGATTGTCTTTACATTAAACAGGACTTCACTTACGCAATTAAGAATACTTCAAAACATACAGAGAGGATATTGGCTGCGTACCACTTCCAAAGTACAACTTCTCAGTGATCTTATTTCGATACCGCACTTTACGTTTTCTTCCAACCTCAAAGAATGAACTCAAACGATTGGCTATTTCTTGAAGATCTTGAACCGAATAAAAGTGACTGACTGATATTGAGCTTTAACAGAATAAAGGCAATGATGTATGATATCATCCAATGTCTACTTTATCTTCACATCAACTAGACAAAGCAGACTATGTTCTGTTACGGGTGGGTATAAAAACCGACCATCATATACCCTCCATTCAGTCCAAGTCAGCGTAAGTTGTAAAAGATGGTCGTTTCCCGGTAAGACATTCTTGTTAGAATACATGAAACGATCTTTGACCTAGTCAAAATTTTACAAGGTACAGACTAACAAAATGCTCTTTCTCTTCTTAGAAAATGCTGTTGAGCCGAAACATTACATCACCTATTACACCTGTACCTTTCGGGTGGATAATTTCTATCATTCCGAGAAAGAGCCTTCTCAAGGAGCTCATGACAAGACCTTACACTGCATAGACGTCTGCCAGGTTTGAAAGCAAGTTTTCACATGATTCTTCAGGTGAAACAACCACCATGAACCAAGGAAGGCCCACGAATTTGCATGCTAAGTAGCCAATAACGTAAGAGGTCGAGCTCGAAAGGCTGCCTCGAATGATGACCCTGTACCATCTTTAACTGCCAAAGGACGCAGATAAAGCGTGTGTATAACGTGGGTGACCCCATTTCAATCGCCTCGTGAAAGAATAATAAGGACGTACAGAAAGAAAGCCATACATCCCTGCCGTGATTTCCTAGCTGGCTGATCCAGACGTGACTTCCTGTCAAGGAAGAGTATGAAGGGCTTCACACTGTTCACGTTCAAATATCCGGAATACACCAGAGCCTGTGATTCGGTGACTCCTCGCGATTCATGAGTCTGAAAGACTACATGACAGTGTAATTTGCAGCCCCGTTGTGAAAATTGAGAACGGATGCGGATATCAAAGACTGACCTTCCCTTACCGGACTGGGACGAAAGGCGTTTGAAATTTAATCTCTTTTGAAATGCTCCATCACCCAACAAGACATGACATATTGTACAAATCCAATACCTAATAGCTACTCTGATCAATCACCGTTGATATATTTCTTATCCTCGTAGTATTTCTTCTCGCTGAGATTTTTCTTCTCATTCCGTTTCTGCATATAAGAATAACCAATAGACTCATTAGTCCACGGTCTCAATCAACGAAGGCAATTTCGAGTTGAAGAAGAAAGCTTCACAAATTTCGATCGGCATATATACATCGCTGACTAAAATCCAGACTCCGTCTCTTCATGCCAAACAACCAGCTAAAAGAGCCCACAATCTGTAATTGTAGCGTACTGCTTACCTTGTATGCCTCATGATTAGAAACGATTCGCCTGATAATAGTTGAAGTGGTTAGATCCCGTGGGCTCTCTATAATTTTGAAGATACCCAATGCTTTGGCTGCTGTATACGGGTCAACTTCACCCTGGAAAGGTTGATCGGATATAAAATTAGTGTCAACGGTAAGCAACGAGCAGGCCAATTAACAAAGAGTGCAAAATATTATCTTCCCACAATCGACTATCACAAAAGACATGACACCTTTAAACCGAAGCGAGCTTAAACGATCCACGAGTGACGCTTTGAAGGTATTGTCAGCACACTGGAACGACAGAGGCGTAAAAAACAGCAGACAGGTAAATGATCCATCGACTCTGGTTTCAAGCATATAATAACTCTGATAAATCTTACATTTAGCTCCCCGTTCGGTTCGGCACAAGTTCCGTGTACCACTATGGATATATTGAACGTTGTAATCTGCAGTCATGAAAAAGGGTCATTTGCAAAAAAAGCTAACAAACCACAGCCTGTTAACGAGCTGTAAATAACTACAGTTCAATTGAAATCAACTAGACCAATGCCCGACTTCAACATTCAGTATTCCAAAGGCCGAATCTTTACACCACGATTGATTTAAGAAGCACAAAGGACCGACTTATAAACAACTACTTGAATGTCTGCTTGGAAGAAATTTCTTTTGCTTTGAAAGAGGGAAATGATAACTACCATATCCTTCGTAATTTCCCAAGGGGCTCCGATAATGACCTCGTCCACATAGCGACAGGCGAGCACACTCAAGCTTCTCTCATGAAGATTCATGATTGGGTGATGACGTCCTCTATGTGAGCTGTCATAAAATTGCATACTGGCTTACAGTCTGAACATTGAAACCCTCGCAGTATTCAAATTCAAATTCACTGCAAAGCACTCAAACTGAGGTAAATTGTTATCACAGTAACATAGTTCAAGAAGAGGTCTGAGTCAAAACCCTATGATACCTCACAGTCTGATCGGTGTGGATTCCCACAAGAAGAAAGTCTCCCATTTCTCTAGCGCGTTTTAATGTCTGCACGTAAGTCATGGTTCAAGATCGCGGCAACATGAAACGGAAAGTCAACCATATTCAGAGTTCAACGAAAAGCCATAAGACTACGAGCAGGTTCATAAAAGGCATATTTTCTCTGCAAATTTAGAATCGATAAGTTGAAACCTATGTGATTATATGCAGTGCTCAAGGTCAAGGCCGCCGTAAGCCCTAAACAAGTAGGAGCTCACCTCCACATGTCCCGCATGAAAAAGGTCAAACGCTCCATCCATGTACACAATTCGTGCATCAGGTCTTGGACCCTATCCCACCACAACGATCAACACAACAAATTGAGAAAGAAAACAATAACTTTGGACTGAATGAAACGGCCGAATTTGAGGTGGCTGGCGGTAAGCAGGCCAATGAAATGATGCCATGATACAATTTGCAACTCAAAAAGAACCACCCAAACAGATAATCTATATTAGAATCCACATAGCTGCTGACCTTCCCATTCGAAAACTGCACAATCCGTCGAGATGTTGGAAGGAAATGTGAAATGCGAGTTCCAGACGACAAAGTTCCACTGTCTTGACCTTGCCCTGACCCATGGCTGAACTGCCGCTGAAGGGATGCATGGTTTGGAACCTCTGAAACGGTCCTCTCCCGCATGCACAAAAGCATCCTTCCTGTGAAAAGTCATATCTTGAGATGTTATTATGAAATTCAGAAAGCGGTGGAGAGCTCCAAATGATCGGCGGATAGAGTAGGCTAACAGAGATAGCAAGAAGATAAGACGATTTTGCGATGGACGTGACGATCGTTTGCGAAAAGTCCTTACCAACAATATCCGTGCTGGACACTCCTTCGGTTCGCTTGATTTGTTTGAATCGACCAGCCTTCTTGGCATGTGCGTATGCATCACTGCCGTCTGGAAGCAGGCATGGATCATCTCCGTGAATGATGTAGTCTATTCCATACTCGGTAAACAGTTTGTTCATGAATTCTTCATTGATTGCATAAGGGGAATCCTTGATGACCTCGTCCACCCACTTGACAGAGCTCACCATGACAACTCTGCAAGTTACCAAGTTCACACCAAGTAAGAACAAATCTGCTTGAAAAAAAATTATCGGAAATATCCACGTCGCATCGACGCTCCGCCAGCTTCCAAGAGGAGTACGATCAATTGTTACCGACATGTGAAACAATCAAACTCTAGCAAATCTCGTCGCATGCAAATTTTTCACACGGTTGTAATACAACAACAGGTTTCTGCTCTACGAAAGATGAGAGGCCTCAGAGGGGATAATCGAAGGTCATCCAGTACCCTGGGCGTGACTTTATGGGTACTGTGATCCAGGATCTGTGTCCCAGGGAGCTAAGACCATCTCCCAGATCCAAGACCACATCAACGTAGAGAGCACAACTTCCTATATTTGAATGTCGTCACAGTGGAGGAAACGCGGGATCTCTCTCTTTCTCTTCCTCTCGAGATCAACCCGCAGAAATTCAAGCCTCAGATTGAGGCCGCTTTAAAATAGTCGCTTGGATTTCGACCTCGTACACGACTCCTAGGGACTAGGTTCAATACAAAGTTTCCAAACTAAAACTCTTTTCATTTGGCGTGGAAATTATCTGAGTTGAAGAAAAACTGGCATCATCGAGCGTACCTCTCATCCATAGACATGACAGGTGGTCCCTTATTAGCTTTGATCTCCTCATCGCTGTTAACACCTACAACCAGTTCGTCTCCGAGAGCCCGTGCCTGACGAAGTGCGTTGGCGTGTCCATAATGCATCATATCGAAACAGCCATCCATGTATACCCTCACCTTCTTGCCTTTCTTTTGTTTCTTTTGAAAGAAGCCGAGATTGGGAAGCAAGTTGGAGATGGGAGGAAGAGCAAGCGGCCCTAGATATTGCGACGAGAGCCTCAAGATGGCTGCCGTTAAGAGCACAGTCCCCAATATTTTCTGCAGGACAAGCCCATCGCCCCCGCGAGAGCCTGCCCAGCCTCCTCCTGCTCCATTCGCCCCCATCGGAGAGGGCAGCACCAGAAAGTGTTCCAACAGATTCAAACCCCTGTCCGCGAGCACTTGCTCGTCTCGAATCGATGAGCCACGCCCTGCCGATGCCCAGATCGGAGTCCAACTCGAAACCCGAACGAGCGCAGGAGTGCTCACGAGCGCAAATTTCCTCTGCTGCTCTGCTGCTCTGCGCAACTGGCCCCTTTCCTCTTGGTCCGATGAGCACCCGCCGAGACTCCACTAACACTCCGTCGCTCCCCCACGAAACCCCTGTGTTCTGTTGCGCAAACGTGTCTTCCAGCCTGCACAAGCAAGACAGGCTCGTCGTCGTCACGCACTCCTTCCGAATCGCGCCTCAATAAGTAGCAGGAATTTACACTCCTGTATTCGTGGCCGAGCTCACGACAAAGAAACAACCGTGCTAGCGACTACTCCGCCGACGAATGGCGGTCCATCCAGATCGCCGGGCTCCTCCACAACTATCTGCTCGCCAACAGAACCTGCAGCTGCGCTATGACAAGACAAGAACACGCAACTCTGTTACCTACTCCATCATTACAGGCCCCCGCCACTTCCCTCGTTGGATCCCTAACCCAGCCCTCGTCTTAGCACCACAAACCTCGGTTCCCGTCGCGCTTCCCTGCCTCATCATGCTCTTACGCGTCCGTCGCACTGGGGGCCGCACCATCGGCCAGCGCCCCGCTACATGTTACTCCTCCCCTCTCATCCCCTCTCAGCATTTCCGCCACCTTCCTCCCTTAATTTTATTTGCCTGCCGCAGGCAAAGTAAGTAATCAATCCCCATGCGTCGATGTGGCCATCCCGCAGCAGCAGGCCTGCTTCCTGCTGCCTGCTGCCTGCGGGGTTTTGGATTTAAGCTGCCGGTAACTTCGAGCGCTAAAAAAGTCGTTACAGTTATTCGTGCGCACAAATGCGCACGGAGCGAGCCAGAGGCCGTGACGCCGTGGGAAGGGAAGCCCCTGCCCATGGCGCACCGTCCACGGATGCCATCGGCAACTAGCGGCGGCTTCTCTTGGGCCGGGAGGGGAAGAATCTGCGGATTGCGGGCTCGGATCGGCTCGGCTCCTCTCGGCCCGCTCCGACCTCCTCTCCTCTCCTCTTGCACCCCGACCATTGACGACAGCGCACTTTCCAAAGTGAGGCGTGCAGGACTGGGATGCCTGGAATTGGAAAAGCTGGATGCTGTATTCTGGGACGCACATCAATGCTCGGGGAGTGCTCGGCACCCACCGATTTTCGTTCTGGTTTTGCTGGCTCGAATATGCCTTCCTACTCGTGCTAGCCTAGCCTTGGGGCTCGTCAGAGTTTTGTTTCTTTCGCGCATTTTTTCCCTCGCTGCTCGTTGACAGCGAGGGTTCCAACATGTCTCTTCTTCTTATTGACGGCCTTGAGACGGTCTTCGACCGGACAAGAGGCTAAATGGGGATGTTTTCCAAAGGAGAGCTTCTCAAAAACACCCGCCGGTGCTTCGCGCTAAAACATGTCACATTTTGACGAACCGCAAAGAGGACTCTATGTCATTGAAAATTTGTTGCGGAGCATCCGTCGGCCTATGGACCTTGATCTCACACGACCAGCGCCTACGCGAATTTCATTGTGAGCTGCCGTAAACATTATTATGCCAGTGCAATCGGGGGCAAATTAAGGCTTGGTTGAAGATCACTCACCTTGAAGTGACACCCAAAAGATGGGAGCCTCAAATTGCTGCGCATCCAAGCTGCTGCAGACGTAGCCTTTCTAACCAGACCAAGGAAAACAGCGTCAGACCTTTTTAGGGCGCATCGCCAAATGGGTGCCTATTTAGGTTATGCGTGCACCAACCGAAGTCTTCCACCGAGGGATGCAGAAAGATCGGCTCACGTACTCCTACCTAGTGAGAGTATGACATCTCACACACACGGAAATTATTAACCACTCCATGCTCCTCCGTGCAATTCCATGCGGTCAAATGAGCGAGGGTAGCTTCGGGAATACCCTTCCGGCAATTTCTGCACGAGCATGACACTCTTCAGGTTCCATATTGTTCCCTCTTCTTTCACAAAGCGATTTTTTCCTTCTTATGGGTTAATACTTCTTTCGCTTCGAATTTCACCTAAATTGATGGAGATCCTCTGCCGTGAACATGGAATGTGATTTGGACTCTCATCTGATTTTCTATCTTGCCTACATGCTAGCGACACTCGTCTTTCAGATCACTGCGCGATCTGGAAGAACACTGCGTCCTCAAACACGTAAATGTACATATAAAAATCTCTTTAATCTTCTGGCTGTATCTGGGCGTGTGGTAAATTGCTATTCTCTTAAACGCAAGAACAAAGGCAATATTTATCTTTTAAGACATGTGTTCATCCTTATTTTACTCATATCTCAATAGAATCCGTATTTAGTATCACATGTGTACAATCAAGTGATTGCATATATTTAATATTCCATCTCGGAAAATTTTTTTTAAGAAAGACTCTCGTGTACACAACAACTGAACCTCTCTAGTCCCACATTTACTTTACTAGAATTATATCCTCAACACTTTCATATCCGATCTAAAAGTTTTCATTCCTGTAATTCGAACTTTGAACTCTAATGAGGCTTTAGTTCACGCTTCCAACCTCCCATACATTCCTGTTCTCACTGCTAAAAGATGATATTGACACCAATTTCACATGTGAAGGTCATTCCCACTCGCAGAACTCGGAAAGTGGGAAATTTTAAAGAGAGATAATCGAAAGCTAGAAATACTGAACGTGGCAATCAATCATATTTGGATTCATCGTACGCCTACGGCTCAAAATTCCTCTGATCATTGGGATTCATCATGAGGAAATCGATGTGCTGTGATGTAGACATGACTTTTGTAGACCACGTCTTAATGAAGACTTTCCATCTCTGCGAAGTCCTGCAGCAAGTTTCGCCACCTGCCACCTGCCACCTGCCCACACGTCCCTACGTGATCAGGTACTCCTAAAAGTTCTTATGCGTCTGTCTCCGCTGGGATTAGCGCTTGTAACTTGCGTGCCGTTTTCGCTCACGTGAAATCTTCTGCAATTTTATCCGCTCGATGCTAAACGAATGACGGTCGGTTTGGCGATCGTTTCCACGTCGGCATCTTCTTCTTTCCAGAGGAATTCTCCCACGATGCCTCCTGTCCCTCTGCACAGACCTTCATGCCTTCAATTTGATTCGGACTGCTGCTGCTCATTTTCCTGATTCTCACATCGAGAGCAGCATATTCTCATCCTTGCATTGAAAAACTGTGAATGACAACTTTCGTTACATGGCTCTGCTTCCATTATGTTCTAATCTGAAGTCATGGTCTGACTATAAAGTAAGCTTGGAACATAGCTTCGACTGCACAGTCCCGCCGAACTCATGACATGAATGACCTCGGGAGTCCATGGGGGATCTGTATCGAGACTCGGGTTCTGGGGACTAAAATGCAGCCGAGATTTCCCAGTACTTGGGAGACGACAAGTCATCAAGCAGACAGAAATCGGCATCAAATGAGAGGCCTCTATGTGGCATATTGTAATCAGGGCATATGGATCAAGAATATGTGGATTAACCTGCGATGGACACGTCGAATTCCCGTAGAAAGCACACGAAGTGCTTATGGTACACTCTGACATTTTGTTGGTTGAAAAGTCACACCTCTACGTGGAATGTGGAGAATTGTAGACCGAGAATGCACTAGAACTACGATAAAAACTATACGTTTGTGATTTTCTATCTTTCATAAGCCAAAGCCGTAGGAAAAATAATACTTTTAGAATCAAAACGTTTGCTTCCCTTTTCATGTAGAGGAAAGTTCCAATGCAATCGCCGACCAGGACATTCCTTATAATTTTTTCGATTCTTTTATCTTCTCAAGCACTTGCACTGAAGGTGGCGATATTCTTACAACAAAGCATCACAAGTAAACTTGAAGGACAATGATAACTTTCCTTGGGCCCCCTTTATGATCCACTATTATTCTGCATTTTAAAGTAATATCAGACTCTTTAGATACTACCTGAAGAATAGTCCAAGTTCAGCCTTTTTCTTTTGAATGTATGTTTGTGATCATAGCGCGTACGAAGACCAAAGAACAGACTAGAAAAGATATAATATAAGTGTCGATATCTCCGAGCAGTTAAAAGAAAAATTTAATAAAAGGAGCAGTTTGGGAAGGTGTGCTAGGTTGAAGTGAATGACTGCTAGTGAAAAATACGTTTGAAAGGTAATATATGTATTCACTTTGATGCAGCACATACTACCACTGCGAAGCTGATTGCTGTACCGAAATACCGATTAAAAAAAGTTAGAAGTCTTCTTGGGTCTCGATTCAGAATATGTTCGAGATTTTTTCGATAGTAAACCTTACAAGGACGATAAGTATTTTGTAGGTGTCGAGTAATCTGTGGCCTTTCTTATGATTCAAAACCGTTTACAAGACATCGATTTCAGGTAAGCGTGAGTTTAATCCATTCAAAATCAGTGGGGACAGTTTTGAATGTTTGAAATCAAGATACAAATTTTTTAGAATAGTTTGAGATTTGATTCCATTCAGGAATCGGAATTAGTGTTCATTTTAACTTGACTCTGACTATGATTGTTTTCTTATTGTTTTATTCTATATTTGGTTTCGCACACGGACATACAGTGAGAACCTTAATGAGGGAGGGCAGAGAACCAGCCCACCTTCACGGACTATTCTTCTATCTGGAAGGTAGCAGCCATGTTGAGGTCTTTCTCAACATGTTTCTCGTTTAGCATAATATCTACCAGTTTTGCACCTTCAGACGGGAGGGGAGAGACCCAGACCACACGTTCAGAGATCATTCTCTTGAAAATTTATCTGGAAAGTAGCAACCGCGTTTAGGATTTTGTCAACGTGGTCATCCTTTCGCATTATACCTACCTCGTGTTCATCCTTTTGCTTCGAGATTGTACAATAATGAAAAGGAGTACAATCTCTCTTTGAGGTACAGTACTATCGTTTGTCTATTGTTACTCCTCCATTGAGATTAATATTTCCGGGCTGGGAAGCTGATTTGAAACGCTCATTTCGGTATCTTTATTCATTTGGTCATAAGGGAATAGCAAGAGGTCAGACAGTCCTTCTTAACGTTCCCTCTATATATGAGATAGTTTCCTTCGCTTTAAACTCGACAAATGTGAACCAGTGACCGAATGACTATTTACGAACAGATGGTCTGCCATTTTCTTTATAAACACGTGAACTAGAGGCCTTGGTGGCAGTTTCATCTTCTCTTTAGTTCGGATAAGAGTTGACATAATTAATTAGTTCTTAAGAGAAATTAGTTCCGTGTGACATGCGAAGTCATTGCTGCATGGCAGATAGTATGCCTTTCAGCAAAATTGACAGTTGCAAAGTCGTGTATGGTTGAAATGTACATGTCAATGTTTCATGATTGCAAATGCATGCTCGTAACTTGTAAATCAAGTGTCGCAAGAACTTGACCTGATTTGCTACAAATGCTTCACAAAAGTTCCTATACGTACTGTCAAGTTAAAGAAAACTCACCTTGCTGCAGAGAAATGCTATCAATCTTCACTTCACATTGTGTTGTCGCTAATAATACTAGAATACTCTCAACTCATCACGTGCCATGCATGTTATGCCCCTCTGTTTACATGGAAGAAGCTGATCAGCCATAGTCGTGATTTCTGTCACCGACATCTATCACTTGCATGTACAAGTCACGTAAAGGCGGTCGAAGGTGAGAAAGCTGCAGCACCGACTTGGTTCATCTGAATCCCCGGCTGGTATTCTACTGAATCTGAGAAAGGTGATGAGGAGCATTATTTGCTGATAATGACTACATCAGTTCTAAGCAGATGTAGTCCAGGCACTGAAAATTACTTGTTCATAAATGCAACGACCGGATTGATTCACTGCTGTTCACTCGATCAAAGTCCAGGATGGCTAATTATCTCTACAATCTTATTCTGCGACAAGATACAAAATACTATACTCCAGACATCATAAAATAGCGAAATCACATCATGTGGAAACAATCCATCTCTTGGCTCCGGAAAATGGTAAAGTAAACAAATTGGCCATCAAAGCCTGAAGTATGACTGCATCCTCTGAAACCATACTTCAAGAGTACCTACGTATACTTATATGGGCTTGAAGATGCTATTTGGTTCGCAAATATGACAAGTGTGGCCCGATGAGTCACATGGAAACCGATTTTTTTCCCCTAGTAGTACGTGGACATCAGTATGATCTTGGACTCCAGTCCGTTCTACCCTTTTGGTTTCATCCATGTTCACTGGAGTCCGGCCATACTTTTTGCTATATTGCTTGGTGACATTGTTTTTCCATTGTCGTTCAGTTGTAAGCATATACCTTTTGCTTCAACTTTTCACCGAGTTCAACGCGTAGATTATCAGAACCTATGTAGTCATAAAAGATAGCTTGGGAAAAGTCCTCGAAAGCTACGCAACACAATGAGCCGATGAGACCAGAGTCAACATCGTGGTTCCCACTCAACGACCACTTTCTTAGAATGACGAAGTGCAAGGAATGTTGCACCAGGCGAGATCTTTTGGGCAGTAACCAAAGGTATCCAAAGGGACAATACCAACGATATTTCATGAACTTTGTTTAGGCATATTCTTTACTTCGACAGCGGATCTGAAGTTACCCAGTCACGCATTGCTGAAGGCTGACATGTGTCAAAGGGAAGTGCAACACACGAGTGACCATCCGACAGGTGTGACCATGTCTACTCCATTTTTGTTCCAGAAGACATTGCGTCGGCAAAATTGATAATTTCAGTATTGCAGGAGTAGATGAGTACAGTCCTTGTAGAAGTCAAGTGATTGCGAACACCTTAGGAACTTTTTCAGCTGCCATGAACAGCGTAGTCTAAATTCTTACAAATAAAATGTGCGAAAGGCTCTTATCCAGATATAGATTAGGCCGTCGTTTGTCTTTGGATTACAACATACAAGGAGGGGATTATGTGTGTTGTTTGGCCAATTCTGTTAGCCTGAATCATTGCTTTGGTTAGCACTCAGCAATCTCAAACACAGTCGCACTTATTCAACTAAAGCAAGACTGATCCTTTAGGTTGTATTCTCGTTGATGAAAAAAATGTGAAGTACAAGATACCCTCTCTGATGGCACTGGTTGAGCGTCACCTCCTATTTTGGAATTATGGAGGATATACACATACCCCAAACCATCTATGACTAAAAACTGCACTTGTGAAGAGTTCCTCAAAGGAACCTATATCACGCTTAGCATTACATTAAGGTTGAGTATAAGAATGACTGTTGAGGTTTCAGCAGTTACTCGTAGAGAACACGATAGATACAAATGAATAGATATGTCACATACATCCCACACAAAAGTATCAAGATCATAGTAGGATATAATGCAAAATTTATAAAGTAGCTAGAGGTGTGTGTGTGTGCACACACACACACACATATATATATATATATATATATATATATATATATAAAAATAACGAACAGTAGAGAAAAAGCTGCGTCTCCTCAGTTCGTTAAACACATTATTTAATCTATCTGTAGTAAACAGCAAAAAGACATGAGATGAGATCATCACCGAAGAATTCATGTTCCACCTACTTTCATAACTATGCTTTTCTGTGTGAAGGGTTCACCCATGTCTATGTAGTAATCACGCGCAAGTCTAGACAGGAAAATAACTAGCCTCTTTAAGTGAAAGCCATAGTTGTAGATGACATGCAGATTACTTTTCCTGTATTATGAAATGTCATCTACTCCATGAATGTTTCATCTTCTTGTTTGGTATGTAGCTATGCCAATAGCTCAGATACAAGCTTCAGTCACTTTACAAATATCTAGTAACTCCATCACTTCCAATCATATTTACGGGATCCATCCATCAAATTAAAAACACATTTAATTTCTTTTATACGCAATTGTACGATACGTAAAATTAAGCTCAATTCGACGCCGGCCAGCTGTCCAGAGACCCGGTTTGCACCAGACATACAAAGCCATAAGATTATTCATGTCTACAGAGGGCAAAAAGAAGAAATATAAAGGCTGTGAGAAGCTGCTGTGCTTACTCGCTCTCCTGTGCTACGTGCTACGTGCTACGTGCTAGGCTTGTTGTGAGGTACAGTTTAGTTCTTTCCCTTCTTACTGGACCCGTGCATGCACGTTGTGTCCTTTGCAGTTGTGGCACATCGCATCAAACTGTCTGGCAGATGCTCATAGTACTCGCCGGTTCTCCAATTCGTTTTCAAGGGTTCTCACGGTTGAGCTGAGCCTGCGGACTCAACTAGTTGAAACTTGAGCAGCTCAGAGATCAACTTCGAGCGATCATCATACAGAACGAAACAAAATCAGGTGGTAAAGCGCCTCCTGAAAATTCCTCTCTAAGATCTTCCTCAAGTATTCGATGCGGATGCTCTTGATACAAAGGAAGATGTCTTCAAATATACGTTTGGATTTCTTAAACAGCTATCTGTTGCTAATATACAGAGAACAATCGGAAGACTTAGAGTCTAGCCAACTACTTGGGTCCGCTAGTTTGAGAAGGTCCACACCGCTCGACCATCACATCGTACAACTGCTTCCCGTTCTGCAAAATAGATTACGGTGAAAAATAGTTCAGGTGAATGAGTTAGTCCACTTTAGGAGATAAGATTATACCAATGTGCAAAATCCGTTTGAAATCAACTAAGATCTTTCGGACAAGAAGGCCATACATATTCTACACATCCTATCGTATCTTGCTACGATAAGAAGAATTGCACACGGTCAAAAATATATTACTCGACCACCGCCTCACAGGGTTGATAATCAGCCTTGTTTATGACATTGCTGTAAAAAAGAAAGGCTATAAATGTCAGCTACTCACAAATATGACGGGGAAGAAGTGAATTTGGCCTTCTGGCTTTGTTTGTGTTTCCTTGAAGTAAACAAGCACAGGAAAGTTCGGCCACCAGAGCTCCCAGTTGACAAATGACGAGTAACTGCACATAATGTCATGGACAAATGCCGTAAACATAAGGGTATTTGTTACTGCAGCGTCTAAATATGATTTGAAGTGATTTAAAGACAAATCGGCTCTTTAGGTCCTAAACTTCTTACATGCAAAAGTGCGCTGATTGAGAGGACAGCTAAGCGTGTAAGAAGAAAACAAGCTGGGAGCGGTACTTACGGCCACTTATTCTTTCCACCTACAAAGACATTCTCTTGAGAATCCTTCAGCTCTTCACCAATTTTCACTTCCTGCACGAGATGGGATCGTATGCATCAGTTGAATACCGACATTCCGCAAATATTTGGTGTTCATGCCAAGATGTAACAAAGATGCAAAGCTGCGAAACAAAAGCATAGCCACGACTTTACACATTTCAAAGATGGAATAAATTTGACAAGTAAGTGGAGTGGACTGGGTGGCATGTCCTGTGCTGGCCCATGCTTATCGGGGAACAAAGATAAATAGAAACATAAAGTATTAACATAGGTAACGAGTGGATCGCTTCGAGTTCGTACCAAGCCCTCGTCATCGAAGACGAACCTGACACGCGTAGTCTGCACACAAAAAATGGAAGTTGAAAGGGGTAAACACAGCTGCATTCTGGTCAATTACATGACACGCTTCTAATGCATTCACCTAGCTCTTTTTGGAGAGGATACAAAACGAAACCCAAGCCTCCTGCTTCCAAACTTACAATCCATATGAAGCCCACCAAAACTTCGCATTTAAAAATTCTACCTAATACTGGTGTGCTTCACTCAAGTTTCTTGAAAGGATCTGAACCTGGACGAGTAGTAGCAGGCCCAGAAGACCTATGGGCACAGCAGGGAAGATATTATCTGTTGCCACCAAAGCTCCAGCTCCACCTGAAAAGGTAAGAAGAAAATTAGTATAGCTGGAACAGGTCGAGGAAACGATTTGATGATGCGAGCCGTAAAAAGCTGCACAATGTAGTCCGATGACTGTCCTTTTCATCTTCTGTTTGTGAATCAGATCAATTAGAGCCTTGTGGAACACTTCCCGATAACGAACAAGTCACAACATTCTTTACCGTCTCAGTCTGGAAACCAAAAAAGGAGCAAGGTTCAAACTGTTATTGCTAACAACTGAATTCCTTCAGAAATTAATGATTCTAACGGTAAGGTGCAGGCTTAATCTTACCAAGCAGAATTACTGGTATGCGATAGTCAGGTTCCGGTATCACTGTTTCTCTCACAACTGTCGCTGCCTTCTTCCTTCCAAACTGAAACAACAATATTCAAAAGGCTCATTTCGAGTCGCTAATAGGTGCTTTATAATCAATAGGTCAGTAGACCCAACGGATAACCCTTCAAAACAAAATTCTCCTGTCTTATTTCCTGATCACTTGGTCACGTCACTCTATTCAGTCTAAACTAAATAGATTTGACACTGAAGTTTTCCTCGAGATCCCATCGCAAAATAACGGTTTGTCAAATTTGGAGACAAAGAAGAAGAAAAAAGAATGCAGTAGGATGCAGTGCATAAGGCTCAGCTAAGTTATTTCTAGATATTCCCACGGCAGTCATCAACGAATTTACGTTTGAGTAAGATAGCTTAGTGCAGATGGAGAGTGCTGAGCTTTTAGAATGAGAGCTAGGAAAAAGAGAAAAAGAGAACGCAGGAGGATGCAATGCATCTCCAGCAACTGAAAGGTTCCCAGAGCTTCCAACGCAAGTCATCCGAAATTTAAATCATTTCAAGATTACTTGGTGCGAATAGAGACTACAGAGCTTTGAGGAGAGAAGCTGAATTTGCATCAGGCGAAACACACCAAAGCCTCTACTCTCAATTGCTTCCGACCATGAGGCACGACAGCGTTTGATGTGAACAAGCCCGTGTTGCTACCAAAGGAATTTGCAGCTCTCAGTTTGAGCATTTGCAAGCCTCCCAATTTTTGTCCATGGATTCTTCCACTCGATGATCCTACACGCCAAAACAGAACCAAACTCAATCAAGCTCCCGTCAAGATAATCAACGCACAGCAGAACAAGCCTCCAAACATCGTATTCCACGTTTCAAATCGGATCGACCACATCAAACACCACTCACTGTCGAAGCAGGACGCTCGTGTCACACAAGAAGTGTAGGACAAGCTGATCAGCCTCGAGGAAGTGGCCATTGCTACGCTAGCTCCGCGCCAGATTCGGTCGAGCCGAAGGAGGGGCAGATTCTCGACTCCAAACACCTCCGAGCACCCACAGGCGAACGACCTTTGCTCACAACGGATGCAAAGAGCGTCGAATGGCATTCGCTCGACGCCCGCGTGCGTCTCACATGCGCCAATCGTTCGCTCGTACCCGAGCTCGCCGACATGCTCCCCTGTGCGCTCGGAGCATGTCCCACTGCCGCAGATATGACTGGCCCCGCCATCTGCCCAGGGCGGCGAACCAGATCCAGGCACGTGTAACTCCAGCCAAATGGCTTGCCCGCGGCTGCCCACGTAAGCACTCTCGTTCAAGCGTCTGAGTTTTGAGGAAAGCCCGATCGAGAACTCGTGGCCCACATTCTACCTCGATGTTGGTTAGGCTTGAACCCGCAGCTAGTTTAGTTAACCCTCTTCAAACTGTCATCTCCTCGGACGTTTTTAGCGCCGCGCCACTGAGGTACTCTAATGCCCCCCGACTGAAGTCTAACCGTGTCCGCGACGGTCAACGTCGCGGGTCCCGGACGCGGAGGGGAAACATTTCCTCGGATGAGAGAATTGGGTTCTTTAGGACTACGAGGGAGCAAAATGATCAAGAACTTGAATTTCTCTAATTCTTAGGGGGACTTTCAGAAAAAAAAGGAAACTAAACGGATGCTTCTTTTAAAGAAAAGGAAATAATTAAGAACTTGAATTTCTTAATTTCTTAATGGGCAAGGCCTTATTAAAAGGACTCGAAAGTGATGATCTGAACGTCGCGACGTCGTGAGACGTCTGCGCGGAGCTCGCGACGAGATGGAAGTCGCGTCGCATCCAATTGGCGGGGGTGCCGACGTGGCTGTCCTCTTAATTGATAATAATAGCTGTCCTCTAAAGGTGAGCCGGCGACCAGCTTTGACTGCGCTCTGCTGCCAGTCTCGTAGCGCCTGAACCCTGAACTCTGAACTCTGCGCGTCGAAGAGGACGAGTGATGGTCAGGCGTGCGACAACGACGAGCAATTCTGCATTGGATAATTTTCTCGATGCACCTGCAGCCACGCGTCGCCTTCTCGGTTCCCGAGGAAGAAGCGGAACTCTCTTTTCGACGAGAAAGGAGAACTTTTACGCCTTCTCCTCCTCGTGCTTTTACCACCCATTCTACTGGCTCCGATTGCGCCGCCGCATTCTCGAGCCCACCACTGTATTGGAACGAACTTGGTCGAACGAATAGATTTCATGTTCTGCCAGCATCTTCGTCCAGCGATTTGGTCGACCTTTCGTACGGCTGTTGTGCGGAACACTGCCTGTAGTAAAACTGATTCTTTGTCTAGCGTAGCTTCGGCAGGGATGCCTGGACAATTTCCTCGGTTATGATGGAGTCCAGCCTGATGAGTTGTTCGGGGAGAATATTATTGCCTCTTCCGAATTGTTTCCACGAAAGGAAATCTCGGGCCCGAAGATTCGAGAGTAGATCGTCGTTGAACGTGAATTTGAGCAGCGATGGCGCTTGGAAAGGAATCCGACGCAGACAGGGAGCTCCACTGGCGAATATGTTTGCCTCGCGTAATGGAGGGTTGGTTAGGAGACCGAATACTCCCTACTCCCTCCCACCGAATGTCAAGTTGGACCATAAATTGTTGAAAGATGGAGATGATAAAGAGGACAATGAGTTCGCAGCGACTGGTGGTGAGGACAACGATGAGCAGCAGGATTTCAGTTTGGCTGCTGCTGATGCACCTTCCATTGCATTTTGGGACAAATTCCCCCAAAGATATAAGCTCATCGTCACAACTTCGCTAGCTTTTGTTGTCTGCAACATGGACAAGGTTCGAATTTCCGATTTCCATCTCTCGATCAGTCATTTCTCTGTACTGAACGACTCGAAGCGTCTCATGCCGAACACCAGCTCAGACACTGCGCTATCATAACCACCGCCTATCATAGTACTGGGCTGAGTGTGCCCGCTCCGGAACTTGTGAATTTTTTGTAGGTGAATATGAGTGTGGCTATCATTCCGATGGCCCATCAACTAGGTTGGTCAGCCTCGACATCGGGACTTGTGCAGTCTTCATTCTTCTGGGGTTATTGTCTCAGCCAGCTTCCCGGTGGATTCCTTGCTGGGAGGTTTTCTGGCAAGTAAGTTCGTCAATTTCTTTACCGTGTAATTACATACAACACGAAGTAGCAGATAGGACTTCTGTATTTTACAAACTTATCTACCGAATGCAGGGCTGCAAAATGACTTCGAAACTTGGAAATGTTGGGAGAATTGACTGTCTAATCTTAAAAAATTTTAGCCATGAGGAGAATACGGTTCCATGCTATTACACGTTCTGCAGGAATACTCTCAGATCCGAGACCATGACCAAGTACCTGAGTATTATTATTTCGGAAACCTTCTGCTGGTTATTCTGATCTCCAAACTTCAACGTCTCAGCTCTTATAAATAATCAATTTGGAACTTGCTCTAGGACCAAAATAACCGATTTTTACATTTCCTGATTCTCCTGTAACATCTATGAAAATACAGGAAAGTGTTGCGAGCAGGTGTGCTGGTCTGGTCATTAGCAACAGCCCTCGTACCGCTAACTGCCACCTTCTTGCCGGGCCTTTTATTTTGCCGACTGCTGGTAAGCATCTTGTCTTTCGATATAACTTGTTCTGATTTGGTCGACTTAGGATTCAATGCCAGAAACCTCTGACTAGAGTTTGAAGTAAATCTATTGCATATGGAAAAACGACATATCCATGTTTATTCTAGAGACGAACTTTCAGCCCCCTGAAATTGGTTTCCTGTTCAATGAACTCGTTCTGACGTGGTTCAGCTTGATGCTGAATTTAGGAGCATATAAAACATGTATATATTTCCCAGTTTTTGAAAGTTTCAGTACTTTAACACGATGGAAGAGTACAAAATTAAGTGTCTTGAGTGTTCAAGATTCTGGTGATAGGCGCTCTTTGTATCAATGGTAAAATGTGAGTGCTCATATGTACAGGTTGGATTAGGTGAAGGTGTATCCCCGTCCGCTGCAACCGATTTGATTGCCAGGTAAGAAAGACTTGAAACTGAGCCAGCACCTCTACTTCAAGACCGTGTGCAATGTACGAAGTGACAAGTTAAGTTGGACGTTCGACCTTGCAGTAGTGTTAGATTGTTGGTTGTCTTTCCGTTGTACGTGTACGTATACTTATACGTATATGTTATGTAAAGAAATGCATATTTGAGACATCGGATATCAGTGATACGCCCATGGAATGCAGGGCCTTCTATATTACTGTGTACTCAATAATTAGCTCAGTGTTTCAACTTTTGCAGGACTATGCCCATAAACGAACGTGCAAGAGCTGTGTCGTTTGTCTTCGGGGGCCTTAATGTTGGCAGTATCGTCGGGTGAGAATTTCTTTCTTCATCATCTGGTTTCTGGAAGCTTTTTTCTAGTTAAACACGAGTCTCGTGAAATGTAATTGGCCTACATTTCAACTGTTCATGTATTTGAAATATCTTCGCTTTGGATTTCTCATCTTGAATACATGGACACTGAGATTTTGCATAATCAAACGAGTGATTGACATCTTTATCAATCTTGATTTGATCTGTATCTTTAGTAACCTTTCATGTAAAGAAAATGCTACAGTCGCCTAATGTGTCATGACAAGGTGATGTGTTTTGCTCAACTACACCATTGTTTGTAATTCTTCTCCAGACTGTTGTTGGCTCCCGCCATAATTAAGCTCTTCGGGTGGGAAGTCGTCTTCTACCTCTTCGGTTTAATTGGTATCGGCTGGTATGCTTCTCGCTCTAGATACAGCTCATGTGACGAAGGAGATTCATGTCCAACTGTTTTGAAGATGTTTCAATACCTAATTATTTGATAAAAGACCTTGGCACCAGAACTGTGTGTACCATTTTCTACTTTTGTTGATTCAGAGCATTCGGCAGGTTAATAAGTAAAACTCATCCTGTGGTCCCTTGCTTGTGTTCCCATCATGGATGTAGGTGTCTTGCATTTGACTCAGCGACGACTGAGGTGAGACCGAGTAGTACATCAACACCAAACAGTCAAGTAGGAGGTTAGTGCTAAAACGCTAGTACCGTCTTCGGGATTAATGTCCATCAATGCAACATCGTAATCATTTTTTCTCACAATATCTATTTCAGAAAACGGAAACGCTTTTTCAAATGGGCAAGTACTGAAGTCTTCCCCCGCTTCGACCTCGAAAGCGGCTTCCAAGGCAGCCTCGGATGCTCATGCTGCCACATTTGACATATCTGACAAGGTATTTTTTCCTCATCACTCTGTGAAGGTGCTTCGTCGCGCTCTTTTGTTGTTGTGCCACTGGAGTTACTAGAATGATTACTTATGCATAACGTAAGATAAAAGTTTGTTTCCCCTGCGTAGGCCATTCCTTGGAGAGCCTTTTTCAAAGAGCCAGCTTTATGGGCAATGATCTACGCCCACTTTTGTGGAAACTGGGGATATTACAATCTTCTCGCCTGGTTTCCTACTTATTTCAGGTGAAATGTTGGTTATTCTATATGTGTGTTTTAATTACTTAGTATCTTCAACTTTAGCAGAGCTGACTGTATGTCTGTTCTGCATATGACAGTGAGGAGCTTAACTTGGACCTTACAAATGCGGCATTGGTTAGTCACGTTTGCCCACGTCTGTTATTTAACAGTTTTATGCTCACTATTTGTTCACTTTCTTTTTGATCGTTCAATTCTCATCTTCCCATTCCAATCTGTTTGGCCTAGACGATGTTGCACGACAAATTTACGATTAGGACAAGCCATTTGAATCCTAGACTCCACACAAATTCATCCTCACATTGCCACATATATTTTGTGGATATGCTAAGCAACTGCTGTGAATGGTTGAAGGCAGGTGTCGATTCTTCCTCCACTTGGTTCTGTGGTGGTTTCCGGTGTTGCATCATCTTTAGCTGACCATTTAATATCTAAAGGGGTTGACACAACTAAGGTTAGTCCCTCCATTCTCCTCATACAGTTTCTGAACTGATATTTACGAGGCAAAAGTAAATTTGTCTGTACACAACAAGGATGGAGCTACCTCCAATTGTACAAATTGTACATCGGGAATTAAAGTACTTTAGTTGGAGCACTTTGCGTTCATGTTTTCCATCTTTATGTCTAGGCTACAAAACCTTCCTTGCAGTCTGTCACCATCAAGAATTAGAGTAAAAATTAAATTGAAACTTAACTTGCCGTCAGGACATTCATGGGACATGTACTCATGATTATTTTTTGGTTTTACGTATCCAACAGGTCAGGAAACTGTGTCAAACCATCGCCTTTATGTCTCCGGCAGTGTGCATGGGTATTGCATCATTCTGTCCAGGTCTTCCACCCTGGTTAATAGCTGTGGTTCTAACAGCCGGTTCTAGCTTATCAACCTTCACTCTCGCGGGTAAATCTACTTGTCATCTGTCATTATTGTCGTTTCTTCGTGTAGAATTCGTAATTCCAGACAAGATGTAAGTTTATATGATTCTTAGAGATTTCTAAACGAATCTTCTATGTGTTACGAATATCAGCCTGGGTCATGAGTATGACATTGAAAAGCTTTTTGTTATCATGTGTCTGCCTGGTTGTATGGACATATGTATGGCAGAAGTGTTCTAATGTAGTCGGCTTTGATCCAGGACTTTACTGCACACACCAGGACATTTCACCAAAATACGCAAGCATTCTTTTGGTAAGATTTCTGACTTCTGAACAACTGCTGCCGCGTCTTGTTGACTCGGTCGGAAGTATATTGTAGCTGAATTCTGAGAAATAGGTGCAGATTAGTTGTTCATAAGCTCAGAGTTGTCTATTTTTGTTGTCCTAGCGTGGACAAGCATCGTGTCGGCTTGAAAGAATGTAGCGATTCGCTTTGGTCAATATTATTTGATATGGGTAACCATGTCGCTACGGATGTATTATACAACCAGAGTATCAAGCTTTATTCTACATGTTTGTGCTTCATAATAGAATAGTGCAGTGTAGTTCTCTCTTCTTCCTCATCTTTATGTAATGTGACGTTTTAGCTTGTAACGTACAATCGAAGGAGAGGGTCTGAATACGGAGGAATTTAGAACTGCTCCTAGGACGAACCTGGTGGTCAACAGTTTAAAAGACATCGTAAACTGGAAGTCATAAATGAGATAACATGGGCATATATCTGAACAGTTTGAGTCTTTGAGTTAACTAAGGAATAGTTTTCATCAGATGTGTGGAAAAAAATCTAGATTATTGCCTTTAACCATATGCTTGCTTTTGGTACTGGTTGAAGATAGTACTGTTTGAAGATAGGGCATAAGTTGCAGTCACTAACATATTTTGATGTTTCAACGCAGGGAATTACCAATACTGTAGGAGCCATTCCTGGAATACTGGGGGTAGCACTCACCGGTTACATTCTTGATCAGACGAACTCCTGGACTGTAAGTGTATCAAGTACATAAATATCAGTTTAGAGACCTCTTATCTCTTTCATTAACATGTACGAACTCGACACTGTGGTTGATGTTGAAACCTTGCGCTTGTACCTTCAAAAGTAGAACCTCTTCTATCGTAGTTTCACTTCAATCCGTGTCGTGTAGCGTGCAAACCTCAAGTTGCCAATATTTTGGTTGAGATCATGTTAGCTGCTTTTAATGTGTTCTTGCATTGGTGTAACTAACGTTTTGCATGTATCATCTTGAAATTCTGAACCGAGGTCGGTTTTGCTTTGACAGCTGGCGTTATTTGCACCTTCCATATTCTTTTACGTTACTGGTACAGTGGTGTGGAATTTATTCGCCAGCAGCAAACCAAAGGAATTCTAGTCCCTATAGGCCATATATTGTACACAAATTAACCAGGTGAACTGGTTTGTACGCTATCAATCCAGCTTAGTTTTCCATTTTTGTACCTCTTAGAGACTTTTCTGGCGAACGAACGTTTGTCTGAAAATAGATAGGAATTATTTCTCCACATTGGGTCCACAAAGCAGAGGAGCATACTTTAGTTGTTAGGCAGAGTAGGCAGATTGGAGATAGTAAATCTAATTCACTTGTGGATAACAAATTTTGCCAGATCTTTTTTCATGATTTAACACCGATGTAGTGCAAAATCTATGATGCCTTCGTCCTAAGAAATATTGAGGAATCTGTTCCCTAGTAATGGTTCTAAAGGGTTTTGTCAAGGATTTCTCTCTAGTCGATACAACTTCTTTACAACTGTAAAGAGGTCCATACAGTGGATATTGCACTTGATCTGCGAGAGAACCTATCTCTGTAGTCTTCTTGGCAGTGTGTGTATACCGGGAGGGTTCGATGTACAAATCAGGCCACAGTACCGCGTGGTCACTTTGATATGGTTGCACTTTTGGTGGGATATCATGCTTTTTCATTACCTCGATATGCTCACAGTAGAGATATAAATTAGAGCGATTATTAGCCCCTTTACTTTTATAAGCCTTGTATAGTGGTTCTTTCGGACCGTCAGATAGGGCCCAAAGATGAAAAGACGACATACACGGCAAAAGGTTCGTCAACAGTGACGCAGTAAAACATATGAGGGGTCTTCAAACACACATCAAAAGAGTAAAGCGAACTCAGGCTCAACTCGAGATATAGCGAGGACCCAGAGTCAACCTGTACAGAGCTCTGGTTTTCGCTCTACTGGGACATGATCGAAGGTTGTCCAGGCACGAAGGGTTTGAAGTGCCCATACCTGCGTTTACATATAATTGGGAAGAATATATCTCACAGTTCCGTCACTGTGCAAATTGTGTCTCTAAAACCATATTATTCCACAGCACAAAGCGTTGTGATTATAAGTGGACAAAGGCCCTTCATACAAATTGACACAATTCGCAACACAAAATCCATTATGTTGCGAAACAGTTTCCTTCCACTGAACGCAATTCTTCACATTGTAGGAGAAAAGGACCTGTTTTCCCGCGAAGTCTGAAACTCCGACATTTGCCTTTTCTTCTTACATACCGACACGTTTAGTAGCCAGGATCTCGATGTGCGATCAGAGTGGAATAATGTTTGCAAGGGTATCATTTGAAACGATTTCTCTCCTCACCAGATCCCCGGAACTTAGGGAGCAGCATACCTCATCTGCACACATGAAAAGTGCTCCTCGAAGGAACTTGTGCACCAGTGATGGATTCTAAGACAGTGTCACAACTTCTGATCTCACGACGTGCCAGCAGTTCTCGGCCTCTGACCAGCAGCACTTTGTTTTCACTTCGTTCAGCAGTAACACTGCACCAAATCATGGATTCCAGATAAATCAGATATTTCCACAGGACTTATCACGCCGGAAAATGCTATTTTACACTAAAAGCTTGCAACTGGTCTCGAGACCTGACGTGTCTGGAAGATTTTTTTTAACTGGAGCACCGGGAGTGAAGCTACGAGGTCTTCTTATCTACATTTACGTAAGTAAGTGTGAGTGCACGTCGAGTAAACACGAGAATCAAGTGCCACGCGGCCTGTCTGAAGGGGGTGCTGAGGTATGGGTCAGACGGCAGCACGCAGCGAGCGCAATCATTCCCATACTTCTGGGGCCGAGGAAGTCTACATCAGACCTGAGGTGATCCGTCTCAGATCGATTGCTCAAAAGACTTGAACTGAGTTGGACAGCCCGAAACATCGTTGCAGTCCCCGCCCCAGCTGAGAAATCTCGACCTTTGTGCTGCAAGAGCAGTATCCTGTGATTTGCCGTAGGTTGGCCGCTGGTGAAACACAGAGGACTTGCAGGATGACAGAGGAGAGCAAGACGTTGGTGCTCGCCATTCCCATCTTCAATGGCATCACGGTGTTGGATGCTGTTGGTCCTTACGAGTGCCTCCATGTTCTTCCCAACGTGAAAGTTGTTTTCGTCTCGCACCAGGCCGGGCCCTACAAGGCCACGCTTGGGTATCTATCCCTCTCAGCTACCCATTCCTTCGACGAAGTACCGCACCCTGATATCATTGTTGTTCCCGGGGGCCCCGGCATCATGCTCCTTCTGGATGATAAGCCATTCCTCGATTGGATTCGGAAGGTGAAAGTTCCCTCGCGTCCTCTTCTGATCAGAGCTTTCTGTGTCGTCTTTCTCCGGATCTTAAAAGCTTGAGCACTGGTCGTTCCTTTCAATCCGAAAGATGACGAAGTAATCATAGATCAGATGTTCCATTCTGAAACTTAACCTGGTAGACAGTACATTTGGAATCTGAACCCTCGAGTCTCTGTTTACAGGCACATGAAACTTCAATGTACACGACCTCAGTGTGCTCAGGATCGCTGATGCTTGGTGCAGCAGGACTGCTCAAGGGGCTGACTGCTGCTACACATTGGAATGTATATGACATTCTTGAGAGTTATGGTGCCAAACCCACAGCGGACCGAGTTGTTCAGGAGGTATGCATTACAATTTGCGGGTGCATGAAGCTCCACCTATGTCTTGTCAGAATTGTGACCCAATTGCACTCTCTGGTGTTTCTTCCACTTGATGGGTTTTCCCCGTCTCTCTGCCCCATTCGGTGCTTTCTTGCCTTCCTACGAGTCACGCGTTTATTGCATCACATCGTATTCGTTGGGCCAATTGTGGTCACAATTTTTGCTCAAAAGCCTTGAATGTCTCTGAATGAGCTGAGCTGATCGTACATATGTCGATTGTTATTGCAGGGTAAGATCTTAACAGCTGCTGGAGTTTCTTCAGGCATTGACATGGGGTTGAAGCTAGTGTCTCTCATCACGGATGAGAAAACAGCAAAATCCGTCCAGCTTCTTTTGGAGTACGACCCTCAACCACCATTCGACACGGGTTGTTTGAAGAAGGCAGCTGCCGAGCCAGATGTCATTGAGAGGGCGAAGTCCATTGGGTACAGACTGAGAGCTCATGCTATCGATAACCATGGTAACCATGTTGGTGAAATGGTATTTAGTTGAAAGTGAGTTCCGGGAGCATTCTCCATGTACCAAAGAAATAGGTAGAACTTTACCCATTTTTTTCTATGGAACTCAAAGCACCCCAATTTACCCTGTACTCAGTATGTACAGTAAGAGTCACCCTGCGTCCAGCAAGCTTGAAGGTTTTTGGGGCCTTCACATTCTCTTCTATGTAAACAGATAGAGAATGTCTATCGTATCTGTTGGATATCTATCTTCCCTCAGACTACAACTACCTTACTTTTCAGTTTTCATTCGAAGATGACATTGAAGGGTGCAGTCAAGTTTTATAGTCCTTAGCTGGCTCTGTGGAACTCATCAAAGTGTACATTTTACCCTTATAATTTATAACGAAGTTCATAGGTTGTCTGTCCTGCCATATCTGTCTTTCTCCCATAATTTCGTACACCGAAACATAAACCGCCCATTTATGTTTGAACATGTTAATGCAGAACTCTGCATTGCACTTCCTCTCAAATTTATTTCTCTCGCAGCCTTCAATTTCGCCTGGAACTTTAGACATCTTGGATTTAATCCCACACTGCTAGTCTCTGATCTCAAGCAAGTGATTTCAGAATGACAGAGACACTTAGATTTATGCACGTGAAGGGATGAATAAGCGGCTGAAACTGTCAGAAATTTTCGGGGCAAATTTGGAATCGACTAGGCTGGTAAGCATTCGACGAATCAAATTCTGACAAGGAAGCTCTTTGCTGACGGACTTCGGTGGACACACTGAGACCGCCTGTCGTTAGCATCGTAAATTGCAGCTGCACATTTCGCAAGTAAGACGAATCAATCTCTCAAAGTCTGCACAACCAAAACAGGCAGACAGTTTTCTTTTTCTTTTGTCAATATGAAGCGCATACATCTCTATATTTAAGATTCTCCGACCTTTGGACAAGCAGAGTAAGTGAAAGCCTATTCTTACACATCCTTATATAACAGGTGAGTTCAGTCGAGGTTCTCGTCGTGCCTAAACCCTGGGAACACACCAACTGTTTATGGATCTCATAATCGAAAGCACGCCCACTGCACTGAACAGTCTGCTGGTGAAATCAACCCACGGCCTAACAATCAGAGGAGGACCAGACTTTTCCTTCCGCACGCTAATACGTAAGGTAAAGTCAATCGTGCTTGGACATCGGGCCCATGTTCAAGTACATAACCACTGTTAATCGAGATCTCGATCTGCGTATTACTGCTCACGAAACTGAACGCTCTGTTGATCGTTTTTCTACCTACTTGCTTTCTTAAGCAAAGGCCATGGCAACGTCAGGTGTGGAGCTGAAGAGCCATGACCACTGCGTAGTTGAGCAGATGATATGACCCTCGGGCCATGGGTCAAACGCAGACCAAAACTAGAGTCAAACTCGAGTCGAGCTGTCGAGCAAAAGTAACCTGTAAGCGAAAAACTGTTTCCAAACATTACATAATCGCTACTAGATTGCCTGCAGGTCCTGTCCATACAGATCGCTTAAGCTGGACCTTCTTTGGAGCAGCCGGGGAGTGTGAGGACCTCTGCATCTGCAGAGGCTGGATGAAGTCCGACATACTTCTACAAAGCAGCATTCGATTCTCAGTGACCTGTTACGAGCCTCTTCTGTCATTCTGAGAGCCTGCGTTTCCTCTTCTCGATTGCCAACCAACATGTCTCAAGCGGGCAGAAAACTGGTGATTGCGATTCCAATTTTCGATGGCATCATGGCGTTGGATGCTATCGGTCCATTTGACTGCGTGCAGCAGCTTCCGAACGTGGAAGTCGTCTTTGTGTCACACAAGCCGGGCCCGTACAAGGCTTCTTATGGAGCCCTGTCGTTGATCGCCACTGCATCGTTTGACGACGTTCCCAGTCCTGACGTGATTATCGTCCCCGGGGGTTCGGGTACCCGTCTGCTTCTGGAAGACGAACCTCTGCTGAAGTGGATACAGAAGGTACTACGACCTCTTTCAGGAACGAGACCGATCATCTTGTGCTTTGGGCTGGCCATTTGTTCTTGTGATGATGTGTTCCTCCTCGATTCCTGTTCTCTGTTGCACCTCTGTCCGTTTGTCTGCAGAGGATGTTTTGAGATGCTATGGGTCTGAAAATATTATGAAGGGCTCTTTTAAGCCTGGCATGAGTGCTTGTGAGCTTCAGCTCAAAAGTTTGGAGATCTAAATCAGTACAATCTTTGATGATGGACGAAGGCGCACGAGACGACATTGTACACAACTTCAGTCTGTACAGGTTCTCTGCTGCTCGCCGCGGCGGGATTGCTGAAAGGAGTGACAACCTCTAGCCACTGGAACGCTTTCACTCTGTTGGAAAGCTATGGTGCCAAGCCGACCTCCAAGCGATATGTGCAAGAGGTTTGTGTCATCGTAACCTTCCATAATTGCTCTACAGCTGGAGGAGACTGTGAAGTCTGTGCTTCGAGTTGATTTTTGAGTCTGCGGGGAAGTTCACATGTCCTTCTTCTGATCATAATTCTCTACTTCTTTGGAAATCGGATGTCCAGGGGAAAATTCTAACTGGAGCCGGAGTCTCAGCTGGAATTGACATGGGTCTCTTTCTGGTATCTCTCTTATCCGACGAAGAAACTGCCAAAGCGGTTCAGCTCTTTATCGAGTACGATCCACAGCCACCCTTCGACTGTGGTAGTGTTTCTAAAGCCACGCCTGAAATTGTCGCCATAGCCAAATCCTTCGGTGCGCGCTTGCTGAACCATGCTCAGCAACACTACAAGGCCTAGTGACGGACGGCGTTTATGAGCTTGAGTGAATCTGATAGCATCACCACTGACAACCTGTAAACAGACCGTACACTCTTTACAAATAAAACTGCTTCTATATTGTACATTACAAAATGTAAGGTCTGAAGACAGGATTCCAACCACGAGAACCACGGCCGTGCACAGTTTAAGGGAAAGGTGATGGAGAGCTCTCGAGATTGAGCGAGTTCTATTTCATAGTCAGTCAACGACAGACAAGGAATCAACTGCAGTGCAAATGCACATGAATGGTGCTGGCAAGGACATTCCTGCACCTCTAGACTGTAGGAGGTGCAGATGGCATGAGTCGCCGAACGTAGAGAAGCAGACGACGCTTGGTTTCAATTAGAAGCAATCATCGTTTGCAATTTAACGAACACAGATAGAAGATGAACGTCTGCGTGCCTCACATCCTGCCATTTATTTCTCCAGCCTCTAAGGAGAATTTCCACAGAGCTTGAGATTCAAAATGGTGATATGCAAGCATGAAAAAAATATCGCTCCGCGCTGAGTCGTTTCCTCTAAGTCCTGATGAGTGTGAAGATTCATGTCATGCTTTGGAAGACACATAATCTGCAAGGCAAGTAAACAAATCCACGGAGGGAGGATGGAATGAAGGTTCAGATTATATCATCCATGACCTCGCTCATCATCTGAGCATGTCTCCCGCAGCTGCCAAGAAAAAGATGTGCCAACATTCCAAAGGATTTGCTCTCAGCACAATGTCGATCGATCCACAACCGCACGACGAGCTCAGACTCTGACAAACAAGAGACGTCAATCCTTGGCACCAGAGTGTGGAAGGTCTGGTACACAAATGAAGCGAAGAGACGAGAACGTCAACTTACTCTGAGCTTGCGACTCAACTTATCAACAGCATTGACAAAGAAACCGATCCGAAAACTGTCACTCAAAATCTGTCAAAGCCACTCGAACTGCAAATGCGTCGAGGTCACAAAGATCTGTGAAAGGGATAAAGAAGAAATGGCCTAAATTTCCGATCGCCATCGCTTCGTGCCAGGGATGCCATGGAATTCGGTACAGGTCCAACCTGTACCGCTCCTTCTGGGGACAGCCGGGGCTTTTGTTCTAGTATCAAGAGCCCCGTAGTTACAAGAGCCCAGCTCGAGTCTCGTACTGGAACGGGGCTTTGGGAGCAGAGAGGGACGAGAAGAGGGTTTTGGAAGGCGGAGAAATCAGGCTGCTCGTGATTCAGGGCTCCCGCCCTGTTGCTTCAGCCGCGGAATCTTCTTGTACCATCGATTTTGGGTTTGGCGGAGGAGATCATTGAAGTTTGGCTTCATCGGCTGAATTTTCGTATGTTTTCTGTCGCTTTCGTTTTCAACTTTCGCCTCTATTTCCTCCTTTTCGTGCACTATGAATTGCCAATTCGGTATCTCTGCGCGAGCTACATGATGGGGTTTTTACATCGAACGCTAGGCTCGAATTTCAGAACGTTGAAATTCTTGTGACAATGAGGGGCCTCCTTTTTCTTCCTGTTTTTGTGTACTCAATTTGAGTTGCTTTTTTTGTTGGTTTGGTGTTTTGGTACTAAGAGGATTTATTGGAGATTGTCTCCTCAGGCTGTATTGGTAGTAAGACTTCGAGCTCGCTCAGAACGCTGCTGTTTGAGAGAATTTCAGTTCGATGGGTGAAGATTCAATTTTTATTTCTTGAGGGGTTTAGACTTGTGCAGGGATTGTAAGAAAGGTCGGAATTCTGAGAAAACAAGGGCTTTGTGCGTGGAAGGGTTGTGGCAGTGAATGAAGCCCACCTATTCAGAAAGAAAACCGTCACCAGGACGATTCGAAGTTGTATTTTAATCATGGTTAAGAACATGAAGGCCCCAGTTGCCGTACCCGCTGTCAAGCGGAAATTGAAAGACGCGGACCGCACTGCCAAGGTGAGTTTGGTTGTACTGCCGCTGTCGATCGTTAGCTTCAGTTCCCTTGGCCATGAAGAGTTCATGATTGTGGGACAGCACTTGGTTTCTTTCCTCAGCTCTAGGGAATTTTTGGGCTGCACTGTTTTCATAGAGACATGCATCAATATATGAAATAACATTAGAGCTCAGGTTGAAGCAACTCCAGCCAGACCAAGCAGTACTGACCGATTGCCGATTGCAGCGGAAGAGAAAAAGAAAATCTGCTGGTACAGCTACGGACGTAAAAAAGGTTGAAACATCTGTTGAAGAAGAAGCAAGCGAAGAGGAAGAAGTGATGGTCCAGAAAGACGAAAGCGACACTGATGATGATGAAGAGCATAAAGTTGAGGAGAATGTTGTCACGACAGCTACTACCGAGAACAGTGCTGCTGTTAAGTACGTTCCTCCCCATCTGCGGCAAAAACAGAGTGCTGTTTCTGAAGACACTGTACGATTACAGCGCCGTATCAGAGGTAGGGTCGTAACTTTTTCTGTTAATCCGATCGCGAATTAGGTCTGCCAATTTTGCCTGGGAATCATATATGTTATTGATTTTTGATATCGAATCTCAGGTCTGTTAAATCGACTTTCCGAGGCGAATGTGGAGTCTATCACTTCAGATGTGTCAACAATATTTCAGGTCTTTTATCCTGAACCTCAACAGTAAAATGTCCCAATTGGAATGGGAGGAGTCTTTGCCGGTCCGACCGTCGTACTCTGACTGTCTAGATGGAAACGTGGACTCTGATGTACTTGTACAGGTTTAGAGCATATTTGAAAGCTAAGTTTTTTATTGTGCTGGTTGTTGAAGGCCAACGGTCGCCACATGGTGACGGAGATTCTTTGTAACGAGATTGTGGGAGCTTGTATTGAAGGACCTCGTGGCAACGACCAGTAAGTATCATACCTTGTTTATCCAGTTTAACTCTTGGTCATAGGCTGCATCGGTTTTGTCACAGTAAAGTACTTAGAATTGGAACATTGTGTTGTTGAGCTGATTCTTGTAACGATTACTTCGCAGTCTGGCAAGTTCAACGTGCCTTAAATGTGCTCATAACTTTTACAGCCCTAATGTGCACATTTTGACTATCAGAGGTTTGCTTGTTCTTTTGATGAAGATATGCAGCAGTATTTGCTGCCTTTGTTGCAGGGATGGCTGCCTCAGTCGGTATTGACTTCGGTGCCAAGTTTGTAGCTGCCTTGGCCAAGGCGTTGGAGGTAAACCTTCTTCATTTTCAAATAAAGATGGATGTTGTGCAATGTGGTAAGTTGAGGTTTGGAAATATCAAGCATCCGAAACTGCTGAAATAGCGGAAGTCATAAATTATTGTATTCATGCAGCAAGTCATGGAATCTTGCCTACTTTGTCCGTAAATGTGGGATCTGCCGCTCTTTGTAAAATGTGCAGGATCAGTACGTCAAAGAGGATAATCTAGCTGTTAGGAATCTGACTATGCTACTCTCTCATCTCTATGTCTTCCGTTTGCTACCATGGTGAGTTTCTGCTTTCAACACTCTTTGATGAACGCTAAGATACGTTTGCATCTGACATGTACTCGATGGAGCCAAAGTGATGTTCTTTACTAGTGAGCTTTTAGGCAACAGTACTTCTGTTATCTACGATTGATCAAGATCATCGCGTGCAGTGAGCTTTTGTACGAACTGCTGGGAGTTTTGTGCAAGAGGTTCCAGGAGCTTGATGTCGCAACAATTTTGACTATCTTACAGTGTACGCATCTCTCCCTGTGAATCTGTGGTTTGAAATTCTGGAAGTGTTCATTTGATGACTGCCGGCTTTGCTTTTCCAAATAATCAAAACTATTGACTGACCTCATTATCGACTCCTGCGTGGGTGGATATTGACATGTCTCGGTCGGTTGTCTGTTTGTTTATGCCCTCAGTTATTTGCATTCACGTTTACCGCCTTGCTTTTTGGGCTGTGGCATGAACTTATTAGTTGAAACATCTCTTTCGACGTCGTGTAGGAAAGATATCACTCTTTGATCTTGAGTGATGCAAAAACTCATACGTATAGGTGTGAATGCAGCTTGTGGAATAGGCTTACGTGGAGATGACCCAGCTGCTATGAAAGACTTCATACTTTCCATTCAACAACGCACAGCTGATGTGAAATCTCAACTGGCCAAAGCCACTGAAAACTCTTCTGGAGGATTAAGCAAAAGGGTACATTGCAGACCTCTACTCGCACTCAATTATATATCTTGAGCTAGTTTTTTGCCTTGGCGAAGGTTTAGGGAACTCATCTATTCACAAAGAGCAGCTAATGTTTCGAGGTAATGATTGTTTTGCTCATTGCTGTTGCTCTGCTTATATCGAAGCTTGAAGTAGTTTCTGATTCTTTATCCCTCTGGGAGATGCGAATTGTTAGTGATAGTGGTTAAATAAGCATCCGGAATATTCAAACCTGAATAGCAATATCTGGAAAGAAACTGAGTGGTCTTCATCTTTGTTAGTAGGGCATCCTGCTGCATTTAATCTAGGCTTTCCAGTGAACTTTTAAACCGACGCTCGCACACTACCCTGGTGAATTCAGATCAGTTACTGAATCGTGAAGATGGATGATGCAGGTGCAATTTATGCTGGACACAATATGTGAGATAAAGAATAACAAGAAACAGAGTAAAGAGCTTGTACCTCACGCCCGGTTGAAAAAATGGCTCCAGAAGGTAAAGGCTTTCGTGATTAACACCTCTCGAATCTACAACCTTGTGTCTTAGATTTCAGCGTTCTCATAAGTAAAACCTCAATTTTCTGATTATGATTGCAGCTGAGTGTGGAAGATGTACAGCTTCGAGCTGTCACTTGGGTGAAACTTATTGACACCGCCCAAAAGGGACAATGGTGGTTACCTACGGCCGCCGACGCAGAACACGCATCAGAGGTTAGAGGGGAAATGCTAGGGGCTATGGATGCCGGGGCTCTGGAGACAGACAAAATGCTCCAACTAGCTGCGTCTCAAAGGATGAACACTGATGCTCGTCGAGCTGTGTTCTGCATGGTTATGAGTGGTGAAGATTACTTAGATGCTTTCGAAAAGATACTGAGACTGAAACTGCCTGGAACACAGGTGCAGATCTTGCCCTTAATAGCCTCATCTTAAAAGTACACCTTCGCCATTATTCTGGGCGTTTATGTTCCCTGAATATGCGTTCAATCTCTTGATGTCGTTGCTTGTACCGTAATTATTACATACTTGCAAATGCTGATTTGTAATAGAAGATACCCAAGTCCACGAATATGTGTATCACCTTAGTCGTTTGTATAAAGTGTGCTCATGGCGTGATATGGACAAACTATCTCCGAGGTCTCAAAATGACGCATTGTATTCTTGACTTTTGTCTTGGTAACTTGCGCTTCCTGCCAATTCTGATCGAGTCCACTTCATGCTCTGAAAGTTCGGGTCATCTTATATGTACTACTGACTTTTTTCTATCTTTCAAATCCCAGGATCGAGAAGTGTTGAGAGTTATTGTGGAGTGCTGTTTGCAAGAGAAGGTATTCAATAAATACTACGCTTTACTTGCTGCAAAGATATGCCAGCATGACAAAAATCACAAGTTCACTATGCAGGTAAGAATTGCAGTGTACTCTAAAACATATACCTAGTCCACTTGTAGATCATGCTTTTCTTCTTGCTTCTATTTTTGCAGAGACATGTAGGACATGATGGAAGGTGTTAGTGACTTCGAGAGAACGTCGATGGGGGCCCAACTAACGAGAGGTTGATGAGTATTCTGGAGACTTTCATTGTTGTACTTAACTGGCAGGTGATGATTTGCTTCTGCTGCTGATATCTTGTGTGAAATATTTTGCAGTATTGTTTGTGGGATCACTTCAAGCAGTTAGATTCCATGGAGCTACGTCGGAGTGCAAATCTCGCGAGGTTTCTTGGTCATTTGATTTCATCTGGCTCTCTGTCCTTGTCTGTATTAAAAGCTGTAGACTTCGCTGATCCTCGAGTGATGACCCCCAAAGTAGTGATGCATTTTCGAATATTTTTAGAATCTCTTCTAACGGAATACACGGATGAAAAGGTTTGGAATAGCTTTTCTAGAATAGCTCCGTCACCCAAGTTTCAGGAGTTGAGAGATGGGTTAGTTCTGTTCTTTCATCAGTATATGAAGTCAGCTAGAGTGCAAGAGAAGGAGGGGTCTGCAGGTTTGCTTGCATTAAGATTAAAACTGGCGAAGAAGGCATTGAAGAATGTAGCTGGTGTGCTTTTGAAATAAATCCTTTTTCACCACTTCAAGTGGATAAAATGTATGGTTGAAAGCACGACTGCATGACACTTTTAAGAGAGAAAGCGAGAGAATTATTTACTCTCTACGGTGTAGAGATACAAATGTATGTATATCTGCCACTGAACTTAATTTTGATGAAGTGTCGTTAAGGACAAATTGTATTATACAGATCAGTTTCATACACAATTTTGCACTGACACTTGTCGTAGGTAGAGGTAGCCTGTCTGTTAAGATATCTTGCTGAAGAAATGATCTGACTGAACCTGCATGTAGATTCTTAACAAGTTAACAGTGGGTAGACTACTTCCGTAGAGACCTGATACAAACCTACAAGGAAGTCAGAAAACTAGAGATAATTATACGTTCTGGTAGCAGAGGAAGGACCGTATACCAGTTGCAAGTAGAAACTTGGAAGCAGCGATGTTGATGGAATAGGAGAATGCAACAACTCAAGGAAGGCTAGAGCGTGTCTCCGTTTTTACATTCCTTGGATTTAAGTAGGGCGGAGAATGGGTTTTTCTTGGTTTAGGAACTCAAAGTCTTATTGCAATGGTGGCTATTTATATGGGATGAAATATTCGTCTTCTTAATGACTGAACTGGTAACAATGAACTATTTCAAATATAGAGGCCTGTTAGATTATAAGCAATCATGAATCTAATTTCTTTTATAGAATATTGATGGTCTCCCCGCTGCACCGTCGATAGCCCGATTTTTCGTTTACGGAGACCGTGGGTTCAACAATTTGTGATGAGTCGTGAGGAGATGAGAAGTGAAAGGGAGAGCACCGAGATGATAAGTGAAGGGGAGAGCATTGATGCGACAGTCCGAGCTCACCCGTTTCTCGAGAAAAATGACAGCGTGGTAGCGCATTCTTGGACTGGAGAATCCGAGAAGAAAGAGTTTCTGCGGTAGGGGCTTTTGCTCGAGTCTCTAGCTTTATCGAGACGAATTCCCCTTTGTTCGCCCCGCAGAGGATGGAGTGATGCATTTTTCCAGCACATGCTATTATCGTGAAACTCGAGGCTGAACAAAGTTAGGCGACGAGCCCATTGGCATCTCGCGCTTGGGAAGTGGTGCATTTGACATAACTCTTCTCTTGTGAACAAGGACAGCAAAGAGCTCGCCAATGAAAATCGTGGAGCGGAAGCGCTAGTGAGGTTCATGCTGCCTCCATGAGTTGCAAAGACAGACATCCACCTTCGAATTCGACTCGAGACTCGAAACACGCTCGGATGTGATAGGTTCGCGAATACAAGACGAATGCTTTCTCAAGAAATATGACTACATTTCAGAGGAGTAACGACTAAGTGACTTGACATGGCTCACGTTCTCCACGTCACTTCTGCCATGTTTGACGCATAGAGAAGAACACGAAGAACAACCAGAATAACTATAAACCCAGCCCATTGGGAGCTATAATCTTCGACCAGTCACGACAACTCGTATATAGTAGGGTTTATACACGTTACTATAGGAATTACATGAGTGATCATTAGCCTAAAGTGAAGGATAACAAACTGTTCCATATATATATATATATACATATATATCTCTTACGCTTTAATATGTATTGTATTTTAGACTCGAAGTGTGCAATAAATAAATATACGTATATTGGACAAAATGTTTTAGTTGTTGCTTCTTATTTATTCTAGAAGATGTATTTATTACATAGAACATTATATGGATTTAGATTGATTTAAATTTAGAATATTGTGCGAAAATCTCTCTGATGCTTTTTGAAATGCTAAAATTATTTGCTTTCAATTGCCAGGATTTGTTGGGATTAATAGGAAATATTCACTAGTTTATCACTTGGATCTATTTGGTTTACTCTAGTATCTTCTTAATAGTTTATACCCCTATTTATTAACATAATGAAATTTTGTTATTTAAAAACTTAATGCTCTAACTTTCAACTTAATGCCCTGAATCATGAAACCAAGTTATTGAATTATAGCTATCATCTGAACCGAAAATATTCAGTTTGGTATTTTGTTCAGAACAGGAAAAATCATTTGAACTCACAATTATTTTCATGTACTAAGAAAAAGTGATCATTTTATGTTCATAATTGTAAATTTCTAGTGGTTTTTGTTATATCGAGGTGTATCACTTTGTATCATTTTTTTATATGTGGATTGTAATGTAAAATTTTCTTGTTATTATGTTGAAGATTCATTTGATTCAATTTGCATATTTTAGCACTTCATTTATTATCAACCTTTGAAAATTTTTAAGTTTTTTGTTTTGTTCGTTGTTACTATCTAAAAAAATAAAAATATCATTATTTTAATTTATCTCTCATATAGGAGAACTTTCTCCTATATGAAACTATTGAATATAATTTATAATTTTTTAATTAATTTTAATTTATTTAATTTATTTAAATATTTTTCATTTATCTCAGGGAATATATATATTAATAAATAAGAAAATATCTCATAAATAATTCTGATTATTTATTTAATTGCATAGTCTTTAAGGTTCAAATATTTTCTGAAATTGAAACTCGTATGATTTAATTGATGTATATATTATGTTGTTCGTTAAGATTCGAATGTTTTGTGAAGATTTGTCAAAGAATATCTTCTAGATTATTGTACAAATATTTTGGATATTTTCATATGAATAAACATACATATACATAAATCAATTCTCACAACAAAGACCTCAAGGAATTGCAAAAAAAAAAGCTCACAAGCACAATCTCAAGTACTTATGGCAAAAAAGTCACAAGCTTCAACTCAAGGATTTTGAAAGAAACATCACAACCACAACCTGAAAATAATACAAAAATGTCAGAAGCATAACATTTCCAAGAATAAATTTGACAATCATAATTTCAAGTACTTAAAGGTTCACAAGCACAACCTCAAGATTAAAGATTTTCCAAGAAATTGTCACAAGAACAATTAGTATAAAAAGAAAGCAAATAAGTTACAAGTAAGAAAAATTTGCATAAAAAAAGATTCTAAAAACTATCTTAAGAAATTATAAAAAGCATTCAGAAGCTTTTTCTCAAAAAGTTTCAGGTTAAAAGTCATATGAATAGCTTTAAGTATTTACTAAAAAACTGTTTAATGAAAAACCTCAATGAATTGTTTAAAAGTATCACACACAGACTGAAATGTTACATCTTCCAATAAAATGTCACAAGTGTTATCAAATTTTTTTTTAACTCATTCACACTTGTACATGACACAAGATGAGATATTTACAGTCTAACAATGACAAAGGAGTAAATTTTTGAGTAGTTATGTAATTATTGCAAAGAGTAAAATATTATTTGTCATCTTAACTCAATTTATAATCCGCAACACAATGTTTTTTTTAGGAATCTCAATCAAACGGTGTTGGAAGATGTGTAATATGTTAAGCCAAGATATTTGGATTAAAGCTAGTTTAAAATAAGTAGTCCAAAATTATTGAACAACAAAAATTAGAGAAGCAAGTTCTTGTTGATGATACTCAAGTACTTGCATCAAGTATTTGCATTAGAAAATCAATCAAAATCGTCTATTGTGAGATCATTGCATTGTATTTGTAGACTCTTGCAAGATATAGATTGACATCTTTCATACATTTTTGAAGATCAGGGTATTGATTAAAATGATGATGATGACATTACGCTGAACTTGGAGTAAGAAGAACCTTTTTTATTTAGAGAAGTTCAAAATCATGTCAATAAGATTGAGTGAAATGCTACTATGAATTGCAAGATACAATTGCTGATGAACAACAAAACCTGGGAGGTAGCAAAAAATCAAACATTGATAGATTGCAAATGAATATACATGATGAAAATAATCAAATTGATGACAAGAAGAGTATTCTTAAACCAGGTTGCTGGCTAGAGATTTCACATACAAAAAAGTGAAAACTACAATGAAGTTTTTTGTTTTCTAGTAAAGTATGTTACAATTCTTCTAGTATTTGTGCATTTTCTGCAATATTTAAAAGAGTTGTTGGAGGAACTCGATTTTATTGGAGATAGTTAGCAATATAATCTTCAAATCTACTCTTCATTCCAAGTTTTTTATTTCTTTTGTTAAAACCTTTTATATTTGTACCGACGTTGTATCAATGTAAGGTTGTGAAGGATAACTTGGCTTATCTTTTGAAGCAGAGATGATGACTCAACTTAGAAATTTAGTGAAGGATAAATTTGAATATTTTTATGGTACTTTTATCAAAATTTTCAAATGAGAAGTAGATAATATTAGACCGATACTCACTATAGTGTTAGAGAATGTTGCTATCTATCATTTTTCTTCTACGTGTTCTCTAAGGAAGATTGTTCCTATTGACATATCTAGAAGTAAGTACTTGATGACACATTATTGCATTATCATGGTGGGTAGTGTTTTTGGCAAGTTATTTGAAAAATTGATGAAGTCCAAATTAAGCACATGGATTAAATCTCACCAAAAGAGAAAGTGTAGTTTCAGGTTGATTTTTGCCTACATACAACATTATTAAAAATATCTTGCATGTAGACACTAAGGGCAATGAAAAAGCTTTGTTTTCCATCTTCATTGATTTCAAAAAAGCTTTTGACACTATACCTTGTGAGCTTTTATAAGAAAGGTTGCAAGCTATTGGAGTATCACCAGATATCCTAGTAGCTATGACAATGTTATATCACTAGGTTTGAATTTCAACACTTTCAAATTGAAGAAATTTTTTAATTTCATTGGCATCATTCAAGGTTGCATTCTCTTCTACAGAATTTGAACTTTCCATAGATGATATCAAAGAATGGATCGAGAAATATGATAATGAAGGTGTCAAACTTGAAAACTTTGTTGTCAAAGCTTTATTGTATGCAGATGATATCATACTACTAGCACGTGATGTCACTACTTTACAAAAACATCTAGACATTTTGTAAAGATTTTATATCCAAAAATCAAATGAAAGTAAATCTGAAAAAATCTAAAATCATGATAGTGGGCATTAGATCCAAGTTTTACTTCTTTTAGAAAGATCTACAATTTGAAGAAGTGA